GCCCCAGGAAATTAATTTCATTTGCTGGAGACTGGGTTTCTCCTGAGCCTCGCACAGTGCTGTCCTCGGACCTGCGCGTCTCTGGGATTCCACACACAGGCAGCTCTTGCTGCTCTCTCTTCTGTTTTCTTTCTTTTTTCTTTGTCCTCTGTCCTTTTCCAAGCTGCAGGCTGGCTGGTGGCATTTGAGGTTCTTTGTGCCCTTGCCAAGCACATTAGAAATGGAACATTTGGCTTCCAGGCAGGGCATATGCACGGCACCTTCTTAAAATTTATATTTCTGGGCTTGGGTCAAGGGTGTAACTCAGTGGTGGGGTGTTTGCTTAACATGTGTGAGACCCTGGGTTCGAACCTCAGCACTGTGATAAAATTCTCTGAGCACCATGCACCATCCAGACAGCTATACAAGGATCCTCACCACGGCCTCAAGGCCTCTCTGAAGGGGGCCCGAGATACATGAGCCCCAGGTTTGAACCAGCCAGCAGTGGTTCCTGCACCGGCAGGAAAGTGAGCGAGAACAGCGAGGACAGCGTGATGTGAGCAGGGTGTGGCGCCACACACCTGGAATTTGGGCCCCTAGAGACAGAGGCAAGAGGACTATGGGTCTGAGGACCCCAATTCAGTCAAAAAATAAAATAATGGCCCGTGTGGTGGCTCAATCCTCACAGCCCCTGTCTCCAGGTTCTCGCACCAGGCCTCCGAGTGATGCAGTGAAGATTTGATTATTCCCATTTGTCACCATGGAAACAGATGCAGATCAGATGGATGGGATGGGGGAGGGGGACCGACACAGGATCACACAGTGAGGAAGCAGAATACTGAACCTGGGAGCAGGGCTTCTGGCTGCCTGAGGAGAAACGGGAAGGTTTGGGAAGAAGGCAGTTCCCCTGCTGTCCCTGGCTACTACCCCAGAGTGTGGCTGAGGTTGTCCAATTGGGATCCCATCGGGGGGCTAGGAACAGCAAAGCCTGAGAGATTAGTGAGGCCCCACCCAGTGTAACCCAGAAGCAGGTTGGCTCAGGGTTCCCAGACAATGGGCCACTTGTCATACCAGGTTGCAGCCTGGAACTTGAAAACTCTACCCGGGCTGCCACCGAAGTCAGGTCATTGGAAGTGCAGGCTGGGGTGGGGGGTGGGACAGGCTAAGACCTCCCCCCCCCCACATACCTTTTCTCTGATTTCAGGTTTTTTTTTTTTTTAGTTCACTAATCTGGTGCCAGAGCATTCTGTCCCACTTCCCCTTTTCCTACTAAAAGAGTGTCTTTTGAAAACTCATATATCGCCCAAACGCCATTTCCCACCGTCCCCTCCTGTTCCTGCGACTCTTCACCCAGAGCAGAGAGCTCTTCTACAGTGCCACAGTGACTACCGGGCCTCTGTACTCCTTCCGCTTCCCGGGCTCGGCTGAGCGAATGAGTCTGGCCAACCGTAAAAGAACCCCCAATTTATGAAGTCCCTCCAGCGGAGCACGCAAGAACAAACACTAAGTCTTCTTTGCCCCCCCAGCAGCTCTGGAGAGACAAGCTTCAAGAACAAGGAATATGCAGGAAAAACACGTGAGCCAGGCCTCAGTATGTGAGCGGTGAACAACACCAGGACTGCCTGCAACTTGCTTTGTGGCTAAAACGGTCTGTGTCGCTCAGGCCTTGCAACCCCGCAAGCACGAGTCACGATGACAGGTTCAGAGTGAGGGCTGCCGTCAAGGAAGCGCTCAGGTCTTCACTTCCCGCAGTGGCCAGTGGTTTCTCTTCTACAGGGGAAGGTCCTTTTCATTTTCTTTTTTTAATCAGATCAGATCCTTGATTCTTTCTCCTCCTCTCCCCTCACACCCGGCCTCCTCCCAGATATGCAGTCTAGGCTGGTCTTGAATTCTTGGGCTCAATGTCACCCTCCTGCCTCAACCTCCTGAAAAGTGGAAACAATTGTGCCCAGCTCACTCCTTGTCTTTCTGGCTTTCCTGCGGCAAGACTTCTGCCACTTTGTTACTCTTGTCTGTCCTTGGGGACCGAGGACACACAGATTGGGAAAGGACAGGACTTGTGTCTTAGAAAGAGGCTGCCTTTTTAAGACAGCACCCCTATCCAATTCTAGATTGCAGGGGGGCAGGGAAGGGTGTATAACAGGAGCCAGAAGGATTGGACAAACATCAAAAGGTGTTAATAAATTTTTCTTTCAGGATGCCATGGATTTAAAAATAAGTTGTTTTGTCTCATTGGAGACATTTGAGGGTTATTGGACGGGAGGAACTGAGCCATTTGGTGTAATTCAAACAGCACAGTGCTGAGTCGAGGTTGGGGTGGCAACTGCTCTAGGCTCCTGGTGAGCCAAAGGGTGAGGATTAATGCTACAGACAGCACAGGCAGCCTAGAAGAGAGAGGTCTACAGTCTCACAGGTCCCGCGGTTCCTTCCAGATTCACTGCCAGGTGAGGACCCAGAATTCCAGGGCTGAGAGGAAACCAGGCTTGCAAGGAATCCCACAGACAATCCCATGTCCTGCTCTCATGGCTTCAGATTTTCTCCTTGGAAGAAATGTGAGCTCATTCATTGGAAACAGGTGATTGGCCACCACCAGATTAGTGGCTGGAGCTCAAATCTGAAGGCTGTCAGACCTGGCTCAGGGCACACACTCTTTGACAAGCCAAAGCTACACTCAGAGAGCACTGCTGGCTGGGGTTAGGGCAAGTGTGTGGCCATAGCTTGTAGGCCAGAAGCGCATGCAGGCTGAAACCCGCAGCTGCAGGCCCAGGGGAAATACAAGGCAGGGTCTTGCGGGGGGTGGGAGGGGGGGACGACAAAGTCACTGTCCACTCCCTGTCAGATTCTGTGTGGGGAGCTATGGCCCTGTGACAGGATGCCTGTGTGTCTGCAGGGCTGCACCACACACCCCAGCCTGACCCCAGGACACAGCAGCAGGTGGCACGTTGCTGCTCCTGCATACAAGGTGAAGGGGGCTGCACAGTGCAGACCAGGTCATGCTACCCTCAAAGCAGCCCAGCCTAGATTCCTTTCAGCTGTGTGGCCGGGCCTCATGCCCGGAGACCTTTCACCTCTCCTCAGGCACCGTGGAGTATGATGAGCCTCATGCACAGCAAGCACTCAGGAAGCGGCTGACTTGGTAACTGAAGAGAGCTGTAAACTGGTTTGGTTTGTATTCTGCTTCTCTCCTGCTATTTTCTATCCACACTAGCAGCCCTCACATATTTCAATATATTTTAATATGGAACTCCTTGTGAATTTGCATTTCATCCTTGCACAGGGATTATTTTAAAATTTTTAATTAAATCTGTGCATATGTGGTATATATGTGGATACAGGAGTACTACAACATGTGTGTGGAGGTCAGGGAACTTTCTGGGGCTAGTTCTTTCCCTCAACCATATGGTGAACTTATGTGGTACACGCCTTTAATCCCAGCAACTCGGGAGGCAGAGGCAGGCAGAGCACTGTGAGTTTGAGGCCAGCCTGGTCTACAAAGCAAGTTCTAGGACCGTCAAAGAAAAGAAAAAATTGTCATGTTCAAGGGCAAGCACCATCAGCGACTGAGCTCTCTTGCTGGCCCCTCATTCTTTCTAATGCCAAGTTTATTTTCATATATCAGAGCTGGGGATGGAATCCAGGGATGTACACACACTTGGTATGTGCTTGTCAACAGTCCTGGAACTCACTCTGTACACCAGGCTGGCCTTGAACTCACAGAGATCCACCTGCCTCTGCCTCCTGAGTACTGGAATTAAAGGTGTGTGCCACCACCACCTGGCTTGGAATGGACTGTTTTTAAGATTTATTTTTATTCTATTGTATGAGTGTTTTGTTTGTATGTACATATGTGTTTAAGTGTTACAGCTCAGAAAGGTATCCTGGCAGTTAGGAGCCAGGGAACACCACAAAGCAACACAGCACAACAAACCTCACACCAGAGATTTATTGGAGGAGAAGAACCCAGAAGGGTGGCTGCCTCTGGTTGGGTGTGAAGCAGCAGAGAACTGAGCAGAAGACAGGGCTTATAGCGTTTCCTGGGGGTAAGTGAGCTTTTCAGGGTGATTTTCAGGGCGGGGATTGGTGGGATCTCAAGTCCTTGACTCTGTAGGGTGAAAGCTGGATCCAGTCGTTTGGACAGTAGTGTTCTGTGGGTGGCAGGTCCTGGCCACTGGAGTGCCTTGAGGAGCCCACAGTGTGTACCACATGTGACCTGATGACAAAAGAGGTGAAGAGGGTGTGGGACCCCCTGCAACTCAAATTACAGATGGTTGTGAGTGGCCACTGGTGCTGGGCACAGAACTCAGGTCCTTTGTAAGATCAGTTAACCATCTTTCCAGCCCATTTGACTTTGGAGACGGTCCCACTACACAGCCCAGCTTTGCTCAGAATACGCTGTGGAGGCCAACATGGCCTGGAACTCTAGGATCCTGCCTCAGTCTCTGAAACACCTGCTTTAAGTAGCTTTAAAAAACAAGTAACAAAACCCACCCAGCTTCTAGTGGAGGACAACAGAATGAACCAGAGACAAGTCAGGTTTCCTAGGGATGTAAGTAAGAAAGGCAAGGAGGAGTAGACCTAGAGCTGTAGCAAGGGCCCAGGAGGAGAAGGGTTCAAAAGCTGGCAAGAAGGTAAGTCAACAAGGTGTGCGATTAATGAGGAAGCAGTAGCTATGCCTACCAGGTCCTCCCCTTGCTCTGCAGTCCTTGCCCTCCCTGTGGCTAGAGCCAGCAGCTTCCCTCTACATGTCAGATGCCACAATGGCTGCTGGTGCAACCACCTAGCAAGGCATGTCTGACGGTGCCAGCCCAGAGCTTCCTATTGTACTGGACTGCCTGCTCACCAGTCCTGTGCAGAAGGATCCTTGCTCCTGCCCTAGGGCTTTTGAAAAGAAACCTATCAAGTTGATTCATAGCCAGACTCCAGACCAGTGAGCCCTGAAGCCCTCTTGCCACCTGAGGTGACCTCACTAGCCTGGCTGTCCAGCCAGGATGGGACTGCTACTAGGAACAAGGCTGGGAACAGACACTGTGTAGGCGACTTTATTTGCTTCTTCTATGTACACATATGTACACCTGGTATGAGCCAATGGTACACTATGTCACAGATTATGTTATACACGCACGCTCCCAGGCAGGAATCGGGAGGTTCTGTTCTGAAAATCCCACTGCTGGTAAAGGAAAAGGACCCTAATGGAAGCTGCCTACCCCATTCCCAGACACTGACTCCCTCCCACGGACAATCTGTGCCTCCCCTGCCATGGGCACATGATGGCGGGATCTGGGTGGTGGTAGTGGCAGCAGCTGCTTCCAGTTTTCTCCTCTCTCACACTTGTGCAAAGGCCAGAAAGCAGCAGTGGCCACGCTCACTGACAGTAGCAGCCTGATGCCCGGGGCCTAACTGGATGGCCAGTCCTAGAATGCCCACAACCTCCTAAGTCAAGCAGCTTGGTTTCACGGGGCACTGGCATGCATCTTCTCCAGGCAGTTTGTCCAGAACATAACCAGACGGTTGTCACGGTTGATGCAGAAGTCTGTGAAGTCCTTCAGCAGCCGATCGGCAAACTTCTCATCCCCCGTGGCACTAGAGCGCCATGTCTTGGTCAGCATGGTGTTATAGGCCCAGTTGTAGCCAACCCGCTCCTCGCAGAACATGTTTTGGTTGGTGGAGCTAGTGGAGTTCCGTCGCCGACGCTGCTGCCCGGAAAACTTGCGCTTGGAGTAAGGCAGTTGAAGAAACACTGTTCCTGAAGGGAGAGAGCAGGCCTGAGTAGAAGCCACTGGTGAACACCTGCAGTTGGTTGGGGTGGTCCGGCGTGGGCAGGCGTGGGCAGGGCTCATGCGCCTGAGGCAGGGACTCGTGCACCCACCCAATTTTTTTGCCCACTGTTCCTCACCTGTAACATGGATATACTGAGGCTTATTCTCAGCAGGGAAGTTAAAAGCAGAGGCAGAATATTTATCTTGTACAAATCCAAACCTATAGTAACGACAGAAACACATGCATGGTCTCATTAGCTGGAGAAACAGGGCAGTGTGCAGCTAAGATTCCGACAGCCCGATGCTGGAATATGGAAAAGCCTCCTGTGTGGAACATGCAGGCTGCTTACTTTTTCCTCAGCACTTCTCAACACCTGCCTTCCAGCCCTGAGGATCCTGGCTCTCCTGTCACTGCAGACTGCAGCCCTCTACCCAGCCTCCGTCCCACCCAGCACCTTCCTTCCCCACATGCCCTCCCCACTCTAAACCTTCACTTTGCCTGCTGTGGCATCTGTCCTAGCAGGCTGCTCACCAATCCACAGCTGCCCCTTGTCTTATGTTTTCTTAGCCACATCTGTCTCCACGGTCATCATGCTAAGCATTTAATGGCCTTTGCTGAAACGGAACGAGGCATCTTAACTAAACTTTCCTTAAAGGTGAGGATCAGCAACCAAAGGCCCTTGGCTGTGCTGTGCTCCAGATGGGAAACGAGCAGAAGCCATTTCTCATCTGTGACTTGTCCTGTCCTACTTCTTATCTATAGCTTGTTCTATTCCTGGTTTTTCTATTTCCATAAAGCACACTCATCCTAGCCCCACCTGCTAAGAGCTGTAAAGGACGTGCTAACAGATGTGCCCAGTTCTGCCCTCGGTGTCTGCGGGCTTTATGTAATGAAGGCAGTGACGGAGGAGGTAAAATGAGTCTTCTTTCCTGGACTGAGCTCACTGGGGAAGCGCTGTGCTGGATCCAAGCTGCCAGCTCTATGCTGGCGCCCTACATTGTCTACAGGACACTTCTGGATTCCCTCCGTGCTTTCCAACCAAGCCAACTGATTTACTTAGCATGATCATCTGGACTGGAGGCTTCTTGCCTCATTTTCCCTTACCATCAGTAAAGACCCTTTCTATTCATCTATTATTTACTTTTGAGACAGGGTCTTAGGTATCCCAGGCTGACCTCAAAATCATAATTTAGCAGAGGACAACCTTCAACCACTGACCTTCCGTCTCTACCTCTTGAGTTTTAGCTCACAGCCGTGCACTAGTGTACCTGGCTTAACATGGTGATTGGTGCACACTAGGTAAGCATTCTACCAACTGACCCACATATCCAACCTAAGACAAAATTTTAATTTAAAAATTTTTATCATACAGACATACTTGCTTGTCTGTATGTGTGCACATGAGTAGACGCGCCTCTGGAGGCCAGAAAAGGGAGCTGGATCCTCTGGAGCTGGAGTTACAGGCAGTTGTGAGCTGCCTAAGGCGGGTGCTGGAAACCAAATCTGAGTCTTCTACAAGGGGCAGCCATCACTAAATCAAACCCAAAGGCCCCAAATCCTCAGAAAACCTACAATTCATCCAAGTGATTTTCCATTTGGGGCAGGCTGGGATTGCAGTGCAGACAAGGGGTATCCACTGCAGAGTTGTTGTACTGTCTCACCCCAACTACCCAGAATGAGTAGAAGGAACCCTTAGGTGTCACTGCAGAGGGTCTATGGGAGGAAGGAGAGCATTCCCAGCCTTTCTGAGATGGGCCTTTTTGGGCAGGGTGTCATTTCGGAGTCACATCTCCACCTGGATTCCACTCCACACACAACCACAGCAGGACCAGGGATGCAGCCCAGTGGATGGACGACTGCTTGCCTAGCACCCTCAAGGCTCTGGGCTCAGTCCCAGCACTGCACAGAAGCTATGTGTAGAACAAATACTCTGGAAAAGGCATTTTGCTGGCTCTATGAATGGGAATTAAATTTCTGCCCTCCAAGGGCCTACAAACTTGTCTAGTTTATAGTTTTTTGGTTGTTGTCTTATTTTATTTTATTTTTGTTTGTTTTGTTTTTTCGAGACAAGGTTTCTCTGTGGTTTTGGAGCCTTCCTGCAACTAGCTCTTGTAGACCAGGCCAGAAGATTGGGAGTTCATGGCCAGCCTGAGCCACACAGTAAAGCCTTATGAGGAAAAAAAGAGAAAGAGAGAGAGGAATTCAAAATAGAGGGAGCAGAAAGTCTCTGGTGGATAGTCGCTGACAGGGGCTTAGGCAAAGGGTCACACACAGCAATCCGCTGCGTCACACACAGGGCAGCTTTGGAGACACGGGAGAAGTCGGAGTTAGAAAAGATGCTGAAGGACAAAGGGCAGCGGTTTAGAAAATATGTCCAGGACCTGGGTTGAGGAGGAGTAGGAGAACAAGATACTGAGAAGAAAAATGCTGATTTGGCAACTAAGGTCACATCCAGGAGACACCTAGTCAAGAAGTATAGTGACCGGCCAAGGAAATGCTTACCAGCTGTGAGCAGCTGCGACATCCAAGCTACTGTCTCTTGAAGATTTACCAGCTGAGCCCAGAAACACCCAGGGGGAGAGAAAAGCAAGACTATAAGCTCTAAGACTTCCACTGTTCTTTGGCAGTGTGAGTGGGGGTGAACCAGACCTGTCTACTTCCTGCAGGAAGGCGTCCCTCTGCTCAGATCTATACCCCTTTAGTTACCACTGCATCCATTCCATACCCTTTACCCAACACATAGGTAAGGTCCAGATCTCAGGGCAGGGTCTAAGGTGGGAGCGGTTAGAGACCCGAGGCCTTGTGAAAGACCCGAGGCCTTGTGAAAGACCCGAGGCCTTGTGAATAAATGGTGAGTGCAGGGTCAAGCAGAGGGTCACTGAAACAACAGCGGCTTTGTTTCACCATGAGGAACAAACATGAAGTAGCAAGTGGACGTCAGCTGAGAGATGCTTGGAAACAATGTGGTTTGTCGCACTGGTGGAGGAGACAGCTAATCAGAGCAGCCAGGAAAGGCTTCTCCTGGGCCACAGAGCCAATGCTAAGAAAGAATGACTCTCATCCATGCTTTTAAACATCCATTGTCTTTCTAACACGTGGGGAAGGTTTACTGACAAAATTTACAATGTTTGGCTTTACCATCTCCTTCCCAGCAGAGCTCTCCCTTCACAGCCTAACAGAGCAATGAGGTCTGGAAGGCAACAGCCACAGGACTGGCAGTGCAGTGTCCATCTCCAAGGCTAAGTGGAGGCGAGCAGTGAGTCTGTCACTAGAAGGACAGATCCTTCGGGATCAGGAACAGAATGAACTGGGTTTCATTTTGGTAACCGCTATTGGAAAAAATACTGATTTGGTCACTGTTCCTTCTTGCTAACGGACAAACCTGTGAGCAATGGCTTCCTGGAAAAGGTGCATTCGATCCCAATACGTTTCCGGTTCAAAGCCTGAAAGGAATAAGGAATAAATGCTGAGCTGTGATCACAAGTTTTGTAATACACTCACACTGCTCTCTTCATTGCTCCTGACAATTCTTGTCTCTCGTTTCTGAACAAGTTATAGGAAGGACAGAAAGGTGTAGTTCTCGGAAGCCACTGTAAGCATCAGAATGAGGCTTATGTAATGTCTTATTCAAAAGCTGACAAGAAGCTGGACAGTGGTGGTGCACACCTTTAATCCCAGCACTTGGGAGGCAGAGGCAGGCGGATCTCTGTGAGTTTGAGACCAGCCTGATCTACAAAGTGAGTTCTAGGACAGTCGGACCTGTAACACAAAAAAACCTGTCTCAAGAAACAAACAAAACTAAAGCTGAAAAGACTCCAGTATTTTTATTTGTTTCTGAGACAGGTCTCGCATAGCCCAGGCTGGCCTCAAACTCTAGGCAGCCAGAGATCACTTTGAACTCTCGATACTCCTGCCTCTATGTACAGGTATTCACCACTATATCTGGCTTTGAAAGTATACTGAACACAAACCTGGAGTGTAAATTAGCTACTTCTGAAAATGTTTCTAATATCACTAATCTTCCATTTCCCTGTAAAGAAAGACAATATTACAAGCTCCATTTTAAAGGTAGGGAAATTGAAGTAAATAAATATAAAACAAATTCTTGAGAAGTCATGAGCTGCCGAGGGGAGAACAGAGCAGAATTTGCTCCTCCATCACTGACTGAATTGCTCCAGTCTCCTCTTCCACACGGCAGCTGCTGAGGACCAAATGCAGAGAGGAGGGAAGTTTGAGCACTCTGTCATACAGCAACAGGAAGCAGAGCTGGATTGCTCTCTGGATGGAGGTTTTGAGTCTCCCCAAAACAGTATAGACAACCCAGAGACTAGGGATGCAGTGGCTTTGTTACTTTGTCCATAATTAGAACTTTATTTCAAATAAATTGGAGAGACAGTCCCCCCCCCACAACTACAGATACATACACATGCATACACATACCCCACAGACACCCAGACATACACACATACAATCACACAAATACAGGTATAGGCACACAGACACAAACACACATGTAGCCAGCGCGCACACACACACACACATCACAATTGTGCCAGATTTTAAGATTTAGACTCAACTGCTACAGGAAGTGGAGATAAGAAGAAAAGAGGAGACACAGAATCTAGAAAATTGAGTTTTAGATCTGGGTCCTTATTCCTTTAAACTAGGACTTTTCTCTGTTACCATAGTAACCAACTGACGTTGATGACTTAGAAGACCAGGTCAGAATTGGCAGGGAAACCATCAGTTCTATGCCAGCCCTGTGAGTAATCCTGTTACAACGAGGAGAGCATCTCTGGACGCTGTAAGGTGACTGTAGCCCCTCAAGGTACTGACAATAATACAAGGAGCTGCCTGGCTTAAAACTTTGGAAGGATCATAACCAATCCCATTTCGGGACTGCACAAATGGTCCTCCTCAGCCACGCTGTGAGGCAGACAGAATGTTATGTGTGCAAAGGATTTTGTAAGCTCTGTGCAGCTCAGAATCTCTGGCCGCCGATGCAGAGGGACTGCAGGGCGCAGGTAAAAAAATGCCTTCTGCATTGTAAGCGGAGAGTACAGACTGTTGGAACTAGAAACCACAGGATTACTAAACTTAGCCTGCCCTACCTAGAAGCCCTCCTCACCCTCTGCCGTCTAGTGTAACACAAACTTACAAGCAAGTGGGAAGAAAATATTTCTCTTACACCCAAGCTGTGTCTTTCACATTTATAATCTCTCTGTCGGATAACTCCTGGCACATGAGCATCAGCTGCAGCCTTTTGCGTTTGAAAATGTCATCCCGAATGCATAGAGAGCTTTTTAGGAGATATTCATGCATTCATCTGCAGGAGTGCTTGGTGATAGCAATGGCAGGTGTGGATGGGGAACAGCGCTCAACATCCAGGTGGGTAAAGGGCACATCAGGGTGGTCCCTGTGCTCCCTTCCTCACAGAAGGACGGGGTCTAATCTGAGTCCTCAAGATCCAGTGCTGGAGATACACGCAGGAAACCTGGGACTTACAAAGCTGGTCCCAGCTTTGCACAGTAGAGCAATGCTTCCTGTTTGGTTTTTGATGGCCTCTCTAGGGCATTTTTTCATGGACTAGCATACCAAAGGCTCTCCTCAAATTCAAACGATCATTGCGGGTGATGAGGTGAATGGGAACACACAGGACATGGCAGAGCAATGGGGTGGAGATGGACAGTGCACAAACCTCTCTCCACTGCCGGCTTCACTCTGGCCTTCCAGAGCTGGCAGATAGGCTCCAGCCAGCATACACAAGAAAAAACATCAAAGCTCAGAAGCATTAGGGAATCTGTCCCAGGTTACCCAGTCACTGCCCAGTGGTTCAGAGTCTTGGTTGCTCTTGCAGAAGACTTAAGTTTGGTTCCCAGCACCCTCGAGGTGGCTCACAACCATCCAGAACTGCAGTTCTCGGAGATCCAACTCCTTTTTCTGGCCTCTGTGGGCACCAGGTGCACATGCGGCGCACAGACATAAATGCAGGCAAAACATTCACACACATAAAATAAAACGAAATTGAAAAATTTAAAAAAAAAATCCAGGGCAAAAGCCCAGTGCTGTGGGATAATACTTCTGTACACTGTGAATATATATTGCTCTCATTAGTTGATAACAAAAACTGCTTTGGCCTATAGCAAGGTGGAAAAGCCAAACTGGGTTAAAAGAAGGGCAGAGTTGAGGGAGACACAAGCAGCTGTTCAAAAGACATGCTGTCAGTAGACTGGTAAAAGCCACGTCCATGTGGCAATACTTAAATTAATAGAAATGGGTTAAGTTCAATGTAAGATCTAGTTAGTAATAAGCCTGAACTATAGGCAAACTCCTGTAATTAGTATTAAGCCTCTGAGTGATTATTTAGAAGTAGCTACAGGACGGGGTGGGACAGAGAAACCTCTGTTTACAATCCAGATTATTTCACCCTTTGTCGATGGCTCTCTTAACCAGCCTGTGGTTTCTGTGGTTTGCTTTCCTCAGGCATGTGTTCACTGACAGTGATGGGCTTCATTATGGCATTTCATACAAGTATCCTCATTCCTCTCTCTCATCCCACTTCCCACTCATCCTTTTTCTCTTTCTAGATGGTCAGTCTCCTTCTGCTTTCTGTTTCTTACTAACCTCTCCATTTTCCATCTAGATTCTACTTATGAGAGAGCACAGGGGGCTGTTCTTGGGATGGGGGTCGGAATCAGGGAGACAGCCCCTTCAGAAGGGAGTAGCTCTTACTGTCGAACAGGTGCTCGCTGCCGTCCTTGAGCAAGCAGCTGAGGTTGAGTGGGATGAAGAGCTGGGCCCGCAGAGGATCGCCATAGAGGTAACTGGGCAGTGCAAAAGGACCCTCCAAAACTGGGACTAACAAGAAGCCGCAGGAGGTAGCTTTTCGATGCCAACCTTGGACCTGGAAGGAAGCACAAAAACAGCATCATCTCCAGGTTCCTTTAGATCAGAGAAAATGCCTCCAAAGAGCACCCCTGCTGGAGTGGCAGCATCCGCACCAGCAGGCATGCTCGCTCACTCACAATCTCTGGCTCTAGCCAGCCCTGTCAGGAACAAGCACAGTTCGCTTCCTGGTGAGTGCTAGAGAAACTGAATGAGCACACAGCTGCTCTTCCAGGCCCCAGCTTCTCACCTTCAGTTTCTTTTGCAAGGAACTAACTTATGATAGCTAACACCCTCCTTATTCTGTGGAATGTCAGAAGCAAGGTCACAGGACAAAGGCTGAATCTTCCTATTTTGTTGCATAGCAAGTTCAGTGTATGCAATAAGAAAATAACCCACAGATATTTGATGTAGTGTGGGAGATGACTGTGGCAGCTTCTTGCCAAGTGACCAGCTCTTGCATACAGGAGAGTATACTCTGGGGAGCTCTCAAAACTATCTTCCTGAAAACCAGAGTTCCTGTAAATAACAACCAATGTTTCCTCAGGGGACTTTGTAAGGTTTTTTAAAATATGGTTTAAAAAACATAAAATGGATATTTAAAACAAACTAACTAAACCAGTGGGCTGGTGAGATGGCTCAGTGTTTCATAAAAGCACTTGCCATCAATGCTGATGACCTAAGCTTTATATCTCTGGAAGCCATATAGTGGAAAGCCAGAACCACTCCCTCGACTTGTCCCCTGTCCTCCACATCGTGACCATATGGTCCATACACACACAGGTAAATTAAAAACCTCCTGAACCTCACGATAGAAACCCCAGGCTAAAGGTGTGTGCTAGTGATGGGAGTGCCCGTCCAGAGCGAGGTCCTGGCTATCCTCCTGAGAATGCACGCTCCACACCACAAACAAAAGAAACAAGAATTCATGGATGTGGCTCTGGCATACAGGTGCCATCTGATGAGAACGACATCCATTTTTTTTTCTCAGATAGGGTGTCAGAATGCTGCCCAGGCTTGTCTGAACTCTGGGCTCCTCTTCTTCAGTCAAGCGTTGAGAGATACAGGCTGAGGGTGGTGGCACATATTCATAGTCCCAATTACTTGGGTGGCTAAGGCAGGATGACCACTTATGCCAGGGTTCTAGGCACTATATCAAGATTCCCATCCGTAAAAAAGATACAGTTTAGCCGTAGCTTGACTTAAACAAACAATTCTTTAAAAACTTAAAAGGTGCTGTGTAAAGGGTTCAGTTGGTAAAGTATCTAATATACAAGCATGAGAATCTGATTTTAAATACCCAGAGCACATACCAAAGACTCTTTTTATTTTTATGTGTGTGTGTGGAACTGGGGTTATAGGCAGTTCAGATCTGCCACATGGGTGCTAGGAATGGAGCCTCCAGTGCTAACCTCTGAGCTATCATCTCCCCAGGCCCTGGGACCCACTTTTACAAAGGCTGGGGCGGAAGCATGGGTCTGCAATCCTGTGCTCCTGCATGTGGTTGTTGCACATGCATGCATGCACCAGAAAACACTTAGACATACATCATACGTAAATGTTGCATACATGCAAAAACAGAAGACAACTACTCTTAGTTCCTTCAGAGGCACGAATACAAACGCAATAGTCAGGAGCTGCAGGGATGGCTCCGTGGCTAAACGCACTAACCGCTCTTCCAGAGGACCTGCATTTGATTCCCAGCACTCCAGTTTCAGGGAATCCAACATCTTCTTTCAGGCATGCATGCAGGCAAAATACCCATACACACAAAATGACAAAGTAAAATTTTTAAAAAATTAAAAAAAAAAAAAAACACAAGTAAAGCCAAAATCTCTAGTTTGGAAGGCTGAATTTGTGAGCATCAAGGGAGTAGCAGACTGTGGTGACTGCTAAGGAGGGCTCTGAGAAGACACTGACAGCTAAGGAGTGCCTTGGCTGGGGATGGGCAGTGGTTTGCGTTGGCTTCACAGCACAGCATACACAGGTGACCAAGATAGACTAGCAGAAAGAAGACAGGCAAGGCCAGCTAACACTTGGGACACTGTGGGTCAGTTACTTCTTTGAGGGACTCCATTGAGGGACACTCTGGTTGCTGTCCATTAAATGCTAATAATACATCCAACTCTTCCCCTGTTGTGGGATTGACAAAGATATCTGTAAATACTGCCAAATGCCCCAGAAGACAAACTCACCTTTGTTCGAGGAACAGCAAGTTAAAATGTGATATTTGCCAACTAGGAATTGGTGAGGCAAACTATGGAATAAATAAATACTAGAATATTCTGTAGCCATTAAAAACAATGAGGTAAAAAAAATTTAAATCCAACAAGTAAAAAAAGGCAGATTTATTTCTTTTGGTATAGAAGATACACAAGTAACAGAAAAAACCCAATGTAAATACTATGCATCCAGCATGTGAGCATAAGTGTGTCCTCAGCATGAATTCTAGGCTGATCTGAGATGTGAGAATGTAGCTGAGTGGCCTTGAATTTGTGGTGATCCTTCACCTCAGCATCCCAAGTGATGAGACATTTTTTCTTTAGGGGTGAGCCACCATGGTCAGCTTACCACCTGTCTTGTATATACACACAGAAACCCTGTAGTGTTTTAAACATGGATATAGTGATGGTTGCTTTTAGATGGAAGTCCCAGGACACAAGGGAGAGACAGAGATTTGCTCTTCATTCTGGACCAGTGGTTCCAAGTTTTGGAAAATGTTTGGTTAGCACAGCCAGTGGTGTGCTACTGGTGTTTAACAACCTACAGTGGGCACGACATCACTCACAACAGATAATTATTTGGCCCCAAGTCAGTAATGCCAAGGCGAAGAAACACCAATCTAAACTCTGCACTCCTATGTTTAATGTTCTAAGGTCAAAGGTTATGTGAAAACAACAGGAGCCTCTACAGAGCACCCCCTTGCCTTAAAGTAGGTGATGGTCTCACCATCTCAAAGAGTACTGTGGCAGTCACCGCCATCCAGTGTAGCTTGATCTCAAAGGCTGCATTGAGAGAGAAGTTTCCGTGGTAGTAACAGCTGCACCACTCCAGCCGGTCGGTTCGGTTGTTCACATCGACATCCAGGGTCACAGTCCTCTGCTCTGGGACAGTGGCAGCTGTGTGAGCACGCAGCAGGGGGTGGGGACACAGAGAGAGAGGCATAGGAGTGGGACAATGTAGAAGAATGAATAAGCACCATAAATATGAAACTGCACAAGTGTTCAATAGAGCTTCCTATCTCTGAAAATCACTAGTTAACAATCCAGGAGTCCACAAAAATCTTGTTCTGCTTGCTGTTAGATAATATGAGAATGGGTTCAGATATGTTTCAATAAAACTTTATAAAAAACACATGAAATTCTAGGGTGATAAGCTACTCTGTATATTATACCACCTTAAATGTATACACATCCACAGAATATACAATACCAAGAGTAAATAGTGGATTTTGGGTGATGATAGTGCATCCATGTAGGTTTGTGGATCAGAACAAATGTCATTCTGGTGGGGACTGACAGTGAAGGAGGCTGGGTGCGAGAGGAGCAGGGGACCTATGGGGAGTCTTTGTTCAGCTGTACTGGAGAGCTAAAAATCCTTTTAAGAAAATTAATTATAGCCACACATTGTAGTTTAAACCTATAATGCTAGCATTCAGAAGGCTGAGGCAGGAAAATATGTTAGAGGACATCTTGCTACATAGTCAAACCTCATCTCAAAAAAACACAATCTGGGGGTTGGAGAAACGGCTTATCACTTAAGAGTGTTTGCTGCGGGGGGTGGGGGGGTGGGGGGGTGGAGAGATGGCTCAGTCGTTGAGAGCACTGCCTGCTCTTCCAAAGATCCTGAGTTCAATTCCCAGCAACCACATGGTGGCTCACAACCATCTGTAATGGGATCTGGTGCCCTCTTCTGGCCTGCAGGCATACATGCAGACAGAATACTGAGAATACTGTATACATAATAAATAAATAAATAAATAAAATCTTTTTTTTTTTTAAAAGAGTGTGCTGCATAATCAGTGAAGCCTGGAGTTCAGATCCCAGTGCCCCCACATACTTGTAACCAGCTCCAAAGGAGACAGAGACATTGAGGCTTGCTGGCTTGCAGCCTAGCTGAGAAAACACAAGCCCCAGGGAGAGATCCTGCCTCAAAGGACTGGAGAGTCACACAGTGATACATAAGATACCCAGTGTCCTCTTGTAGCATCCATGTATGCACACACACACACGAAAATCAAGAGCAGTGTAGAAGGGTCAGTTATAAACAAACCATAAGCCAGATTTAGCCAATTATAAAGCAGTTTGACTCCTTAGTCAAGCCATCCCTTCTTGTAAAAGGGAGAGATGTCATCTTAACTAGGATCATAAACTCAGATACCCAACCAGGATGTACCTAAGATGTTCAGGATCAGTGACCCACAAACAGAACAAGGGAAAAACAGCCTAGACCACAACGAGGAGGAAGTATGACTTCTTTTTTTTTTTTTTAGTTTTTCAAGACAAGGTTTCTTGTAGCTTTGGAGCCTGTCCTGGCACTAGCTCTTGTAGACCAGGCTGGCCTAGAACTCACAAGAGATCCGCCTGCCTCTGCCTCCCGAGTTCTGGGATTAAAGGCATGCGCCACCACCGCCCGGCTAAGCATGACTTTTCTGCTTTTATCCTAGGAAGGCCTTAGTCCTACAGTATTTTCTCAGTAAATGGGAGCTCACAATGAAGCCTATCCCACTGCAGACATGTCAGTCAGGGCTCTGACCTCAGTGGACACTAACCACACTCAGCACACCAGGTTTTCTATAAATCAGGATCTGCTCTTATATCCCTACTCCTCACAAATGTTCTTTCTCTGAGTCAGTTAGGCTCTGGGTTTTGCTCCTAAGTCAACAAATTTAATGAGCTTCTGTTGGAAGGCAGGAGAGCATGAGGAAGGGCACTGAATGATACTCTCCCGATACTAGAACAGGCAGAATGGGCAACATTCTTGATTTGGAGCTGGAAGGGCCAAGCGCCTGCGATTCCAGCCACACTCGCATGTTTCTGAAAACCTTGCTTCCTTGTCTGCAAACTGATATGGCAGCCCAGGCAGGAAACATGTGGCTGAGAAAGGGTTATAGACTCTCTTAATTGCCTTCTCCTCTGGTCACTTTGTGTCTCCTCTTTTCTCTGTTCCCATTAAGCCTGCCTTCCAGCTTATGACATGAGGTTCACTAATGCTCAAAGTGAGGCCTATCCGTGGCTTGAGGGACACTTGAGGCACATTTGGTTCCCTTACTGGTCACTCTGATACTAAAATGTTCATTAAAGCTAGGTTCTGTCTGGACTTCATGTTCCTGATTTATGACACTCTCAGGAACCCTTTACTCAACAGTCCACATCAAAGAAAGCTGTGTTCTCTGGACTTGCACACTATATATTTATTCCTCCAGGTAAAAAGACCTGTCACAAAACCAAAGGCATGTGATAAACCTCAGCAGTGACTTGGAACATCTTCTATTATCAGGTTTGTTAAGTGCAGAATAGGTGAGTCTAGGGGACACCCAAGTGGAAATCACTCTATCACTGGCTTTGTGTTTCCAGGGTAAGATTTGATAATGCAGATGTGTCTAGCAGGCTTTTAGTATGGACAAAGGTAGAGCCAGCTCCGTGGGAAGTCTAATCAATATGCAGAGGCCCAGAAGAGAAACAAGCTCAGCATTTTAGGGGGCTATTAATGACCTAGGAGAGCAGATCAGTATCACTAGAGGAGAAGGAACACTGAAGCTGAGCCCTCACAATGAAGCAAGTCTCAACAGCGAGTGCCAAGTTGAAGGAATTTTTCAAAAAGAAGCTAGCTCCATGTTCATCAGGGCTTTGGAAAAAGTTCAGGGGTCAGTCTGGATAGAGGAATGCAACAGTCTCTCGTGACTCTGAGATCTAACAGACTGCCATAACAGACCTGAGAAGAAGGCCCGAGCATGAGCCTGAGCGGAAGGCATGTGGTACTGCATCTGCAGGACTCTCAGGTGGCTTTGTAGCTTCCCAGCTCAGTGACACAGGATAAGGATAGGAAGTGGGAGCCACAACAGGCCAAGGCAAATGTCTATGTATAACATTAGACATTTCAAAACAGCTTTCTGCTGCTACCTCCAAAGGAGAATCACAAGTTTTAAAAAAAGAGAACAAGCAAACAAACAAAAAGCCACCCCCAAACAACAGTAAAACACACAAATAAAACCCAACCGAATCACAGGCAATGGTGAAACTCAGGTGTTTCTCTTCCATAAGTCATCTTAGTTTTTTTCTGAGGAAGAATTCAAATGTTGAGGTTATGACCTGTTTGTTTATTTATTTAGCAAATAAATAAAATTGGTTAGTTATTTGAGATAGGGCCTTACTATGCAGCCTGGGATGGCCTCAAACTCACAATCCCTTCAATAAAAAAAAAAAAAAAGGAAAAAAAAACCTCACAATCCCTGCTTCTGCCTCTTAAATGCTAGAATTACTGATCTGTACCACCAACTACACCTGGCCAGAAAGATTATCTTTGTGTGTGTGTGTGTGTGTGTGTGTGTGTGTGTGTGTGTTGAGCCAGATCTCTCTTTTCAGTCCTGGCTGTCCTTGAACTCACAGAGATCCACCGCCTCTGCTTCCCAAGTACTAGGATTAAAAGCAAGCCCACCACACCCAATCATAAGCTACCTTAATTTACTCTTGTTTTTTACTTAGAAACATATTTTTTCTTGCTAGGCATGGTGGTACATGCATGCCTTTAAGCCATACAGTTCCTCATGCTGTGGTGACCCCAACCATAAACTAGTTTTGTCGCTACTTCATAACTGTAATTTTGCTACGGTTATAAATCTTAATGTAAGTATCTGTATTTTCTGGTGGTCTTAGGTGACCCCTATAAAAGGGGTCACAATCCACAGGTTAAGAGCCTCTGCTTTAAATCCAGCAGAGGCTAGTAGACAGGCCAGTCAGGACCGCACAGTAAGACCCTCTCTCAAATAAACAATTTTCCAGTGGTTTTAAGTAGGTCCTTGTACATGCTAGATGTCTAGTGACTACCCTTCCCCAACCACCTGCTATTCCCAGACTCCAACCTGGTCGAGAACTTACCCAACAGTGCAGCTGCCTGGCTCCGTCCTCCAAAACTTCGGCTGAAGGAGCTGTGCCTGCTCGCGTAAGAGGCTGGCCGACTGGGTAGCCAGGGCAGGAGGAAGGCAGGAATCTCAGAGTGCACAAGCTCTTCGGCCACAAAGGCCACTTCAAACCACTTGCGCTGGAAGCTGGCAAAGTCGTCCACTCCTGTTGTGTGCCAGGGAGCAGTGGGCTGCTGCATAGCCACTGGGAAAAAGCAGGGGGAGTAAAGGATCTCCTGTAACAACGCTGCTCTTCTGACACATGGCGCAATACAGATAGACCATAAAACACTATGCTAAGGGAAAGGAAGCGGTATAAAGCCTGCCTATTATGTAACCACACATATGACATTTGTAGAACGAAACACAAAACCTGTAACTGCTTGTTCAGGGAGTGTTTGGAAAGGGAGGAGTTGGGCAGTAAAAGCTAACAAGAAAGAGGTGGTGGTTGCACAATACTGTGAATGGCTTTTGTTATGTAGGCTAATTTTATGTTATATAAGATTTAATTCAATTTAAAAAATCTTATCAGTTTTATAATATTTCAGAAAATAAAAAGTTGTGGGCTTTTAGTTTTCTTTTTTCTAATAGAAGGTAAAAATCGATACTAAACTAACAAAAGTACACAGTGAATGTCACTAACTATACCACATCATGTATGGACCCAGAGATGAAGAAGTGATTTACCACAATATGGCAGTCTCTTCCAACCAGTTCAAGCACCTGAAATTCACACACTATGAAGGCTGCTTTGAATCCTTGGTGCCTCCAGAGCCATGGCAGCCAGAAATTATGTTAGAAATTGCTCCCCATGGGAGAATTCCCTTTTTTCATTAAAAGGGGATGGAATTACAGTATTGCTAAGTAGCAGAATGTTTGCCTAATGTGCAGAGGCCTTGAGTTCGATCCCAGAACCACAGTAAAAAAAAAAAAAAAAAAAAAAAAACACATGCAGTTAGCTTCCTGAACTCATGAGCTATATATACAGTTACAGACTTGATCACACACACAAAACTATTGCAGGGGGGCAGGAGAGTATTTATACTGAATATGACCAAAAGTTTTCTTGCTTCTTGAACAATATAGTACAATACAGCAGTGTCTTACTATCAGTTACTATAAATAATTTGGGGATGATTTAAAGAATATAAGAGAAGAGGCTAGAGAGATGGGCTTAGTGGTTAAGAGCACTGGCTGTTCTTGCAGAGGACCTGGGTTCAGTTCCTAGCATCTACATGGTAGCTCACAACTGCCTGTAACTCTAGTTCCAGGGTATCTAACACCTTCTTTTGGTCTCTGCTGGCACCTTCACACACATGGGGTACACATATAAACACACACACACCATACACACACACAAAGAAAAGCAAATCATTAAAAGTAATATGAGGGTATATGTGAAACCATGCCAAAGAATGACTATTTAAAACATGTCTTGGAAAACAAGGTAGACTTGGTAGTCTTCTTGAAGGAGTATGTGGGAACTGGAAGCCCAGTAAGTATGAAGCACTATTGGAGGCATCGCACTGTCATCAAAGCCAACTCAGAAGAAGGGAGGCAAGGTGCAAGTTACAGCACCAATATAGGATCCATAGAAAATTGTGCTGGGCGGTGGTGGTGCACGCCTTTCACCCGCACTTGGAGGCAGAGGAAGGTGAATTAGTTCAGGCCAGCCTGGCCTACAGAGAGAATTCCAGGACAGGCTCTAAAGCTACACAAAGAAACTCTGTCTCAATTTTTTTTTTTTTTTTTTTTTTGCTGGGCAGTGGTGGTCATGCCTTTAATCCCAGCACTTGGGAGGCAGAGGTAGGCAGATCTATGTGAGTTCAAGGTCAACCTGACCTACAAAGCGAGTTCCAGGACAGCCAGGGCTGTTACATAGAGAAACCCTGTTTTGGGGGAAAAAAAAACCCACAATAAACAAAAAAAGAAAAAAAAAACCCAAGTAACTTGGCCTCTTTTTTAAAAAATATTTTAAAAACATGTATGTATGTATGTATGTATGTATGTATGTATGTATGTATGTATACAGTGTTCTGTCTATATGCTTGCTGGCCAGAAGAAGGCACCATATCTCATTACAGATGGCTGTGAGCCACCATGTGGCTGCTGGGAATTGATCTCAGGAACTCTGGAAAAGCAGTCAGTGCTCTTAACCTCTGAGCCATCTCTCTAGCCCCTACCTTGGCCTCTTTTAGGTTTATTTCCACCAACACTGTCCTCAGTAAAAACATCGCCTGGACTAGAGAGATGGTTGTGTGGTTAAAAGTGCATGCTGCTCTTAGAGAAGACTAGTTTGGTTCCCAGCACCCAAATCAGAGGTCTTACAACTGTCTATAACTCCAGCTCCAGGAAGATCCAACACCTCTAGCCTCTGAAGGTACCTGAATTCATACACTCACACGCGCGCGCGCACACACACACACACTCTCTCTCTCTCTCTCTCTCTCTCTCTCTAAAATAGCTAAATAAATCATCTTTTTAAATAAACAGCATTGTCTTCAGTCGTGCGTAAACATGTAGAGATGCTGCAAGAGGCTGTCGGTGTCAACTGAAAACACAAAGCCACACATGGAGCTCAAGATGCATGGAGATGTGAGAGATTAGGAAAAGTACTCGCCCCTGCATGTGCTTTGGCTCTGACCTCGATCGGGCTCTTTGTCCATTACTATCTTGTAGAAATAGAAGCCATAGATGAAGGTCCGCCAGGCTTCACCAGATGCATGTGTTATGAGCTGCTCTTCCAGCATTTTCTAGGAGAGACAAGGAAAACCTGAAATTCCTACAGGTAACATCTCAAAGAGGCAACCCTTGCTTGTGCACAGCAGTCAAGGCAGTAAGTGACCAGAGAACTGAGGTCACACCGCTGGTCCCCATTAGACATTGAGAATATGCTATATGAAAATGAACCTGTTCCAAGTTATAAACTAATGTATTTCATCAAACATTTCAAACATACAGAAAGTAGAGAAAAACTCCAAGTACATAACCATCTAACTTCAATAAATTTAACATTCTGCTAGGCAGTCTGTTCCTCTTCATCTGAGGGAATGTCTCCCGAGACACCTAAAGGAAAGTGAGTTGTGGTACACACCCCTATAATCCCACTGGGAAGGTAGAGGCAGGAGGATGAGGGCTCAAGGTCATCTTGACTCACTGACGACTTACCAGACCTTTGAAGAACTAATACCAGTGTGCCTGCTCCCTTCCACCTCCCCGTCCCCTTTTCGAGACAGGGTTTCTCTGTAGCTCTGGAGCCTGTCCTAGAACTAGCTCTTGTAGACCAGGCTGGCCTTGAACTCATAGAGATCCATCTGCCTCTGCCTCCTGAGTGCTGGGATTAAAGGCATGTGCCACCACAGCCCAGGACCAGTGAGTCTTAAACCATTCCTAAAAACAAAAAAGGAAATATGTCACCAAATTCTTCTTATAAATTTTAATCCTATGCTCATGGATTACAAGAATTAATATGAAAAGTGCCTACCTTACCAAAAGCAATTTATAGACTCAATGCAATCCCCATTAAATTCCAATGAGATTCTTCACAGAATTAGGAAATATGGAAGCACAGACAGTCAATGGAATCCTGAGCAAAAAGAATAATGCTACAGGGATCTCCACACCTGGCTTCAAGTTATACTGTCATACCTCACTGGCACAAGAAAACACCGACCGGTGGGATACAATAAAAGGTCCAAATAGAAACCCACACAGTTACAGTCATCTGATTTTTGCAAAGATGGCAAAACAAACAAACAAAATGCACTGAAGACAGTCTTCAACAAATAGTGCGGGACAACTGTATCTCCACATGTAGATTCCTATCTCACTCTGCACAAAACTCTCAATGGGTCAGAGCTTTAAAGCAAGACTTGGAATTCTGAAACTCTTAGAGGAAAAGGCAGGGAAAATCCTAAGATCTAGCTAGGCATAGGTGAGGACTTCCTGAAACAGACTCAGTAAATAACGCCAACAACTGACACCAGAACCTCAGGAAACTACAAACAGCACTAGAAAGCCTCTGCACAGCACAGGGCAGGTAGTGAAGGGGCGGCCCACAGACAGAAGAAAGCCTTTGTTGTCACACATCCGACTGAGAACTAACGTCTAAAATTTGAAAGGAACTAAAGGTAAAAAATAGACAACAACAAATAAAACAACCCCATCAATAAATAATAATGAAATGAACAGAGAATTCTCAAAAAATGAAATACAAATGGCCAATAAATGTCAAAAGATGTTTAGAGAAATATGAATTAAAACTACATGGGGAGTGGCTGGAGAGACCAATGGCTCTTGTTAAGAATGGTTAAGTGTAGCCGGGCGGTGGTGGTCAGCCTGGTCTACAAGAGCTAGTTCCAGGACAGGCTCCAAAGCCACAGAAAAACCCTGTCTCGAAAAACAAAAACAAAACAAAACAAACAAACAACAACAAAAAAACCATCAAAACCAAACCAAACCAAAATGGCTGTTTTTTTTTTTCCCCAGAAGACTGGGGTTCGGTTCCCAGCACCCACATGGCAGTTCACAACTGCCTGTAACTCCAGTTGCAGGGGATCTGACTTCCTCTTCTGGCCTCCACTGACACTAGGTGCATATGGGGTGCACAGACATACAGTAAGGAAAACACCCAGACACATAAAATGTTTTACATTAAAAAACAAACAACAAAAACTACATATAGAGTCTACCTTGCCCTGGTGAGCAGGCAGTCTTTATGAGTAGGTCTGGTGCACGCCCCTGCCATCCAGTGTTTGGGGAGGCAGAGGCAGGAGGTAATGAGCTGAAGAAACCCACGCTCAGCCCTAGCACTCATGTCAGGTGACCTAACATCCTCTTCTGGCCTCTGTGAGTACCTGCATCCATCTGCCTACAGACAGACACACAAAGAAGAATAAATAAATCTTAAGAAAAAAATCACAAGTATAAGGAAAAACAGGCAAAGGTTCTCTAAAGATGGCTCAGTGGTTAAGGTGGCTTTTGCAGAAGACCTGGGTTTGAATCCCAGCACCCACATGGCAGTTCACAACTACCTGTAACCCCAATTCCAGATGTGACACCCTCTTCTGGCATCTGCACACATGTGGCACACATACATATATTAACTCACACACACACACATACACACACACAAAACACAGATTAAAATTTGATAAAAACAAGTAACAAACGCTGACAAAGATGAGGGCAAAGGGGACCCTATACACTGCTGGGAGAAGGAAACCTACTCCAGCCACTGTGGAAATCCGTATGGAGGGTCTACCATATGACCCAGCTACACCACTTGTGGAGATTTACCCAAAGGACCCCAAGGCAGCACAGCATAGCACAGCATAGCACCTGCACAGCAATGATTACTGCAGCGCCATTCACAGAAGCTGAGTTAAAGACACATGAAGTGTCCACCAGTGGAGAACTACATAAAGAAATGTGGTATGTATACACAACGGAACTAATACAAGCAATATTCTCAAGCATATTTTTAATATTTAAGTTTTTCTGTTTTATTTGTTTTAAAGATTTATTTATATGTATTGGATCCTCTCGAGCTGGAGTCATAGGTAGTTGCAAGCCCCCTGATGTGGATGCTGGGAACCAAATTTTGGTCCTCTGGAAGAGCAACAAGAACTCTGAACCAATGAGCCATCTCTCTTCAGTCCCAAGATTTGTTTATTTTATGTTACTGTTACTTTATGTATCTAAATACTTTTAAAAAGGTTTTATATAGATATGTGTTGACATGAGAATGAGGTGTTTTACAGTATTTTAAATTTAAATAATCCTTATATTTTACCAACTTGTTATTGATAGCATGCTTCTGACATTTTTATCCATGTTGGTCTATGTACTTCCAGCTTACTTCACTTTATCAATAAGAAGATTATGTTCTCAAGGAGACGGGGTTTACCAGGGGAAAGCTATGAAAAATAGCGTGTCAAGGCCTATAAAGAGCGAAACAACAGCCACATTCTTATTCAGATAGTTATTAAGTTTCCAGTGCAATGATGACAAGACAGCTGGCCAACAAACTATCCGGCTTTCTACTATAAACCTCAGTATGGACAGGACACCTAGAACCAGCTCAGTCAACCTGACCTAATTCATTCCTCTGCTTAGTTCACTCAACAGTGAATTGAACAGTGGCAATAATATCCTAAGTGTCTACTATGTGTATATGGAAATGAGCAGTTAGGGGAGACCCATCCAGGCATAAAACACACAAGATGAAGTGACTCCTAAGTCTGGTGCCTTGTACTACTTACTATGTGAAGAAGCCTCTGATGCAGACAGAACCTGGAATTTAGCCTTGGGACTTGGACACACAGGCATAATCAGGACAAAACTGGGCTTGGGTAGCCAGGTGGTGGTGGCGCACGCCTTTAATCCCAGCACTTGGAAGGCAGAGGCAGGCGGATCTCTGTGAGTTCAAGACCAGCCTGGTCTACAAGAGCTAGTTCCAGGACAGGCTCCAAAACCACAGAGAAACCCTGTCTTGAAAAAAATCAAAAAACAAAACAAAACAAAAACAAAAACAAAACTGGGCTTGGGGTTGGGGAGCACACCTTTAATCCCAGCACTTGGGAGGCAGAGGCAGAGGCGGATCTCTGTGAGTTTGAGGTCAGCCTGGTCTACAGAGTGGGTTCCAGGACAGGCTCCAAAGCTACAGACAAACCCTGTCCCGAAAAATCAATAAAGAAAGAGAGAGAGAGAGGGAGGGAGGGAGGAATGGAGGGAGGAGGGAAGGAAGGAGGGAAGAAAAGAAGGAAGGAAGTCCTTCATAGATATTTATCTGAGAGACAAGAACATAGAGACTCTGTCCAGAATTTGTCAATGCAGACAATAAATCCTAGCAGATTTTAAAGTCAAAACACGTGTGCATGCACGTGACCTGTTTATACATTTCTAAGACAGAGTCTTACCATGTAGACTAGGATGGCTTCTAGCTTATGATCCTCCTGCCTCCACTTCCTCAGTGCTGTAGGGGGCTTGTGCTACCGCGGCTAACCCTAAGGTCTTCAAAGTATCTCTGCAAGGAGACTTGTCCTTTCCTTAGCTCCAGACAGGCCTCAGCCCAACCTGAAAGCCTCTTTACTGTCATGGCTGAATACTTCCATGACAGACCCTCATTACAATGATCTGGGCAGATGAGCCCTCCCCGCTGTCTCACCTGCATGATGTCGATGGCCATCGCCTGCGTCTGGACCCCCTCCACATTGTTCATCAGCCAATGCACCACCTCAGCACTGATGAAGCAGCAGGGTGCAAGGCCTTTCTGCTCAGAGAGCAGCTGGACTCCTGTCCTGAATTCCATGAGCAAGCAGGAAATACGTGCCCAGCGGCAATAAGGAAAAAGAAAAGATGAGACGTAAGGGCTCTCCACAAGAGCATGTACTGTCTGAAAGGAGGATTCTCCATAGAACTCCTAGGCTGAGGGAAATCTCCATGATCTGTCAGGCATTATACTAGGTACTTCATGTAAGAATTTAATCATTTCATTAATCATGTGTGTAAAAACTCATGGTAAGGACTGGCAAAATAATCAGTACATAAAGGTGCCTGCCACCAAACCTGACAACTTAAGTTCAATTTCCGGTAGCCACATCTGGATGGAAAGGATCAACTCCTGCAAGTTGTGCTCTGACTTCCATATATACTGTGGCATACAGCTCCTCACAAATCAGTACATAACATGTAACTTAAAAAAAAAATCTCATTTTACACCTTTAATCCCAGCACTGGGGAGGCAGACACAGGCAGATCTCTGTGAGTTCGAGGGCAGTCTGGTCTACAGAGCGATCTCCAGGACAGCCAGGGCTGTTTCACAGAGTAAACCCTGTCTTGAAAAACAAAAACAAAAACCAACCAAACAAAATCTCATTGTATAACCAAGGTAGCAGAGGCTCAGGGAAGTCAGGTGACTTGTCCAAATCTCACAGATGGTAAGTGGCAGAGTAAGGTGTAATCTACCCACCCACACCATCATGGCAACCCTTCCCTCAGGTACCTTCTGCCCTTGCTTCATAAATGTGCTTAGTCACTTACGAGGGGTGCTTCATGGCTTCCAGAATCTCCACCAGGGTAGAGGATGATGTCAGAGAGCTTGCTGCGTGCTGCTGAGAGCTGTGACACAGAATGTAACAAAGCAACAAGAGTGGGTTTTGGTTTCAGTGCTGTGGGCTGTGGTGAACAAGTGTTCTTCCTCTACATGAAACTAGCCCACATTACCTCTGCTTCTTCTGGAGTCAGATACCAGGACAGTATTGAAACTGAAGACAGTCAGGGAAAATTCTGGATTGTTGTATCCAGAGGCTAGTTCACAATGCATTCCTATTTCCAAGTATGTATACACATTTTAAAAAGGCAAAAGTGATTTTGTATCTAAACACAGCACCCTTTTAAAAAAAAGCATCTCCCTCTCAATCAATTTCTCTTTCATTTTTATTCTTTTATTTATATTCTTGCCTGTGGAAGTCAGAGGAAGGCTCTGGATCCCCTGAAACTGAGTTACAGGCAGCCCTGGGCCACCTATCTGGGTACTGGGACTCAGCTTATGTCCTCTGAAGAGCATCACAGCTCCTAAGCAGAGACACATCTTTACCTCCGTTAATATTGCTTCCTAGAAGGCTTAGGCTGCTCTGATTTTGCCTGCAGCCTCTCACATGTTACTTAGCCTAGGCCAATCAAAGAGTTTCAGCATGATAATTTAATTGAGAATTTATAGGAAAGAACCTAAGAATTATCACTAATCAGCTGTAGGACCCCTGGATTTTCTTGATTTTTATTTCTTTACCTGAAAACAGGGACAGTGTTGTTCATGTCTTTCAGGATAGTGTAGGGCTACCATATGTAAAACAAGGCACAAGACTGATATACGTGGTGCCTAAAATGTAGTCAACACTGAAGCGAGTCAGATTAGCTAACCGAACTAGTGAAGGTCCAAGAGTTGGGAAGCACTGGAATCCAGATTTCATTCAAGTGAGTCACACCAAAGTCCTGCTCTTTGCATCACCTGCTGCCCAAGTTCTGTCTTGATGGTGACAGTGCTTAAAACATGCTTAAGCCAGCTGTGGTGGCGCCTGCCTATAATCCCAGCACTCCAGAGGTTGGGCTGGGAGAATCATGAGTTTGAGATCAACTTAGGCTACGTGGGAAGATCTATTATATCAATGGGGGTGAAGAGGTAAGAGATTAATATTCAGCAGCTGAATGGCCCCACCAACCTAACTAGTTAGTTCTGGGTCTCAATCAGAAACTCCTCAAACTCCTCCCTTTCTTCTCTTCCTCAGTCTTCTGGATGCTTATTTTGGGAGGCAGGGGGTTCAGCAGCATTTCAGATTCTCAGACCCTGTGTTAATCCCCAGCATGACAATAAAAACCTAAAAGCAAAATCTCAGGGCTAGAAAGCCTTCAAAAGCCTTTGAAGAGAATTTCCTTCAAATCCTGCATCTGAGTTCAAGTGTCTAGTCAAGAGAAGGCCTTCCATTTGCGAACACCTTCAAAGGCAGGGAACTCAGCTTCTCCCAATGCAGCTGAATCCACTGCTACTAAGTTCCTACCATGACAAGGAGTGTACACAGTATCACTTTCGGTCAGGGGTCCTGCTTTTGCAGGTTTTCTCACCTCTAGCCTACACTCCAGGCCTTCTTTTCTTCCAAAAGCAGACAAAAGCCTCCCTCTCTACCCTCCTGAGCAGTGAGGAAGCACACAGCTATACTCTCCTCACGCACACTGAGCAACCACTCCAATCTCCTTCATGGCCAGGACTAAAGGCAGCCGGGAGAGACCTAGAGCAGGAAAGTCAGGACTGAGCAGGCATCACCTCTCCTAGCCAGAATGACCACTCAGTGGTGGATGCAGTGGCGGCAGAAGCAGTCCAGAGCTTACGGCATAAGGAAAATCAGAGATTGCCGATTAGGGACCAACTTGAGGGTATCCATCCAAGAGCACTGGCTGCTCTCAGGGAAAGCGGTGTAAAAGTCAAGTTTCTCAGATTATATAGCTAAATTTGCTCAGTCAGTACAGAGAGGCACGAAGAACAGAGTAAGTAGACCTGCCACCCACAGCCAAGAAAGAAAGAACGTTTCTCAAAACTGACAATGGCAGCTGGGCGATGGTGGCGCACGCCTTTAATCCCAGCACTTGGGAGGCAGAGGCAGGCGGTTTTCTGTGAGTTCGAGACCAGCCTGGTCTACAATAGCTAGTTCTAGGACAGGCTCCAAAACCACAGAGAAACCCTGTCTCGAAAAACCAAAAAAAAAAAAACAAAAAAAAAACCTGACAATGGCATCAAAACCTAGGGCCATAAACATGTACAATTACCCTGTGGGTGGGTGTCTTTTTTGTTTTTTTGGTTTTTTTTTTTTCATTTTTTTTTCCCTTGAGACAAGTCTCATACACCCCATGTTGACCTTAAACGCACTATGCAGCCAGGAATGATCCTGAACTGCCCCTCCTGCTTTTGTTTGACAAGTGCAGGAATTATAGCTACGTGACACCATGCCTAATTTAAGAAAACACAGGGGCTAGAACTCAGAGCTTCATGTGTGCTAGGAAAGCACTCTACCAAATGAGGTGTATTCCCAAGACCCTGACTGAAAAAAAAAAAAAAAAAAACAACTGTGGGGTGGAGGAGGATCTCAAGACAGAATTTCTCTGTATAGCCCAGGCTATCCTGAAACTCACTCTGTAGACTAGGCTGGCCTTTGAACTCAGAGATCCATAAACCTCTGCCTTCTAAATCCTGAAACTAAAGGTGTGCACTACATGCCTAGATCCTGATTAAAAATTTAAAAAATTCTTTTACCTTAAAAAAAAAATCACAAAATCACTCTGTGTGTGTGTGTGTGTGTATGTGTGTAGAGTTTGAGGTCAGCCTGGTCTATGTAGTGAGTGACTTCTAGGACAGCCAGAGCTACATAATAAAGAGACCCTGACTTAAAAAAAAAAAAAAAAGCCAGAACATTTACTAAGCAAATGAGGAACAGGCAGTACCCTTCCCCTATGGATTCTTAGGAACAGGAAGAGAAAGGCCTCGTTCACGCACAGCATGTGACTCACCCGGTGTTAGTGCATTTCCTTGCTGACTGCGTGCCATCCTGTGCAAAGAGCCATGCTTTGGGCACCATCATGACTAGGACTGACATCGTGTCTGACACTTTCTGCATCGCTCAGAGAACACAGATCTCCCGCCTTGCCACTTGGCTGTAAAGACTGACCCCTTCAGGGTCCCACATATTATCTGTGGCAGCTAGAACATGACCCAGAGCTCTGGACTCGCAACCTCTGCGCTCTTGGTTGAACTTGCCCCAACCAACAGTACAGTCAGTCTGTCGTTCTGAAGCTCACCTGCAGTCAGAGTTTGCAGAGGGAAAGGCCAGTTCTCCTATGTTCTGGGAGTTCCCAAGGGTCTGGTTGCTACCTCTATCCAGGGACTGGCATGTGCTGACCCCCAAACTGGCACCGTCTGATACCAGAGCAGCTGTTTGGTCCACAGATGCCTGCAAAAGGGTAAAAAATTAGCAGATAGATCTAAAATTAATCAAAAGTAACAGTAAATAAACTATCCTGGTTTATTAAGTCAACAGACATTAGCTAGATATTCATTCCCATACTTTAAAGCTATTTCACATATGGTTTGTCCCACTCCTCCCATTCTCAGTCCCCATTGGTCCCTGCTGGGAAAGTCAAAGGAGTCTAGGGACCAAACCCAGTCCTGGTGCATTGCCTTGTCAGAGAAATTAAGGATTTACACCCTCTAAACCAAGGCAGACAGAGGCCAGGCAATCACAATAATCCTAAAACCAAAGCAACCACTTCAGTACCAGATTCAAACCAAAAAACTGGCAGACACCAAAGGAAATTCCCCATAAAAAGAACACAGAAGGCTAGGCAAAGCAGTGCACCCCTTTAATCCCAGCATTTGTTGGCAGGCATTTTAAGGTGGAACACCCACTGAGATGAGGTTTTAGCCAGTGAGATAAGGAGCCACAGGACAACAGAACTCACAGTGCTATACAGATAAGGTTATTTGATTGGAAGGTAGACTTGATGAACAGTTGGTGTTGTGTTGAGATCACAAGTCAGCTATATGTTCTGTTGAGTTCACAGCGTGATAGTGCAGAGATGTTCAAGATTTCAGAGTAGCAGGTTAGCAAGGTTGGAACTGTTTTTTAGGAAGATGCAAATGGGCGTGGCTCATAGGTGGTTTTCAGGAAAAGGGATGCTCTTGTAGTGCCAGTTAGGATCCTGTCCAGCCTTCTCAGATGGAGGGGGAACCTGGCCTAGTGCATGGAATTTCCCAAGAGGAGGACAGAGGACTAGGCCTCTCAGGATGAAGCTAGAGGAGAGAACTTACAGATGCCTCTGAGGTTTGAACCTGGGCTGTCAGAAAGCTGAATGCACCACTGACAGATCCAGGAAAGGGGTGGGAAGGCTGAGTCCCTTTCATGGGACTGATTGGGGAGCAGAGGTGTGGCTAAGCAGTCATCACTAAATCTTCCAGATAATAAGCACATAGGATTTTGTGAGCTGGTGTGGGACAATTGTCTATATTCTGCCAATTCTGTTTTAAATAAATGCTGATTGGCCAGTAGTCAGGCAGGAAGTATAGGTGGGGACAACCAGACAGGAAGTAGAGGCGGGTCAATGAAAACAGGAGATTTCTGGGAAGGAGGAAGCCCATTCCTCTTGAGTCCTGTCTCAACCACAGAAGGAAGATGTGACTACCCTGCTGAAAAAGGTACTGAGCCATGTGGCTAACATAGACAAGAATAATGGGTTAATATAAGTTATATGAGTTAATAAGAAGCCTGAGCTAATGGGCCAATCAGTTTATGATTAAGGTAGACCTCTGAGTGATTTCTTTGGGGCAAAACAGCTGTGGGACCTGGTGGGAGGACAGAAACCTCAGACAACAGTGAGCAACATCTCTGTTGTCACTACTACTCAGCCCTTCACAAGAACACTGAAGCAGCCATATGTGAACAAAAAACCAACCAACCTTAGAAAACAAAAAGTGCTGGGCACGGTGATGAACACATGTAATTCCATCACTCAGGAAGCAGAGACGGGAGATCAATCGGTCAGTACCATCCTCTGCTACATGGTAAGCAAGCTCTAGGCCAGACTGGATGTGCTATGTCAGACCATGTCTTAAGAAAAAAAAAAAAGAGGGCAGGGTAGGAGGAGGCTCTTTTCCAATAAAACTTTACTTAAAAAGCAAATGGTGGGCCAGATTCCCGCTCTGTATTACACAGTCTATCTTTCGTGGATGCACATTTTGCTCAGAGTGTAATACCAAAAAAAGTTGTTTTCCTGTCATTTTTGTCTGACTACTCCGAGTCTTAGAAAGATGGTTCCCATATTCTTCGGCTACTGGAGGCTTAGAGTTGAATTTAGTACAACGTTCTAGCTGCTTTACAAGGTCTTACCCTATAATGCTTTTTCTTTTCTTGAATTTCCCTCATCTAGGCACATTTTTATGTGGGGAGGGAGGAAGCACTAATTGGATTTGATAGGTTATTTTAAAAAAGGACTTTGACATGAAAGTTACAAGGGGGATGAAGAGGGAAGGGGAGAATGAATGGCTATGACCTAAATATACTATATTCATATATGAAATTACCAACGAGTAATAAACAAATACACATTAACTTGACATAATTCAGCTTCAATACTAATAGTTATCCTTTGGTGCCAAGTCACCAATATCCCTGGAAATAAAATCCCATGGATGGCCGGAAGGTGGTGGCACACACCTTTAATTCCAGCACTTGGGAGGCAGAGGCAGGTGGATCTCTTGAGTTTGAAGCCAGCCTGGTCTACAGAGTGTGTTTCAGCCCAGCCTGGGCGACAAAGAGAAACCATGTCTCAAAAAACCAAAACCAAAACCAAACCAAACAAATCCCGTGATGATCATAGTATTTGCATACCTTTGCAAATCATCCTGCATGAGTTACATGTCAACCTTCTGATATTTCAATATAGCACTGTCGTCCTCAAAGCCACACTCTAGACTCACACAGCACAGTTACAAAACAAAACACAGAATTTTAAAAAATTAAAAATCTCCTAATGCTTCAGGTTTCTGACTTTGTGTCGGATGGAACTCATCCACAGCTGTCCTGCAGCATAGGCAGCCACGGGCTGCAGGCTGGACACACATGCATGAGTTTACATCATCTCTAATGACGGAGAGTACCTATACAGAAAACAGCTATAACAGCGGCTGCTGCACTACACTTAGAGGTCTGTACGTGTTCAGAATAGACATAATTTTTCTCCCAGTATTTTTGATCCATAGTTGATTGATTGTGGGTGGATGTAGAGGGTCAATTATACAAATTCTAATAATGGCTGCTGATGACCGTATACTGACCCCCTGCCCAGCACCATGCTGCTTATTTACATATGCCAATTACATATGCAAGATTAGAAGTATGCTCATTTCTAAGCATATAGGTATTTTCCTTCTATAATTTCTTTAACTTTATTTCATGTGCATTGGTGTGCGGGTGTCAGATTCCCTGGAACTAGAGTTACAGACAGTTGTGAGCTGCCAAGTGCTCTGGAAGAGCAGCCACTGCTCTTAACCACTGAGTCATCTAGCCAGCCCACATATAGGTATTTTCTATTGTTTTTAATGACTGGCGAAAAACTTACTTGCACTATTATCAAAAATGTGTTCATTATGATTTCTTTCCCTTATAATTTGTTAAAAACATTTGTTATTTCTAACATTCAAATAACTAATAAAACATTTTAAATTAATATTAAAATAAATTACAATTTCCTCTTACAATGAAGAACTAGGTTCTAAAGCATAATTAGTTCTAAGCATAGTCAGTTCCAAACACCTCCTTGGCATTGAAGCCAAGATTTGAAAGCAGGTCTCTCTCCGCTGTATGTTGGAAAATTAACATAAAATGTGTTTTTATATTTTATAATAATAAAAATAACAAAGGCGCCGGGGGTGATGGCGCATACCTTTAATCCCAACACTTGGGAGGCAGAGGCAGGCGGATCTTTGTGAGTTCGAGACCAGTCTGGTCTACAAGAGCTAGTTCCAGGACAGGCTCCAAGCTACAGAGAAACTCTGTCTCGAAAACCAAACCAAACCAAACAAACAAACAAAAAAGGCATGCAATTTAATTGTGTGTATATACAGGAAGATCCCTTAGTGCCTCTGGTAAGATAAGAATTTTTAAAAAATATGTAATTTATTTTATTTTATATTCACTGGTGTATGTGTGAGGGTGTTGGATCCCCTGAAACTGGAGTTACAGGCAGGTGTGAGCTGTCATGTGGGTGCTGGGAATGGAAACTGGGTCCCCTGGAAGAACAGCCAGTGCTCTTAACCTCTGAATCTTTACAGACCAAGAGTTGAATTTTTAACTTACATATTTTTTTTGTTGTTGCTTGTTTTTTGAGACAGTGTCCCTCTCTATAGCTCTGGCTGCTCTAGAACTCATTCTATAGACCAGGCTATCTCGAACTCAGAGGAGATCTACCTGCTTCTGCCTCAAATGTAAGCCGCCACGCACGGCTTACTTTATATGTATCTTTACAACACCAGGAGAGACATTCATTCCTATGCACTCTCTATGGAATTGTCCTCTATTTACTATTTCTAGTTGTAGAACTTGTCCACCTTTGTTTTATAGGTAAATTTCACCACACAAAATAGACCTATTCGACTCTGTTGACTTTTCTTATATTAAATTCTAAGTCTAACTCTAAGACTCATCAATGAAGAGTCTCCTTAGTCCAAAGTAAAAGACTTTGGGACTAGAGAGATGGCGGCTCAGTGGTTAGGAGCACTTGCTGTCCTTCCTAAGGATGTGGGTTGTATTCCTATCATCCTCATGTAGTCCACAACTGTCTGTAACTCCAGTTCTGCAAGATCCAGAGCATTCTTCTGGCCTCCAAGGCCACTGGGCACACATGCGGTACACAGCATACACACAGGCAAAACAACACCCACAGACATAAAATAAAATTAAAAGTTAAAAAATATATATATTATGGGCTGGAGATATGGCTCAGTGGTTAAGAGCACTTGTTGCTCTTACAGAGCCCAAGTTCAAATACCAGCATTCACACAGTGGTTCACAACCACCTGCAATTCCAGTTCCAAGGGACCCAATGCCCTCTGACAGGCATGCATGTGGTGCACAGATACACACTCAGTCAAAACACTCAATACACATAACTCAATACACATAAAACAGTCAATACATATAAAATAATAAAATTAAAAAATTAAAGAAAAAAAGAAAGTAATCCGACTAACGAAATCAGCCGAGTCTGATTTTAATTCAAAATACAGTGTACCTACTACACTCGGATGAGAAATGCTTGGTTGACGGAAACCGCGCATGGCTATTTGAGTCACAGGTAAGGGCTGTAGACAGGTATGGCAATGTCCATTCTTGGAAAACCAAGATTCCAAAGAGGCAAAGTGGGAGCTCAGGGAGCTGCTTTTCTGACTCCCACTAAATAAAGACTCTTTAACTCCTCCCACCTCACAAGTCCCCTCCTCTTAGCCAGACCCACTCTGTATAACCCTGGTTCATCAGATCTCTGTAGCTAGTTCTCTACAGCTAGTCAATTTCACACAGTCCTTAGAAGCCTCCATAAACACCAGGGAGCCCTGTCTGCCTCCAAAGACCAGTCAAAACAGTAATTACTAATGCTAATTACAGAGCGGGTTTTGAGTCAAGCCTTGAAGGTCATGAATGTAAATCCCAGTTCTACTCTGTACTCTAGAAAGCAACTTCTCTGTTCTTTATTTCTCCACATACAGAACTGAATAAAGCTTTTAACTTAACTGACAGGCTATACTACAAGGTGCAATGAGATAATGTGGTAAGTGAAGAATTGTAAGGCCTGGAAGGCCCTCCGTGACCTCGCCCAAACCTTTCATCTGACAAATAACTGGAGCCCAGAAGGTAAGGGAGCTGCCCAGGGCCACACACCATTAGCCTCAACATAGGCTCAGGCCTACTTACAGATGCTGGTTGTTTTTTTTTCCCTACCACTTCCAGTCATGCTTTTTTAAAAAAAAGATTTATTTATTATATATACAGTGTTCCGTCTGCATGCATGCCTGCATGCCAGAAGAGGGCGCCAGATCACTTTACAGATGGTTATGAGCCACCATGTGGTTGCAGGGAACTGAACTCAGGACCTCTGGAAGAGCTCTTAACCTCTGAGCCATCTCTCCAGGCCCCCTGCCATACTGTTATAAACTTATCTTGGCTTTACAAGGAGGAGAAAAATAAGTGTTCAATCCTTAAATATACACATTTCAAGATGCTTGTAAAATTTAAAAGGACAGACGCTGCAATGTAGTGATAATGAGATTTGTGGCAATCAGGTGAACCACACAAGCAGCAATGAAAACTGGTTCAGCATTGGTGTGTTAGGCTGCCCTCTTACACGAATCTCTCCCATTCCCCTTTGCTGCTCTGAACACCAAGGCACCTAAAGCCAAATTCAATTTCAGCTGTCCCTCAAATCCAGATTCAGTCCAATTTCATCTGCCTAGAGGTAAACAGAAGCCAGTTTGTGCCAATGGGATGGGCATGCACAGGCTGGAGTTTGGACTAACCTGAGGGTAGAAGGCAGATGATGCCGTGCGTGGGCTGCGAACAAACTCCATAAAGAAGGCCCCGTCCTGAAGTCAGAGGAGGAGGAAGCAGCAGCAGCAGCAGCAGGTGTAAGGTAGCCAAGAAATGGATTGTGTATGAGAATAGGAGAAGGGGATCAAAAATAAGCAAATAATAAATGAAAACAAGGAGGCAAGGAGAAAACCAGGACATGAGGGAATGGGGTGGGGGCGGAATAGGGAGCCCAGAAAGACAATCTCCAAATGCAAAGCACGAGCAAGAAATCACACTTCAATTCGCAGAACACCATCTACGTGGGCGAAAGAAAGGTACAGCCAAGCTCCTTGTGTGTACCTATGTCTTGGTGCTTTTAACTTCCTTCAGACCTACGGCAAGAAGAGGGAATGGCCCCAGAGCAGTGTTGGGAACAGCACGGTAAAGGCAGCAGTGAAATCTTGTCCTTCAGTCTGTCTGGGAACAAACAGCTCTCTGAGAGAGAGACACTGAAGCCTAAGATTTCTTCTGCCTGATAGTTATTAAATGTGGCAGCAAAGAATCAAGGAGGAGTCTTGCTTAATCTTCTGTGAACATGGGGGTGCAGAGGCAGCAGTATCTGCTCCTCTACTGTTTGTGTAACAAAATCAAGAAACAAAGACATTTATAAAGTCAGGCACATTAGCACCAATGCAGCGGGCTTCCTGAAGAACACCCTGCTCACATTTATAAAGTCAGGCACTAGCACCAATGCAGCGGGCTTCCTGAAGAACACCCTGCTCACATTTATAAAGTCAGGCACTAGCACCAATGCAGCAGGCTTCCTGAAGAACACCCTGCTCTACTTGTGGCTATGTATTTGTGGCTGCCCATGTACTTGAAGCAAAGATGACAAAGAGGACATTTCGAAGAGCTTGTGATCCTTCAGAGCCTTTTCATTCTGCATGCATGATTATTGCTGCAATGCAGGAGTGGCAACAGCGCAATCAAGGCATCTGCTCTCCTTCAGATCTAAAAGTAAAACAGTGAGATATCTGGATGTTCACTGTATCACCATTGCCAGCATCTTCCAGGAGCCACCGCAAACTCATGCAGCACACCCTGGAAGGGCATGACTGAAGATGCAGACGCATCACACCCTCCGTAAGAGGCACTGCCTCCAGACATGCCAGCTGAACATCTCATAGCAGTTTTGCTTCCCACTCCCTAAACCTGGAGTTCACAGCCAGCACCATAGCTTTCAGAAGTCAGAGGAGTACAGGGTGCATCCAGAACAGCAACTAGTGTGTGGTCTCTAGGGTATTTCAACTTCCTATAATTTTTCTGCTTGTCCATCTTGCCTTTGGCACCATCCCTAATGCTGAGAAATGACAATGTAGAAAGGTCAGGAAAGGGCTGGGAGGCGTTAGCCCATCCCAGACCGTGACTGCTAAGGCACTGATGATACTGAGAGAGCTATGCCAAAGAACTGAGACCAAGTTGTTGTTGTTTGGCCAACAGAACTTCTGTTTTGTACACAGACTCCCTTTGGGACCCACAGCTCTCCCCTTGGGCAGGAGTCAGCAAACTACAGTTTGTAAAGTAAGTAATCTGGCCACTCCCCTGATCTGCACAGGCTATGAGCAAATAATGGCTTTTTATTTTAAATGGATATAGAAGAACTTAGGAAGGACCCTTATTTTTCCCATGAAGCCTGAACTCCACACACAGGGTTGTTGATCTCTGGTTCACAGTCTCCAAACTGCCTATAGCTTTGGTTGATACTTTTCTCATATTTTAATCCCTAGAGTATAATCCTAGTGATTTATACCAAGGTAATTAATCATACCTGTAGTCAAATAACTGCCACAAGGAAATCCATGAGCATCATTTACAACTTCATGATATAGATTAAATTCTATAGTACTGGTAAGAAAGTTTCCTTCCAAGACAGTTGTTGTTATGTCACCCTGGCTGTCCTGGAACCCTGTAGAGCATCTAACACACAGAGATCTGCCTGTCTCTCTCCTCAGTGCTGGGATTAAAGGTGTGTCCTGTAACATTCAGCTAAAATTTATCTTGAAAATGAGAAACCATTTACATTTTAAATAAACTTTCTGTGTGAATGTAGTATTGGAATCAAACCCAAGGCCTTAAGTATGTAAACTAAACTCTCTACTTCTGAGCCAGACTTCCAGCCCATAGCTACTTTAAATACATTTTAGGGATTGAGAGTTTAGTGCAGTTGTTCTAGAGTACCTACCTGCCTACCATGTTAAAGGCCTTGGTTGAATTCCTAAAACTTAAAACAGAAAAAAAAAACCCACAAAATCCCATGTAGTAATATTTCATTTGCATTTTAATAAATAAAGCTTGCCTGGAGATCAGAGAAAATAGCCACAGTGGTGACACAAACCTTTAATCCCAGCAGCCACAGTGACAGACACCTTTAATCCCAGCACTAGAGAGGACTATAAAACGAGAGAAGACAGCTCTCAGACACAGTCTCATTCTGAGACTCCTGGAGGCAGGATCACCATTTTGGACTGAGGCAGAGGTTTAAGAGTCAGTGGCTGGCTTTTTTGCTTTTCTAATCTTCAGGCTGAACCTCAATTTCTGTCTCTGGGTTTTTATTAATCCTGCTACAAACCTAAACATAACTTTTAAAACATGACATGGGAAACCTTTATAATATGAGTAAAATTAATAAATACAAAGTTAGATTTGCTTGCATTTTTTTCTTTCCCAATATGTCTCAGGAGCCTTAAAGAAAAAAAAAAAGTAGGAATTCCATTATCAAAAAAGAACAGGCTTGTGTGGGCACTGCTTCAGGAATTTCCAATTCCCCTCTGGTCGAGTGACGGTGGCCCTGAAGGGAAACTAGATGGCAAATTCCACAGCTGAGAGTGAGATCTCAGGCCTGGAGCAATAGCACTCTACGTGGCTGTTCCCAGGCTGCACCTGAGCAGAAATCCACGTATCACTACCATCAACAGGGAGATTCCTCAACGAGGGATAAGAGAACCTTAAGATAGTTTGTGGTAGAACTTCTCTACAGTTTCAGTACAATTGATTCTGCATTCGTGGCGATAGATCATGCTTTCATTTGGGCTCCTGGGACTACACAGCAACAGTCCCCGACTGGTGAGCCCCTTTTACCTTTCGTGGGCTGTCCACATAGGTGGGAGTCATAGCAACACTGCTGCTCTCAGCTGCCTGAGTGGAACTTTTTCCATGCACAGTTGCCTGCTGCTCTCCTAGGCACCTGAAGGAAAGAAAACACATGACTGCAGCTTGCTGGAAGATCTCTAGGGAAGGACCAAGTTAGTCTACACGAAGACAGCACAGCTGTTTCCACCTGTGAAATACGCTTCTGCCTTGCTTTTCCTTCAGGCCCTACATGGCACTCTTAACATCATTAAATTGTCCTAAACAGCCATTGTCCCCCACAGTATTTCAGAAAACACCCTAGGGCTGGTGAGAGGGCTCATTGGGTAAGGGAGCTTGCCACTAAACCTACCAGCCTGAGTTTGATCACTGAATGCACACGGTGGAAGAAAAGAACTCACTTGTATAAGTTGTCCTCTGATCTCCCCACACACTGTGCCATCCCACACAAACAAACATGGTAAAAATAAAAAGCATTCCCAGAAGCAGGGTGCAGTGTCACACATCTTTAATTCCAGGTGGCGCTCCGTGAGTCTGAGGACAGCCTGGTCTACACAGAGTTCCAGGACAGCCAGAGCTGCATATTAGAGAGCTTGTCTCAAAAACAACAAAAAATAAAAAACAAGCAGTCCAAGAAAGACAAAATATTATGTTTCCACTCATACACAGACCCTAGATTTTAAAGCACATGCACACACACACATCTATATATACACGGCACAGAAGCAGAAAGAGCACAACGAAGGAAAAAAGAGGACCAGAGGAAGGGAAGGGGGAGGAGGGAGGGCAGGGAGTGGAGAGATAGGCAAGGGATAACGACACATATATTATTATTTCCTAATAAAACCCATGTTTCTCTCTCTCTCTCTCTCTCTCTCTCTCTCTCTCTCTCTCTCTCTCTCTCAATTCATTTTACAAACCAACCAGAGCTCCCCCTCTTTCTCCTCCTCCCACTCCTCCCCACCTGGCCCCCATACACTCCTCAGAGAGGGTAAGGCCTCTCACATGCAGTCAACTAAGCCTGGCACGTCGAGTTGAGGCAGGACTACAGCAAGGCTGAGCAAGATATCCCACCACAGGGAATGGGCTCCAAAAACTCAGTTCATGCACCAGGGATAAATCCTGGTCCCACTGCCAGGGGTCCCACAAACAGACCAAGCCATACAACTGTCACCCACATTCAGAGGGCCTAGTTCAGTCCGATGCAGGCTTCTCAGCTGTCAAAAACTCATGTTTTTTTTTTTTTAAACCATTGTTTTGACTACTAAAAGTTTAGTTTAAAAAGAAAATCACTGGTTGGGAATGTTGCTAGCCGGTAGTGACTGTATAACTTTAATCCCAGAACTCAGGAGGCAGAGGCAGGCTGGTCTCTGTGAGTTCGAGGCCGAGCTACAGAGTGAGTGAGATCCAGGACAGGATCCAAAGCTACATAGGGAAAACCTATCTTGAAAAACCAAAAAAAAAAAAAAAAAAAAAAAAAAAAAAAAAAAAAAAAAAAAAAGAGAGAAAAAAGAAGAAAGACAATCAGCTGGAAGAATGACTCATTGATTAAGAGCACCGAATGCTCTTCCAGAAGACGTGTGTGGATTTGATACCTAGCACTCACATGGTGACTTAACTTCAGTTCCACAGGATACAAAGCCCTCTTCTTACCTCCTTGAACACCAGGCATGCATGAGGTACACAGACATGTAGGCAAAATACCCATATACATTAAAAAAATATGTCATTGTGGGCTGGCATGTGCTTACAGTCCCAGCTCTTTGAAAGGCTAACCAAGATGATCATTTGAGCCTAGGAATTTCAGGACAGTCTAAGGAACAGAATAAGACCTCATTCGCTCAACAAAAACACATTCTGGAAATCAATATTGTAGTAGCATGCAGCATCAACTAACTAGGGGGATATGTATTAGTTCTATATACTTTAAAGGGATTGATGTCAGTTTTTGTGACATAATTATATTCCTTCCTTTCCAAGCCATTAGGTAAGACAAGAAAGATTTCCTTAGAATATATCATCTTATCTCAGTTCTGATGTATATTTAATGCACAGCTTTGTGTTCATTTTCCAATCTTTCCCCAACTACGACAAATGGAATGCAGTGTATCCTAGGTAATATAAAGGTGGTCTAAAGTATATGAAAGATAAAAAAACCCAGCTTTAACCCTCTTTATACTATATATGATATCCAATATAAATATTTATCGCACAGCACAGTTTAGGGGATAAGAAAAAAGTCTATACATTTAGTACAGACTTTATTTAAAAGAAAAAACATTACATTTATTTATTTGGGGTGGGGTGTGACTCATGCCACAACACCCATGGAAATCAAAGTTAGAAGACAACTCACAAGAGTTGGTTCTCTTCTTCTATCATGCTGGTTCTGGGGAACACAGTATATCAGGCTTGGCAGCAAAAGCCTTTACCCACAGAGCCATCTTGCCAGCCACAGGCTCAATTTTAGATCAGTGGGAGATGAATCCACAAATACATCACCCACAGACAAGGAGGACCAATTCCACTGCTGCTACTCGATACTTCAAAGCCAAATCCTTAGTTCTGGCCTATTTTCTTCAGCAGCTGGGAGCAATATTTAAGGGGGTGGGGCAGCTCCAACAGCAGAGCAGGTTGGTCTAAGTCAGTGAACGGTTTGTGTGCTGTCAAAACCCAGATTACCTCTGAAAACTGCCCCACCTAGCTCTAGTGCTCCTGTAGGGCCCTGGAGGCTGTCACTGGGCATGTGATAGTACTCCCTCCCACAGGTGTTGAGCCCAAGAACACTCCTTAATAAACAGTTTACATACGAAATTCTTTTTTTTTTGTTGTTGTTGTTGTTGTTGTTTTTGTTTTTCGAGACAGGGTTTCTCTGTGGTTTTGGAGCCTGTCCTGACACTAGCTCTTGTAGACCAGGCTGGGATTAAAGGCGTGCGCCACCACCGCCCGGCTTTACATACGAAATTCTATCTTGGTCTGTTTCCCTGGCAACCTAATCTGTTATGTTTCTCTTATTCTGACTCTGTGTGTGTGGTACGCATGTGCTGCAGAGATCAAACCCATTCTCTCACCACTTTTGTTACTTGACTGTGAGATAAACAAATATAAGTAAGTAAAAGATAAACTAAAACAAAGAGAACAAAGAGGTTAATTTATATTAAATGCAGAGACCCTGCATATTTAGCCAGGAAATATCCACACTCAGAGACAGTTCTGTTTTCTCTAGCTCCCTGTCTACTCACACCACTTACCTTGGAACAACGCTCATGCATCATTTTATCTGTAACAGCAGTATCTCTAAAAGAAAATACCTTTTTTTTTTTTTTTTTTTTTGGATTTTTGAGACAAGGTTTCTTTATGTAGCCCTGGCTATCCTGGAACTCACTCTGTAGACGAGGCTGGCCTAGAACTCAAGAGATCCGCCTGCCTCTGCCTCCCAAGTGCTGGGATTAAAGGCGTGTGCCATCACTGCCTGGCTGAAAATAACTTTTAAAAAAACATAATCACAATCTAAGATTACTCCATGTGTTTAAAAAATATTAGTGTGTCCAAAATAAGATTCTCTGAAGGCCTCTGTTTTGCTGTAAATAATCTCTTAGGTCTCCTTTAAGGTCTACACACCTCTTCTTTCTCCTTATCCTTGTAGCTCATCTATCCCATAAATGTATATAATCTATATGTGCTGAGTTCATTCCTTTATTATTCCATGTTTTCCTCTCTGTGCCCTGTACTTCCTGAGAACTTTAAGCTTTACCTAAAAGTTTAGTCGGATTTAGGTTGAACTGGGAACACAGATTCCTCTGCGGTGCTGTGTACTGCTATCTGGGGTCCGTGGCAGGCTGCCGATGCTGACCATTCCTAGTTCCTTTAATGCTTTAGTGACCACACAGAGTAATAGTCCATCATCCCTTGTTACTTATTAGCGAGAATATTTTAGAAAGAAAAAATCTTGAACTGCTTGGTTATTCTGGGGTATAATTTATAGAGGAAAAGCAAAAAGCACACTTGCTTTTCTTCTTTGTCCACCAATATCAAACTGTCTTTCTCTTATTACACTGTAACACATTCTGCTTTCAGTGTTCTTCTGAGTTACAACCATAAACAACACTATGACTTTCTCTGGCACGTCTTTACGGCTGCAGCAACTGTACATGCACACACAGTATGTGTTCCCTCATATGCACATAGCCATCCACTTTCACTGAACTGCCTTCCAGCTGCTAGCCCCCACATCAGGAACAGGCATTCGTATCTGGGTGAGACTACTCCTGTCTACTCCTGTCTAATAGCTCAGAACCTTCTACAGCAAACACATCTGGATGTGAGACCATAAACAGGGCACACTGTATTCTAAGGAAGGAGGGAGCAGCCAATCCCACACAAAAGCTGATTGGTAGGCCTTAAAGGGATGGCAGGAGCAAGTCAGCTTACACTAACAGCAAGACACAAATAGGCAAACATCTTTTGACATATCTGTAGGATGGGGCACTATCACACCGTTAGCCTGCTTTTTAGCATGGAGCCATCCTGCATGGGACATAAGAACATCTGTCTAATGTCTGCTTTTACTCCAATTTGGATACACTGGATTATTCTCATCTAATAAAAGCAGAAGAGCCTGCAGGTCAACATCTGTGTTAGTCAACACAGAGCTAACTCCACAGAGCCTGATAAAGGGTGTGTGCCTATAGATAAAGACCAGCAGGGAACTGGAGGAAATGGTGACAGTAAGATAAGACTATAACAACGTACGGCCCTTTCTCAAGTTGCTGTAACCTTGGTTTCCACAACAAATACAACTGAATCTATTTAGTATAATAGAAAAAAAAATAAAGCAAACAAGCTGAGCAGTGGTGGTGCATGCCTTTAATTCCAGCACTTGGGAGAGAGAGGTGGGCAGATTTCTTTGGGTTCGAGGCCAGGCTAGTCTACAGAGCGAATTCCAGGATAGCTAAGACTACACAAAGTAACCCTGTCTTGGAAAAACCCAACAAACAAAACAAAACAAACAAACAAAAAGCACTGTGTAAATAAATACTATATTAACGTCTAGCTCTATAACCTCTAATAATCTACCTTGGGCCTCTTCAAAACTAGCACAACAGCCAGGAGCAGTCACCTGGGGCATGGAAAGGCCTCAGGTCCCTGACCTGGCTCTTGTCCCAGGCTAACGGAAAGCCTCATCATTCATACTGAGGAAGGCTACAAGCACAAGATGGCTTTCTTTTCCCAGCAGAAAGAGGCTCACTGGTGCATACTAAACAGTGACTCACTGACAAATTAAAATAAGATCTTTTTACCTCCATCTTCACACCACTCCCAGAAACATATGTTCCTTGTTCTTTTCTGCAGTCAAGGAGAACCTGCTGGCAGAATCCTGAGGCCTTCCCTACAAGAACCCAGCCCTCTCAGGAGAGCTCTGTCTACAGTCCTTCCTTTCCACCCAAACTCTAGCTCCTGGTACTCACCAACCAAGCCATTCTAGGCATGGGACTCATCTCTGAAAACACACTGTGCTAGATAGTTTGATGTTGATAACACAGGCTAGAGATCTCTGAGAAGAAGGAACTGCGATTGAGAAAATGCTCCATAAAATGGGGCTGTAGGCATGTCTGTAGGGCATTTCCTTAATTAGTGATCGATGTGGGAGGGCCCAACATATTGTGAATTGTGAGTGATACCATCACTGGGCTGCTGGTCCCGGGTTCTATAAGAAAGCAGGCTGAGCAAGCCATGATGAGCAAGCCAGTAAGCAATACCCTTCCATGGCCTGTGCATCAGCTCTTGACCTGCTTGAGTTTCCATTCGGACTCCCTTTAATAATAAACAGTGATGTGGAAGCATAAGCCAAGTAAATCTCCCCATGTTGCTTTCAATCATGGTATTTCACCACAGCAATAGTAGCCATAACTAAGACACACATTTTCACCAAAGACACTAAAAATATATTTCATGATATTAAGGAACTGTAACAACATTATGATTAAATTGTTTTAAAGTTACCCTAAATGGGGAGCACACATGCCACAGTCCAAGTGTAGAAGTCAGAGGACAACCTCCATGGTCAATTCTCTTCTTCCACAAAGTGGGTCCTGGGGCTCACACTCAGACTGTCAGTCTTGGTAGCAAATACTTTCATACATTGAGCCATCCCGCCAGTCTTATTTGGTATTTTTTTTTAAAAGAAGACTAATTTTTCAGAGACACATGATGAAATGTTACAGATAACAAGAGTACAATGTCTGGGTTTTGAGAAATAAAATAAAAGATAACACCTATGGACTATGAATCAAACACAAGTAGCTAAGAACCGACGATCACTGAAAATCAGATGACTGTAGAGAGGGTCTTACTACCTTACTACACTGGTCAGTCCACATCTTGTCATCTGTTTGAAAATTTCCATTATAACAAAACCAAATCAAATGACTACCAAGCGATTCCTCCTGCTAGGAGACCATGTGAGGGTGGCCTGGCTTCCCGCTCTCCACACTGTCCCCAAAGGCATTTGCCCCACACCTCATGCTTTCTTGCCCACTCAACTTTACTTTCTTTTTTTTCCCCCCCATTTTTTGAGATAGGGTTTCTCTGTGTAGCCTTGGTTGTCCTGGAACTACCTCTTCATGCGATGCTGGCCTCTAACTCTGGGGTGCTGGGATTAAAGGTGTGTGTCACCAGGGCCAAGCCAGACTATTTTCTAATTGCAGGCCTATTTTGTTATGTGACAGTCACCAGGTGTGAGCTTCACCTTTTTGTCATGTAAATGTCTTCTTTAAAAAAATTTAGTTTTATTAAATGTATATGCCTGTTTGCCTGCATGTGAGTCTGTACTCTATGTGTGTGTAGTATCAACAGAGGCCACAAGAGGGAGCTGGAACCCTTGGAACTGCAATTACAGACAGCTGGGTGCCATCATGGGCGCTGCTCTTAATGGTGAGATGTCTCTCCAGCCCTGTAATATCTTCTTAATTGCATACAGAAACCCCTTCCAGCTTACAGGGTGGGGAGGAGTCTCTTAACCAGGCACTTACTTCTGACTAGCTTCCATCTCCAACAGGGCAGACAGAGCTGAGGTTCCTTTCTTCCCAACAGGGGGCCCAGTTGACTCGAGGGAGTGTGCAGAGATGGGCCCGGTCATCTGCAAGCCTTTCATGGCAGTCCCTTTCTAAATCACAGGAGAGGAGACAGCTCATTAGCCCAGGCAGACCCTGAGATGGCACTCACTCTGGCATCTTTGGGCCCGGGAACCCAATTAACCCAGCAGAGGAACACAGGTTCTCCGTGTTTACCAAATGATGGAAGAAGCTAAGACGCAGAGAGGTTGGTTAACTAAGTAACTCCAAATCCCTGGAGCTGGAATTCAAACTGAAGTTGGCTCTTTTCACATAAGCATTCTAAATGCTCTAATCACAAGTGATCTTGTACACAGGAGGTAGCTGGTGTGAGAAAAAGAGCCTAAGGTTAAAAACAGGGCCAAAGAAGAAACACTATCAGGAAATTAAAAATAATGAACTACTAATACAATATCTTGAATGAATCCTAAGGCATAATGCTATGTGGAATAAGCAAGCCTCAAGTGGATTTGTATCATATGATAGCATTTTAAAACACCTGGAAAAGACTAGCAGTTGCTAGAAGATAAAGATGGAAGAATGGGACTGCCAAGGGTAGCATGATGTTTTTGTGTTTTTCCTTTTAGTTCTGGGGATCAAACTCAGAGTTTCTCAAATGTTAGCCAGAAGGTCTACCTCTGAGGAACCTTTTGATTGTGGTGGTTGGTAACATAAGTCCCTGTATTTTATATATACCTGTATATAAGCACACACACACACACACACAGATAGATAGAGAGAGAGACAGAGAGAGAGAGAGTCAATTATATTATATGTTAATTTAAGCAAAACAATGCTGAATCACATGTGTGCCCTTCATGGCCTGGGTAGCCTCAGATAGATCCTATAACCTTCATAAGCCTCAGTTTCTCCACTGAGTGGCAGTGTATGACCAAAATGAAAGAGCTGGAAACTCTAAAAGGAAGGCCTGCTGCTGTCAACCTCTTAAGAGCTTTTACTTAGCAATTCAGTGACATAAAACACAACAGCTGTGCCCAACTGGTCCCACTTGGAGAGTGCACAATAGGTGCTATGTCCTCAGCTAGAAGGGGCAGCTCAAGCCATAAGGCAAAGTTCAGCCATTGCTGAACGCCCTCTCCTTCATCCTACAATAGACAAGAGCACATTGATTGGAATTTCAGACATGTTGGGTAGTCATGGGATAAATCATCTGGCTGAAGACAGGCCTCTGAGAGAACAGGAGGTACAGCCTGCATTCCAGGCTAGGTACAGTCCCTGGGAGCTCTAAGAGCCCTCATCCCAGTGGTTCTCAACCTTCCTAATGCTGCAACCCTTTAATACAGTTCCTCGGGTTGTGGTGACCCCCAACCATAAATTATTTTCATTGCTACTTCAAACTATAATTTTATAGGGGAGCAGTGTCTCGGTTTCAAAGACCACTAGAAACGTGTGTTTTCCGAAGGTCCTGACCCACAGGTTGAGAACTGATGCCTTACCCGAATCATGCGGTCTGAGCGATGGCGCCTGCGGATGCGGTTTAAGCCTTCCACAAAGCGGATGAAGCCATCTAAGAGCTGCCACTCATCTTCATCTGCACGGGGTCTGTCCCCATAGATGTCACAGTGCACCTCCCCTTCTGTGATGCGCTTAGTGGCAGTGACACAGGCTGGGAGAAGTAGGAATCGGGTTCTCCAGAACTTCAGAGACTCAATTAAACTACAGAGGACCAAGGAAATCAGAGTGGTGGTGAGAAAAAGTAGGTTATAAAAGCCTTCCTGGAGAGCTCTCTCTGAAGCTCATGCAAGACAAGACATCCTGTTCTGCTGCCCCAGATGGCTTTGCTTAAGACACAACACAAAACTGAAGACAACAAGGTGGCTTCTGCTTTAATCCCAGCATCAAGACAATACTTCTGTGAACCCAGTGAAGCAATTGTCCACCATCAATTACAAAGCAGACAGGAAAGCTAAAACATTATAAATGAGACACCACAGCCACGAGGCTACTAAGCAGCAAGGGAATCCTAAGATGCTGAAAGCACATGTTAACAGGAAGCCTTGCATTTGCTAAAACCCATATAGACCTGTATATAATCATACATGTGAACACACACACACACAAAGGCAATTCTACTACTTATTAACTTAAATAAAACAATACTGAATGTATTCCATACAATACTGATGTGTTCCATACAATACATACAATACTGAATGTATTCCATACAATACTGATGTGTTCCATATTAGCTGGCAGCCTCAGGTGCAACCTCTGTGATCCTGAGGTTCCTCCACTGAGTTCGTGCTCAGGGCTGACCCTTGCACCAAAAGGAGCACTGTGCCTGAGTTCTGCTTTATTTTTCCATAAAATACACATGATAAAATATATCACTTTAGCCCATTTTAAGTGTATGTCACATGGCACTGAATGCATTCACACTGCTACATAACCTCCAGCCAGAGTTTTAACCCGTGCAGGTGTGCTCTGTTCTTCCAATTTTAGAGAAAACAGAACAGACACCAGACAAAAGCACAGATGTGGTCAAAGATGAGGTATCTACCCAAGGCAGACGGGTGGGGAGTTAAGGCCTCTCTCTAACCTGAAATCTTCAGAGCCAGCAGAACAAATATACTGATCTAAGTAATTCCACTTGTACTCCTCCAGCCGTTCGTGGCAGAATTCCACCCAGCAGGAGACAAACTCTGAGTCGGAGTGGGAGGGGCAGAGGCTGTAGGTGTAATGAATCTGGGCAGACTCGTAAGGGTACCTGAAAAACAAGGGAGATGCCTGGTATTTAAAAGCAGTCTGTACCCACCACCACCACCACCCTCTCTCTGTCTCCGCGTATTTGGCACTATCCTGGTTCAGTTCCCAACTACAGTAATTAGCTCATCCTAGAAAACTATAATGGAAATTTCTCATATCTTCTTAAACTTTTCATTCTTTTCTACATTTATCCTCTGATTTTTAATATGCTTGATGTGAATCACGCTAAGCTTTATAAGCTGAATCAACTCCTTTTTGGAAGTAGCGAGCTGTAAACCTAAAGCTATTTTAAAGCAAGCCAAAAGTCTAAAGGAATCATTCAACTTCTTATACATATATTATATTATACACAAAATTTAGTGTATGACAAAATTTAAGATGGCCACCAAAGTCTGTGAACACCCAAGGACTCACTTGGGAAGGTATCGGGTTACTGTGATCATCTTGTCCTTGAGTGTCACCTTATGGAAAGTTCTGCCCATACTCAGCCAATACTGGCCTTCCTCCTCAGGGCGGTTTCTGGACACAAGGCCTAGTAGAAAAAATAATGATTGCATTTATCTGGTAAAGGCTCATTTTTTACCACCGTCTTGCTTTTTATAAACGGAGATACAGATAAAGAGAAAAAAAGAAACAATGTTTTGAGAGGCTGTTCACAGAAGCATTATTCTTGGTTAAAAAACAAAATTCCAGAAACGGTCAGATTTTTAAGCCAACTAGCAGCAAATGAGAGAGTAGGGACTGGCAGCATCTGGATGCTGCACTCCAACCCTGACGCCCAGTCCTCTGGATAAACATTAACAGGTCAGGGAATACGTGTGGGATCACAATAAAGCTCCGGCCTACCCGAGTCCGTCTAAGTCCTCGTGCCGACTGGCAGCCAACACAGCCTCCGTCTGAAAGGAGCACTGACTTGTTTTATGCAGTTTCTGCCCCTACATATCTGCTTGTGATACTGCTTCCGCCTTCTCTTCCCGAGCCACTAACTAAAATCTTACAGATTAAAAAAATGAAGTGTTTCCATTTATTTACTTTGTGTGTATGTATACGCACACAAGCACAAGTACACATGCATATTATAGCACACATGTGTGGGAGTCGGACAACAGTTTGCAGGATTAGGCCTCTCCATGTGGATTCTAGGGGGTCAAGCTTAGGTCATCAGGCATGGCAGTAAGTGCCCTTATCAGCTGAGTCACCTCTCCAGCCCATTTATAGATCACTTAATACCACCACCAAAGGTTACTTCCTCGGGAAAGCTGTCAGACACCATCAGTCATACGAACATCTTATATGTACCCCTTAGGTATGCATCTCTCCAAATATAAACTCTTATAAAAAGTTCCAAGGACTCAGGTACAGCAGTGATTGATTAACTATGGCTCCAGCCACACAAAGTCACTAAGACAGGCAGATCCATTGAGTCTTTAAGTTTGATGCAAGACTAGGAAACATAGTGAATCCTTGCCTCAAGACCAAATTAAATTAAAATTTAAAGTAAAATTCCAAGAGGGCAGAGCTAAATACTGTTTATGTTTTCAATTAGCTCCTGATAAAAGGGCCATGCCCAGAATAGTGTTCAAAAACTTAATTTAGCTAAATTAAATACAGCAAAGGGGGAATAATGAAAATCGGGAAGATTCTCTAAAGAGAAAAATTGTGCCATAAAAAAACAAAAGAGCCTAAGCAAGATCCTCATGACCTAGAAACAAAGTGTGCTGCTCTTTTGTTCAGCTCAGGGAGATGGTCACATGGTGGCAGGTGGCCTGGAGGCTCTCAGGAGGAGAAAGGACAGTAGTCTGAGAGGCTCTTCACTGTGAATGGGATAATCTCCCAGGGCAGCCCTGCAGCATATACAAAGAGGCTTCAATTTGGGACCCTGCATTCAACCCCAACCTCTTTACCAGCCAGGGCATGATCTCTAGCAGCAAGTTTCTCCAGGTCTTGCTTTCTGCAAAAAGTGAGAAGCATGCCCAGTGAGGTGCTCCTTCATTTCACTATAAGTACCCTGCTGGTTGTCAGGAAGAGTGTCAGGGGACAAGGTTCATGAGCATCCAGCTTTGTTGCCCAAGTCATTCTAAACTAGGTGTACCCCAGTACTCAAACTTGTATCTGTGGTTAAGTTAATGTGTGCCTCTCCTAGTGTACAATAAACTCCAAGAGTCTGCTGGAACAAGTCCTACCTTACCTTTATAATCAATAAATCTGAAACAAGGGAGCAGCATGAGCTTGGCTATGAAAGCAATTTTGCCAATAACAATAGTAAGAGGATACCAGGGAATTCAGCATGTCCCTCTGACAACTAGTTAGAAAGAATAAGGCTCACGATTTCATCAGGACCAGCACGCGACACTAGAATTACAGACTCACAATGGACATTCACCATCCATTCAAGAGCAGACTATGCAGGCTAGATGTGGCCAGTGCCATCTAAAGGTAAATTCATCACTGTTCCCTGGGTTAAAGAAGTAAATAAACTTCCTGCAGCCTCATGAGACCTAACGTCGTCTCTGGCCACACCCCCAGTTCATTCTGTGCTCTGTAACACTAGCTTTCTTTTTGGTCTGCAAAAATTATCAGTGTCTCCTGCTAAAGGCTTTTGCACACACCAGTTCCTCTGCCTGCATGGTCTTCCCTTCAACTTGGCCTCCTTTTTTGTTCCTAATGACTGCTACTTATTTTAGATCTAAGGTCAAACATCACCGCCCCAAGGAAGCCATACCTGACCCTCCAAACCAGATCAAACCCAAATTAAAGAGGTGTTGTGGGCCTTTAATTAGCTTTTCCTTCCCACTCTGTATCACAGCAGATCCATTTTTCATAGTTTGACAAAAGCTGTTTTCTCTCTTTGAGCTATAAATTTCTTCTTTAGACTAGGAGTGTCAAAAACATTGAGTGAATGAGTGAATAAGCACATATATTTATTTAATGTTTGCTATATGCCCAGGCACTGCAGCTCCACTGTGGAGATACTAAGCAGGTGTGACAGTACATACCTTTAACCCTAACCCTTAGGGTTAGGAGGTGAAGCAAGAAGAACGCTTGAGTTCAAGAACCTCTCCCAAAAAACAATAATAAAAAGTAGGATGTACAATAAGAACAGAAGGCAACAAGCAACAACCCTCACACGGAGCTTCCTAAGGAAACACGGAAGAGACCCACAGCTTCATCTATTCGGCCTGGACTGGCTGACAACTAAGCCCACCCAATAGATGCACACTTCTTTAAATTCTCTGCCCAGAGGAGCTTTACTAGAACCAACAGCGATCTCAAGTTTTGCAGCAGACAAATAGGGAAGTAGAGTAGCAAGAAGCTCACTGGCTGCTTCAGGAAATGATTACTGCTTTCCAATTCCAGGCACCCACACTTAACTCCCTCCACCACACTCATTCTAGAAGAGTTCTCTACAGCTTGGCTCTTCCCCAATTAGTGTCACTTATTAGTCTCTGCCACCAATGGGTGACTCATTCTTGAATTAGGTCACTAAACTTCAGGGACTAGGGAGAAAGAGGAACACAGACTAAGGGAACAAGAACAAATGTACAAATGAGATGTAGTTCCGTGGTAAAGGTCCTGGGTTTGATCCCCAGCGACAAAAAGGAAAAAAGACAAATAGACACACATAAAAAAATGTAAACTTGGCTAGGCGGTGGTGGCACAAGCCTTTAATCCCAGTGCCTGGGAGGCAGAGGCAAGCGGCTGAGTTTGAAGTCAGCCTGGTCTACACAATGAGTTCCAGGATGGTCAGGGATACACAGAGAAGCCCTGTCTTGAAAAACCATGTAGCCCAGGCTGGCCTCAAAAAAACAAAACAAAACAAAAAACAATAACAAAAAAAAGAAGGTTTAAAAAACTATTTTATGTTTATTTGTATGAGTGCTTGCTTGAATGTATTGATGGACCAGACTGACTCCATCTTAATGATGGAGACTATTTTGTTATAAGGTCAGAATAAGTTCATTCCTGTTTGCTTCAAAATTCAAGTTGACCTAAACACTTTAACCTGTTTCTGGAATTTGACATGCTCCTACACCATGGAGTTTGACTCACACTTTGAATATACCCTGATTAAGATGTTCTATCAAATACTTTTGAAATATTCAGCCCATTTGGTTCCTTTGTAGCCAAAATTCCTTCAGAAATCCCCCAATCCTTGAAACCCCACTAGTCTTGCCGTTTTTTGGACTATATAAACCCTACCTCCTCCTGTGATGCTATTTTTTTTTTAACTCTGCTTTAGGGAGATAGTCCCGTCTCACAGAAAATAAAGTTGGCTTAATTTGACCAAAAAATTTGGGGACTAATCTTTATTCTGGCTCTGTGGGATTAACAGTATGTGTACCATTGGGAGGGAGCCACTAGCTGAGTGCTAAGAACCAGACCAGTGTTCTCTGCAAGAACAACTGGTGCCCTTAACCACTGAGTCATCTCTCCAGGTCCTAGAGTAGGGTTGTTTTGTTTTTTATTTTTAAAGCGGGAATTACTTTGTAGCAGAGGCTGACCTAGAACTCACCATGTAGTCCAGGCTGGCCTCAAACTCATTATAATCCTCCTACCTCAAGCTACTAAGTACTGGATCATAGGTTTGGGCCACCGAGCCTGGCTTACATGGTTTTCCTTACCATCGCTGTTTCTCTGTGTTTGGGTGCTAGTGATGGACCAGAGGGCTAGATAAGCACTCTGCCACTAGGCTGCACCACTCTCAAAAGGGTTGAAGATAAATTTGTACCTGTGCCAGCTGGGTTTTATGTCACCCTAACAAAAGCTACCTACAGTTGTCAGAGAGGAAGCGCCTCCAGTGAGGAAATGGCTCCATAAGACCTGGCTGTAAGCAAGCCTATTAAAATCTTAATTAGTGACCGATGTGGGAGGCCCAGCCCATTGTGGGTGTGCTGCCTTTGGGTTGGTGGTCCTGGATTCTAAAGTAAGCAGCACTCTTCCATGGCCTCTGCATCAGCTCCTGCCTCCAGGTTCCTACCCTCTGTGAGTTCCTGTCCTGATTTCCTTCAGTGATGAGCAGTGACTTGGAAGTGTTAGGCAAACAAACCCTTTCCTCCCCAGTTGCTTTGGTCATGGTGTGTCATCACAGCAACAGTAACTCTAAAACAATAACATAACAAAAAAAAAAAACCTACCCTCACAGACTTATTAGAAAAGAAGACACATCATTTTAAGAAGAATCACTTACCTCTGCTATAGAGTGGGCTACTGCTCAGCGGGGGTGGGACCGTGGTACTAGGTTTCTGAGCCTTTGGCTGTACTATGATTTGGTAGCCCTGCATGAGACGCTGGCAAATGAACTCTTCAAACACTTGCTGGGCTGTCATTTGAACACCCTCCTCATCTCTCCTGGAAAGAAATGACTGAGCATGTGAATATGCTTGGCCTTGGGCAGTGACACCTAACGGTCACTCCGACTCTTCTCTTTTGCTTCATCCCAGATTATCATTCTACAACAGCTCATAAAATCCATAATATGTACGCCAGCTTTAGAAGATGATCAATTCAACAAGGCAGGAAAAAAGAATAGAAATTAGAAATCAGGTTCAGTGTGCCAAAATCATTGCACTAGCAAATATGTTATCAATGGAGACAACTGTTAATGTCAACAAAACCTGAAAGTAACAGCTCTTGCATCATCAGATTTCCCAAATACTTAAGGAGGACATGAAAGGTTTAAAAGTTCAATGCTCTTCTATACATGTGATCCAAAATACCCAAACCCTCATATACAAAACTAACTGCTTTTCTCTTCGGCACTGACCTGTCCATGTCTGCTTCTGGGAGGAGATCATAGCAGCCCTCTGTGTAGTCATTCTGCAGGCCCTGACGGTCCGGGAAGTAGTCAGTGGTGAGGGGAAGGCATGCAGGAGTAGTAAGAGACTTCCAGTCCACTCCAACTGTGCAACAGAAGCCTGGCACTACAGGGGGAGCAGACAGTGTCAGAACTGCCTCGCATAATGGGGAAAAGGTATATGTGGTCACCATGGCAGGTTTGGGATATGGAGGGGGAGGAGTTTGTGGTAAAAGGTGATAGAAATTGCCAGGATAGAGAAGGAGCAGAAGGAAAGGGATGGGGGAGGGAGAAAGAGAGAGAAACAGAGTTTGTTAGATAATGCAACTCATGCTTATCCAATCCCATCATGCAAATGGGATTCACAGCCGCTATTTTTCATTTTCTGCTGATCATGAGCTACAGCTGAAATGCCAGTGAGGTTACTGCAGGGCAGGCAAGGTTACATATCAAAGCAAATTAATATTCTGAGAGCAGAAGAGAGGCTCAGGCCAGAGCTTCTCCTTTTGAGGACTGCAGAGTGTCTGGGTAGGAAAGGAAGAAAGCTCAGTCTAATTGGGAGCAAAATAGCATATAGCAGCAGAAACAGGAACACTTTCAGAATCACAACAAGTAACAGATTCAAGAATAGGAGGGAAAACCAAAGGAGGATGTCTGGGACAGTTACAAGGCTGGGATTTTGGAGACATGAGTTTGATACCTGCTTCTTGTGTAAAGCAGACTTTCAATACCAGTAAGTCCTGACATTTTCAAAATGTTACAGAGGGCTGTGCTGGGCTCTGAGAGATGCTGAGGAGTGACACCGGACTCTTATCACAAGATGCCAATGGTTCACTCTACTGTGCAAATTGCTGTGTCTACAGATATTGCTGTGTCTGCTTGGGTGTTTGCCCCTTCCCGCTAACTTAAAATGCTAAGGCAGCACTATGGTCTGGCTGCTGTTTGTTTCACGAGACTCAGGCACATGGGGCTTGGTCCCCAGTGTGGAAATATGAGAAATATGGAGCCTAAAGAAAGGTCCTTGGAGGTGTGTCCTCAGGAAGGTCGGGTTGTTCTGGAACTTGAGGCAGTTCTTGCCCCAGCCTGCTCTCTAGCCTCCATTTTTCTTTGCACGTGATCTCTCTGCTTCACTCTAGAAAATCACGATGCCATCCACCATGTGATGCAGTTGGTGAGCTCTTGCCAGAGCCAGCACCACAGTAACCTCTCTCTCTCTCTCTCTCTCTCTCTCTCTCTCTCTCTCTCTCTCTCTCTCTCTCTCTCTCTAATCCTTTCTTCTCTCATAGCCTTGCTATGAATCCCAGGTTAGCCTTGAATTTGTAGTCTTTCTCCTTTAGCTTCCAGAAGACTGAGATTACAATGTACACTGTACACTGGCCTTTAAACTACCTTTTCTTATAGTCTTATCCCCCCTCTGGTATTCCATTTAGATAGCTATCTCCCAAAGTAAAACTTAATCTGTAAGACCTTTAAGGTAAAGACTACCTTTTTAAAATCTCTGTAAGAGGAAACAACAACAAAAGACTCTATACTTTGCCTTTGAGTATTGATGGGATGCTTATACCCTATATATGGTAAATGCACGTGTATGAGCAGTAACAAATTTACAACACAATGTATCCCCTGTGGTTTTTTCAGCCTCACATCATCCTCACAGGGGTAAAAAAGTCTTATGTGCTAAATATGGGGACCCACCATGAGAAAGTCAGAAATGGAAGCCAACTACCTCTTTATGTTGTCTTAGATCGTCACGCTAGACCTCACTACCTTTCTGACTCTTATATCAGTGATTTCCACTGGGCATGATAGCATATGTCTGTAGTCCCAGCACTGGGCAAGCAGAGACAGGAGAATTGCTACAAGTTCACAATAGCTGGGCTACAGAGAGAAACCTTGTTAAAAAAAAAAAATCAAAATACTCTTCCCCGAGAAAAATATGGAAACTATACAAATGGTCACTAATAAAAAATGATTACTAAAACCTCAGATATAATCATATGTTTGATGATATGATTAAAAATAACTTCAGACACTTTTGGTTAGTTTGTTTGTTTGGAGACTGTGTCTCACTATGTAGCTCTGGCTGGCCTGGAACTTCTACTTATACCAGTGTTGGGATTAAAGCCATGTGTTACCATACTCAGCTTAATAAAACTTTAAAAAAAAAAATTTTTTTTTTGGGTTGGCATGATGGCTTAATAGGTAAAAGCACTTGCCACCAAACCTGATAACTTGAGTTTGATCCCCGATCCGCCCAGCAGGACAGAGCCAACTCCCTCTGGGTGTCCTCTGGCGCCCGCGCACATGTGCTATGGCATATGTGTGTCATCACACAAACACATATATTTTTTTAATTTTTGAGAGTAATAGAGGGGCCAGGCAGTGTGGTGCATGCTTTTAAACCCAGCATTTGGGAGGCAGAGGCAGGTGAATCTCATTTTGAGTTCAAGGCCAGCCTGGTCTACAAAGCTTTAGGACAGTCAGGACTATTACACAGAGTAACCCTGTCTTGAAAAACAAACAAGCAAACAAACAAAACAAAACAAAAGAGTAATAGAGGGGCTGGAGAGATGACTCAGAAGTCCTCTTCCGGGACACAGGTCAATTCCTGGGACCCACGTAGCAGCTTACCCCAGTTCCAGGGCATCTGACACCCTCACACCAATGCACGTAACATTAACATAAATAAATAATTTTTAAAAAGAACAGGGACGTGAAACCTAGGAAGAGGACTAAGCTGGCCATCAGCTACACACCGCAGCCACATAATGAAGCATGTGCAGTGGCAGGACTGCGCCCCTGCCACCGTGTTGGTACAGATGCTAAGGTTAGCTGTTTAAATAGACAAACGAAATGTGACCAGAACAAATGCTAACTAGCCAAACGGTCTCACTATGGGTGTCTGGAGGGCTCTAATAATAGCCCCTTATTTCTGGTTCCCTCCCCCCAGAGGCTTCTGCCTGGCACGAGGGTCTTTCGCACGTGTCCTGAATCACACATTCTGGAGCGGGTCATCCGGCCATACTTCTCTCCCTGGCATCGGAGAGACTCGAGTCCCTCCCATCACCTGTCTATACCACAACACAAGTGTATTTCTAGACTGTTCTCTTCCCACAGGGCATCCTCACCATCCCATACTGCCTATCCTTGTCCCCTACTAGTCAGCTGTCTCCTCTTACTTGGGTCTGGAGAGGTAGAAACACCATCCTCTGGCGAATCCTTATTCTGGGTCCTAGGATTCAGACCTAGAGAAAGAAAAAGTAGCTTGTCTAAATCAAAAATTACGATACAAAAAAGTGCTGACAGTTGTGGTTGAAAAAGCTCAAAAGCAAAGCTAAAAATAAAACACAAACCAGGATCGGCAGTGGTGGCACACTCCTTTAATCCCAGCACTCGGGAGGCAGAGGCAGGCGGATCTCTGTGAGTTCGAGGCCAGCCTGGTCTACAAGAGCTAGTTCTAGGATAGTCTCCAAAGCTACAGACTTTGGTTTTCCTGTCTCAAAAAAAAAAAAAACAAAAAAACAAAAAACAAAAAACAAACAAACAAACAAAAAAACCCCACAAACCAAGTGCCAGTTCTGAACTGGATATTTCAAACAGCACAAAATAATCAACTAAAGAAAAATATGAATAACCTAAAATTTGGGAATGAACCAGAACTTCAAAGTTTTCAATACCACTCTCTTTGTCTGATAAAATATTTTTTGCAAAGAAAACTGCTACTTATTTTAAGAAAACTAACACATCTTAAAGTCATTTCAACTAATTAATTTTTAGCAAACATAAAATAACCTAATTACATTTTGTACAGTTATTATTTAACCTTACCTTCTAGAATGCTTTCCAAATCATAGCTTTCAAGAATATAACATAAGGATTAGTGAGACGGCTCATGGTTAAGAGCACTGACTGTTCTTACAGAGGATCTGGGTTCAATTCCCAGCACCTACATGGCAGTTCACAACTGTCTGTAATTCCATGATCTGACATCCTCACTCAGACATACATGTAGGCAAAACACCAATGCACATAAAATTAAAAATAAAAAAAATTTAAAAAGAAAAAGTATATAACATAAAGTCAGGAATTGGTGGAATATGCCTTTGATCCCAGCACTCGGGATCAAAGAGCAGTCTTGTCTACAAAGCGAGTTCCAAGACAGCCAGAGTTGTTACACAGACAAACCCTGCCTTGGAAAGAAAGAAAAAGAATACAGCATAAGACATCAAAGTTTACTATGTTTAACAAAATAACAAAGAATCTACCTAGATATTATTAGTCTGAAAAAGATTCAAAATGAAACTTGAATATGAAATGACAGAGCTAATTGGAAAACATGCATAACTAAACATCACTTGGAAAATATACATATTTATTAGAAAATCATACTATAGGAAGGATTGGAAAGAGCCTCCAAAGATTAACTGTCTCCGAATACAAAGCTAAGGGAGGAGGTAGGTGAGAAACAGAACTTCGTTGTCGTTTTTAGAGACATATTTTATGTGTATGAGTGTCTACTCATATCTATGTGCATCTGTGTGCACCTGGTGCACGTGGAGGCCAGCAGAGGACACCAGATCGTGAGCTACCATGTGGTCCAGGGAATGGAGCCCAGGTCCTCTGGAGGAGCATCACATGCTCCTAACTGCTGACACATCTCTCTAGCCCCAGAACTTGTACCTTCTACTCTATATGTATCTGCACCACTTGAATCTAATTTAAGGATAACAAATATTTATAAATTCCTTGTGAAATCTTTGAAAAAAACAAAAGCAATGACCTGGGGATAAAATGCTGGAAATCACATAATCTGGGATAAGGAGAGTTCTCTCAAAACTCAAAAGGAAGAAAATTAACAACCAATAAATAAGTGAACAAAATATTTGAACACCACCTACAGAAGGCAAGTGAGGGCATGAAGAGATCCCACGCCCGTATCATTAGGGAACAGTGAATGGAGGAGCGAAAGGCCCCAAAGCCGGTTTTTGTTCATCTGTCGTTTCAGGACACGGTCTCACATATTCTACGCTGGCCTCAGACTTGGTACATAGCAGAGGATGATCTCCAATTTATGACCCTCCTTCCTCTATCCCAGTGCCAAAATTATAGGTCTGTACCACCAAGCCCAGTTTTTGCTTGCGTGTTTACTGATTCAAGTTTATAAATGTTCTGCCGACATGTATGTCTGTGCTGTGCACATTTGTGCCTGGTACCCACATAAATCAGAAGAGGGCACTAGAACCAGAGTTACAAATGGTTATGAGCTACTATATGGGTGCCCTAGTCCACTGTAAAAGCAACAAGTACTCCTAAATGCTGAGCCAACTCTATCCCCCAAACCCAGTTTTTCCTTCTTCTGTCTTTTGTTTTTGCTTCTGCTTGGATTTTTTTTTCTTTTTTATTGAAAATAAAACCCGGGGGCAGGCAATGGTGCTGCATGCCTTTAATCCCAGCATCGGGAGGCAGAGGCAGGTGGATCTCTTTGAGTTCAAGTCCAGGCTGTCTACAGAGTGAGTTACAGGACAGGCTCCAAACTACAGATAAACCCTATCTCGAACTCCCACCCCCCCTCAAAAAAAAAAAAAAAAAAAGAAAGAAAGAAAGAAAAGAAGGGGCTGGAGAGATGGCTCAGTGGTTAAGAGCACTGGCTGCTCTTCCAGAGGTCCTGAGTTCAATTCCCAGCAACCACATGGTGGCTCACAACCATCTGTAATGAGATCTGGAGCCCTCTTCTGGCATGAAAACATACATGGAGGCAGAATGTAGTATACATAATAAATAAATAAATCTTTTTAAAAAGAAAAAAGGAAAGAAAAGAAAAAAGAAAAGTCAGGCATGGTAGAGCATGTCTTTAATCTTAGCACTTGGGGAAAAGGCAGGTAGATCTCAGAGATCAGAGCCAGCTGGTCACAGAGACAAAAAGAGAAACCCTGCCTCTCACCCCAAAACAGCCCCTCCCCCATATAATATACCTTGATTATGGTTTCCCCTCCTTCCCATCTGGATCTGTATCTTTTTTGTCTCTCATTAGAAAACACACATGCCCCAGGCAGTGGTGGCACACACCTTTAATCCCAACACTCAGGAGGCAGAGGCAGGCGGATCTCTGTGAGCCTGAGGCCAGCCTGGTCTACAGAGAGAATTCCAGGATGGTCACGGTACACAGAAAAACCCTGTCCTGAAAAACCAAAAACGAAAAAGAACAAAAACAAAAAACAAACAAAATGCTTCTAAGGAATAATATAACAAGATAAAACAAAAACTAACACATCAAAATAGGACAAAACAAACAGAGGGAAAGAGCCTAAGAAAAGGCGTAAGAAACAGAAAGAGCTGCAGAGACCGCTCATTCACATACTCAGGAATCTCATGAAAACACTAAACTGGAGTAATAATATATACAAAGGACCTACAGGGTAAAAAGAAAGAAAATATTTATATTTATTTAGATATTTATATAGAAATATTTATATAGAAACATCATATGTAATAAATTAATATAACATTAATATAAAACTTTTTAAAGTCCTGACATGACAAAGATGTAATTGGGTTCCTTTTCTATCTAACTGTTGGTCATCTACTACAGCCAAGCCCAGTTTTTCATGCAGTGCTAGGGACGGGACCCAGGACCCAGCACTCTAACAGCTGAGCTACACTGCGATCCTGCTTATTGTCTAAATAGACTACCAATAAGTAATTCAGGTAGATATGTGCTTGGTACACACAAAGTTCTAGCTTCAGTCTACTGTACCAAAAAGCAAAAAGGCAGAAGGATAAAAAGGTGATCTGCCAAGACCCCTAGCTGCCATGACACTGCCGGAAAACAGAGAGAAGTGAACAATACAGCTACAAAGTCTTACAACTGTGCTTAAAACAAAATCCTGCAGAGGCGAAGGGAAACCCACAGAGACATTATTCCTGAGAAGCATGACTCATGTATGAATCAGGTCCAAAGGCAGGAAGTCTGAGTCACACTTGGGTACCTGCAGATGGCAGAAGCTTCAAGCCAAGAGAGGTAGAGGTAGGGCCACAGAAGTGTTTTTCTTGCCTTTTCTGTTGTTTTTTAATAAGTGAAATGTTGATTAGCTATGTATTTCAACTCTATCTTGTACCAAAACAAGGATAATTTGTTTTTTGTGTTTTTTGAGAAAGGGTTTCTCTGTGTTAACAGTCCTGGCTGTCCTGGAACTTGATTTGTAGATCTGCCTGCCTCTGCCTAATTGCTGGGACTAAAGAATGCAAAATGATGCCCAGCTCCAAAACAAGGATTCTAAGTTTTATTCTTAACAAGCGCAACCTACTTTTGACCATCATGCTGGGGGGACACCAAACCAGGTTGGTGGGTTTTGTTTATTTTGGTTCACGTTATACTTTAACAGGAAAGAAAATGTATTACATCAAATTGATAAAATACCTTTGATCATATAATTTCTTTAGAAGCTTCATATATTCTTGATTTGTTTCCAAAAGTCAATTTTAGTAGAACCTAAGGCAGATTTCTGTAAGACTCATATACAAACTCAGATACAGCACTCTAATTCTCTGGTAATACTTTTTGAGAGTCCTGAGGCTAAACTTTTGCCTAGCAGGAAGGAGTGTTATAAAATGTTACATGGTTATGGCGATGCGGAGAGAGCTGTGGGTACATGGCACTGGCTACATGGCATCCTCTTTCTCCCCACATGAGTGGTGTTCTTGACTGCCTTGACCTTTGGCAGTAACTGCTGCAGTGGTGGCTGTGGGGCACCCCTAGGAGGTAAGGAACTGCAGGAGGTGGAGAGATGCATTCGGCCCTAGCCTGAGGTATATCTTCATGTTGTGGCCCACACCTAATACTCTTCCTCAGTTATATTCTTTGCATATGCTTCCATCGGTACTGGGAAAAGGCTCTCTGATGACAATCAGAGCAGTCAGCAATCATTACAGGGGAAGGCCAGCTCAGGCACCCTCTCCACTATTGCTAGGAGTCTTATCTGGGGTCATCCTTGTGGATTCCTGGTAGTTTCCCTGGCACTTGGTTCTCCCTAACTTCAAAATGCCCCCCCATCAAGACATCTCTTTTGTTACTCTCCCTTCAGTCCTGCCCCTAACCTGCCTCTGGCACCCCACCTGCCCAACCAGCTTCCTCAAGTTCCCATCCACCAACCCCAACCTCTCACTAGGGAGAAACAAATGGGTAAACAGATGAGATCTGAAGCTAACCTGGGAAGCCTGACCCTAGGGCTCTGTTGCAACTGCAATGCCTTAGCTACTAAATGTTAGTTGAGACGCCCTTAGAGGGCTCTATATAAGCTTCCTGATCTGATGTCCACGTTAGAATATTTACCCTGAATCAACCTGTTATTGTCACATAAATAATATAAAGGGCTGGAGAGATGGCTCAGCACGTAAGAACACTGTTCTGCAATCACGAGAGCTGGAGTTCAGATTCCAGCACCGCATAAAGCCAGACATTCCTTCCTGCAAATAAATACCTATAACCCCAGCTCCAAGAGGGGCTTCTAACCTAGCTGAAAAGGCCCAGGTTCAAGGACAGATCCAGCTACAAAGATACAGACGGACAAAGAGAACAGAGGAGGACACCTGATGCCCTTTCCTTCCTCTGATTGCACACAATCGTGTGCATGTCCCCCAACATATGCTCATATGCTCACACAGACACAGATACACACAAACACAAATGACAAACACATCTTTAAAAAAAAATAAGCACTGGGTGGTGGTGGCGCACGCCTTTAACCCCAGCACTCAGGAGGTAGAGGCAGGCGGATCTCTGTGAGTTTGAGGCCAGCCTGGTCTACAAAGTGAGTTCTAGGAGAGTCAGGGCTGTTACACAGAAAAACCCTGTAAAGAAAGGAAAGAAAGAAAGAAAGAAAGAAAGAAAGAAAGAAAGGAAGGAAGGAAGGAAGGAAGGAAGGAAGGAAGGAAGGAAGGAAGGAAGGAAGGAAGGAAGGAAGGAGCAGGGGGAAAGAGCAAAAGAAAGAGCTAAGACTAGTTAACAGACTACTATGCCCAAGTAAAACAAAACACCTTAGACTAGGCTAGGACAACAAAGATAAGATTCTAACTGGAAAGTGGTAGCACATGCCTTTAATCCCAGCACTCGGAAGGAAGAGACAGGAGGATCTCTGTGAGTTTGAGGCCAGCCTGGTCTACAAGAGCTAGTTCTAGGGAGCTGGAGAGATGGCTCAGAGGTTAAGAGCATTGCCTGCTCTTCCAAAAGTCCTGAGTTCAATTCCCAGCAACCACATGGTGGCTCACAGCCATCTGTAATGGAGTCTGGTGCCCTCTTCTGGCCTGCAGACATACAGACAGACAGAGTATTGTATACATAATAAATAAATGTTTAAAAAAAAGTTATTAAAAAAAAAAGAGCTAGTTCTAGGACAGGCTCCAAAGCAACATAGAAACCCTGCTTCAAAATACAAAAAAAAAAAAAAAAAAAAAAACCTAGACATACCCTAAGAGAGACTAGACTCTAACTGATTATTGTATATGAGAATAAAAATTCAAAAGATTTAATCTAATTTCCTTCTGTGCTCATTAATATAATTTATCAGGTAGCCTAGGTTCAAAAATGAAACTTAATTCCCATGTGGTTATAGACTACTTCCTTACGACCTCCGGCCCTTTTCAAAACTTCTGTTACAGGTCATAAGGGAATAGGCAAGAAAAGAGTAACCCCATATAACTGTATCACCCCAACTAGAAAAATAACCCAAGGAACCTATTGTTTCTAAGAAGCTAAATACTGTAGAATACACATGAATACACACACACACACACACACACACAAACATTTAAAGATGAATTAAACAATTTTGTAAGTTATTCTAAAGCTTCTCACGTGACAGTATATTCTTTGAAATAAAACTTCATTTGTCAATGAGCACGCCAAACACTGGAGAGACAAGTACTTTAAGTCCGTGGAGAGAGGGAGATGGAAACAGTGGGTCATGATGGGCCACGGTGTGCGAATGGGATCGGGTAGGAGCTGTGTGGGAGCATGACGAGCATCTCTTAGGGAAGCACGGCATGGGAAGGAAAAGCTTCAAACAAGGAGGCACCCTTGGAGCTGGACCAACATGGAGAGTGGATGTTTTCAGGCAGAATGGGGCTTGCAGACAGCATGTTCTAAATGGCGAGGACGAGATGACACAGAGAAATATGAAGACCATAGCTGGGGTATAAGAAAAACCCATGTGCTGGGTGGTGGCGCACGCCTTTAATCCCAGCATTCAGGAGGCAGAGGCAGGCGGATCTCTGTGAGTTTGAGGTCAGCCTGGTCTACAGAGTGAGTTCCAGGAAAACCCTGTCTCAAAAAAACAACACAAAACAACAACAAAAAAAAAAAAAAAAAGAAAAGAAAAACCCATGTATTATTAACACCACCCCCCATCTGTTGACCACCCATGTCTGACTGGCATTATTCTAAGAATTCATATGAGTTATCACATTTATTTTTAGTTTTTGTTTACATTTTCATAATATTCCCTTCACAATGAAGAAAGTGAGGTATAAGAAGTTAGTGGTGGCGCATCCCTTTAATACCAGCACTCGTAAGACAGAGGTAGGCAAATCTCTGAGTTCAGGCCAGCCTGGTCTACAGAGTGAGTTCCAGGACAGGCTCCAAAGCTACACAGAGAAACCCTGCCTCAGAAAAACAAAAGAAAAAAAAAAGTAGTAACTGGCCCAAAGGACTCACTACTCATTAGAGGTGGAGCGAGTCTCATGTCCTAAGATTCTAAGCTTGTACTCTTTCCATACTCAACATCTTGTTAAAGTGGAGTCACGTGAAGACACAAAGGGACACAGGAGACAGGTGATTGGTGTCAAAAGCCATGAGGAGTCACTGAAGGCTGTGCACACGGACAGGAGCTGGTCAGACCTGCATTTTGAAACACCTTACTGGAGACAGCATGGGTAGTTCCCTAAAGGAGAAAGGGACAGAGCAGCAAGAGCTATTGTGATGATCCTAAACACAGACAGCAAAGGATGAACAAAAGCCTCAAGGGGCCAGCATTAGAACAAAAGGGCAGCAGAGAAGGAAGGGCAGGCTAACAGTTAAGCACAAGTCCAGATGATATCACAGCCACAGTGGGTCAGTCAGCCAAGCAGTTAGGCAAACAACTTAGTCCAAGAGGAAAAGGTGGGCTAGAAAGCTGGGCTCCAAGCAAGTGTCTTTCCAATGCCTGCCTGTCTGTGTGCACACGTGCACAGGAAACTCGCAGTAAGATATGACAATGTCACCTAAAGATCTTGCACACGCATCCTCAAATCAACTCCCTTTGAAAGCTCACTCCTTTCTCAACTGGAAACTAAAATTCCAAAACCTACATGTAGGGAGTCATGTGGTATCATCTCTGGGATACTCCAGGTCACTGGGCTCTTCTGGGTAGATCCTGGGGCTGGCTGCTACCATCTGGGTTCAATTAAATCTTCCTACTTCAGGTCACTGGTCAAGCTAGCTCAGGGAACAACGGTCCAGGGAACCCCGGAGTAGTACTCCTTAGTAACCTTCTTACCCCCCCCCCCCCACCGCCAAAGCCTGGAAACTCAAATTTTGGTGCCTAAAAACAAACATCCTAATTTAGCAAAGTGATAAAAATGTTGCCTTTGTAACACTCTGTAGGCAACTTTAGGAAATCTTGCAGAACGTAAAATTTAAGCACCCTGAATATATGACATAAAAATACCTCCTCCACAGCCCTAAACTTTTATTTGTTTCTCATTTAAAATGAATGACTTGAATAAGAATGAAAATCATTTGGGGATTCTTTCACTGCCAACTCACTCTCCAGGTCTCATCACTTATCCATGCGCTACAGGAATTTGGTCAGTCATCTACTAGTGACCAAAGAAGAGTATCATTAACCACCCGCCTTTCTTCTTCTTTTTCTTTTATGTGCATTGGCATTTTGCCATGGATGTTGAGTTCCCTGAAACTGGAGTTACGGCAGTGATGAGCTGCCACGTGGGTGCTAGGATTTGAACCCAGGTCCTATGGAAGAGCAGCCAATTGTTCTTAATCACTGAGTCATCTCTCCAGTCCCCATTAGCCCTCTTTACATAGCTTTAGTTTACAAATCTTAAGCCAAGTTCTAGAAATGCAAGTCACTTTGTAGGTCACAGACATGATAAAGAAACCCTATTTTGTTGTTTAGGTCTTTCCACACTTATCTTGTAAAATACTTGCTTTGCAGAAGGTATTCCCCTAACACCCTTAAAAGGCACTCTGAGGAGAGCTGAAAGGAGAACTCCTGCACTGTCTCTGACCTCTCGCCATTCAACTGACCACGTGATCTGTAGCTAGTAATATATGCCTTATTGAGATTATTAGATAATTAAAGTGTTTTCAGAGAGTAAAAGCCAAGCTTGGCTCCATCCATCCATCACCTGCATTTGGAATCTGTACCTTCTAACTTTCTGTCCAATCAGTTTCTATCCCTGTAAGCCTGAAATACTACTCAACGAAACTACATCACCTTCCTCCATCCTCTCTTTTTTGATAGTATCTTATTATATAGCTTTGGTTGGCCTAGTACTCACTATGTAGACCAGGCTGGCCTCAGACTCACAGGGCTCTACCTGGCTTTGCCTCTGGAGTGCTGGGATTAAAGGTGTGGGCCACCACGCACAGGCATCTCTCTTTGTGATGTTATGATGGTTTCTACAGGAGGGTGCATTATTTCCAGGCCTGGCAGTCCAAAGCCTTAAACCAGACTCCTCCTAGCTGGTCTCTGGTGCTGCCCTCAACACCTCACAGCTCAGTCAGGACTCCCTGACGAAACAATGATAAATCTGTCCTCAGCTAAAAACGTAATGGGCAGTCCATTTATAATTCCATGCATTATACAGTATTGCTTCTAAATAGGTCACTCCAAATTGTGGCTGAAATGATCCCAAAATGGACATGGTCTGCTTTTCTGGCCTTTGTGTCATTTCTAGATGTGTTCCTACTCTGAGCTTCCCAACTCTATTACTTCTTGGATGAGTTACCTGCACCACTGTTGCTAAGCAGGCTGGCAGAAAGCTCTTCAGTTGCACCGAAGTTCAAGGACATGCTGTCACTAGGGTGGCGGGAAGTGCTGTGCCTGCAGAGAACAAAGCCGGGTCACCTGCTTAATTAATGTAGATCATCACGATTTTTCCTGCTCACCTGTACCCTAGTGTGTAGGGGAGAGGGTAAGAAGAGAGGGAAGGACTCATGAAAAACAGGCTGGATATTCAGTCACACAGGCTGGCAGCCCTTAGGATCCATACCTCAAACCACCCTGTGGTAGTTTTATTTGTGTGCCAAGCCCCAGACACCCTGACTGCTCACCTACCACCATTAGACCACTTCCCCTTTCTGCACTATGCCTCTCCCTTAAAAACAAAGGAAGGACATAAAATGCTTGAATGGATGGACAGAGCTAACCTAATGAAGAGGCCCATACCCTGTCTAGACCTCACATGAACACCCCCCCCCCCGCCAGCAAAGAGGACATCCAGTGCCCAAAGAATGGGGCCAAGGCTGCTTTTTGAAAAGTGCTTCCTGAAGCAATTTCGGACCAGTGAGTCCAGGTTTAAAGCAGGGTCACACTCATCAAGGCTTAAATGGCTTTCTGCCTATACTGACTCTTCAGATACTCTGTAAGACATTCAGAGCTTCTGTTCAAAAACGAGTATGCCAAGTCACAGAGAAGCTGTTAAGAGAACAGCATGTACCACCTGTCCCGGCATCCCATAGGCAAACCCTAAGACAAAAAAGAGATATCTCATTTTTATCCTTGACCAGTTCGGAAGAATATTAAGAAGTTTACAAAATGTGAGTTCAAAACAAACCTAAAGCAGGGTCTTGGTAATGTTACAGGCGCACTATCAGGCTACCTGCATTCACCCTTTGCCCAGGGATGCAGGACCTGATGGGAGTGTTCTAAGTCACAAATGTGTCATTTCATCAGCTGTTCAGCGCTGTCTTGGGCTACCTTCCAGAGCCCTGTGCAAACCCTCACCTTCCAGCAGCTTCATGATACGCCAACTCCAACAGCTCTGCAGAGGAGTGGGTGGGGTCCCTCTGCCTGCTGCCCTGAAGCTCTGCCATGTTCTGCCGCGTTTGATGATGGATCTGAATGGCCTCTCCAGATGGTCCTACCCAGACAAAGAACCACTGAATGTTATTCCAACCTGAACAAAAACATACTCTTCCTTCTCTCCAACTGCTGGGACAATGGAGAGGCCCGACAATGAGCACAGCAGGAGGAATATTATACAAGGCTTCTGCCCACACTGTATCTGGGACTATATGCTGGAACTCTCGGTTTCAGAAATACTATGGAGATGCCATACAGAAATAGACAAGTATAAGAGGATAAAAAGATGAAAAGAGAAGGAAAATAAAAGTGAAATAACAAGCCAGGTGGTGGTGGTGCACACCTTCAATCCCAGCACTCAGGAGGCAGAGGCAGGCAGATCTCTGTGGGCTCCAAGGAAAAGAAAGAAAGAAAGAAAGAAAGAAAGAAAGAAAGAAAGAAAGAAAGAAAGAAAGAAAGAGACAGACAGACAACAATCTTGGTAAGGTGGTGTACACTCTAGCTCTAGTACTTGGGAGGCAGAGGCTGGCAGATCTCTGTGCTACAGGGTACAGAGTGAGTTCCAGGATAGTCAGAGCTACACAGAGAAAACCTGTCTCAAAAAAAGAAAAAAGTCAGAAAGTAACAGTGTCACTCTAAAAATCTAGGGTGCTCATGCACAAAAAAGACAGAGCACGAGAGGCTAGATTAGTCTTGTCTATTAAAATGCGCTTCCTGAAAACATATGCGTTAAAGGGTTAAATAAGGTTACCAAGAAGGAAAATTTATCTGGGTAGAAGAAATATCCACGAAACCCAAATGTGAAAGAGGTAGAAGTGTGTGTGGAGATCAAGAGACTGGGTAAGAAGGGAAAGACCCTCTGAAGGGAGTGAGGAGTCAGAAGGGCAGGCTGCCTGGTGAAGAAGGGTCTTAGTGACCAGAGGATCAGTGCTCAAGAGGACAAACGAGGGAGCAGTGTCTGCAGACCAGCTGCAGCTGCTGCTGTTCTTCAGTAATGTGGGCATGAAGGGTGCGTTAGGAAAACAGAAGAGCTGAAGGCCGTAAGAGAAAGTTCTCTTAGGAGGTTTTAGCCTAGGAGCTAGTGAGATGGCTCAATCAGTAAAACGCCTGCAAAGCAAGCACAAGGCCCTGAGTTCAGATCCCCAGCACCCATGAGCTAGGCACGACATAATGTACCTATAATTCCAGTGCTGGGAAGACAGAACAGGAGAATTCTTGGGGCTTGTTGGGAAGCTAGTGAGCTCTAGTGAGCATCAGTGAGATCTAGGTTCAATAAGAGGGCCTGTCCCCAAAACTAGAGTAGTAGAAGACACTCTGGCCTCTATATGCATGTACATGCATGAGCATACAAAAGCACACATACACAGAGAGAGAGAGAGAGAGAGAGAGAGAGAGAGAGAGAGAGAGAGAGAGAGGATTGATTGATTGATTGATTGATTGATTTCAGCCTGGTCTGGAGCTGGAGATGAACAAGCAGTGGTTGTAGTGATCCTAAATTCAAGGTCATCCTCCTTACAGGGCAAGTTCAATGCTACTCTGGGCTATATGAGACCCTGTCTCAAAAATAAATAAAAAGCAAGAGCAAGTACAAAAGTGAGAAACAGAGATACCTCAAAATAAAACTGGTAGGAATAACAAAAAAAGAGAACAAAACCAGAAAGAAATAATTTGTGTGATTCTAACAGAAATAAGGGACAAAAGAGGTTTGGAATGGCCTCCAGTTACAGCCAAATAAACCAGATTTATTTCACATTTTTTAATTTAACTTTAAACAGTAAAATCAAATGTAAAAGAAAACAACTAGGCATTTCTAATCATTCAGTAAGATCATTCCTAGTTAAAAAAAAATAAAACAAACAAACAAACAAAAAAAACACATCTGTTCCTTCCTGGCCCTGCAAGAACCCATTAAGCTGAAGGTTCATTTTATCTAAGCTTTATAAACCCTTACTGCCATCTTCTTGAGGCCAGAACAGAGTAAAAAGATTGGCTAGGAAAAATAGTGAAGTAAAAGTAATTATTTTTTTTTCCTTCACCCCTCAGAGACTCCTGAGAAATGACAAAGTAGCACAGATGCAGCTTGGAGGAGCAATGGTGAAAATGAGGGACAGGAAAGCACAGTCCCTTTCAAAGGGACAAACAAAAAAGGAAAACCCATTAGTTAACACAGCTGGTTACTTACAAAGTTTGTTCTCAAGTGTGTCTTCAAAGATCCTCCTGAAGACCCCGTAAAAAGCCCAGCAGGCATGTCCCCCTCACTGATGGGGCCAAGAGGTTCACAAACGTTGAGGCACTTGACCCACGGCTGATCAGTGCTAAGGACCAGAGCTCGGAACTCAGAGTCCAAGGCTCTTTCCTGAGCAGCCAACTTACCTACAGGAAAAGTGTGCATCCAGCGCCTTCTATTGGATGTGAGCTTCATGGGCATTCTTGAGGGGGCAAAGGGGTTAATCAGTGCTCTCTGAGGTGTGTATCCACCAGGCCGAACATGTAGCATAGACTCTGCACTGCCCACATGGAATCTTCCTGGTGCACTGGAGTCCCGCTGTGGGGGTTCTATCATGTTCTCCAGGACATCTGCTGCAAATCATGGGGTTGAAAGCAAAGACAAAGCACAAATCCACAATGAAATCAGAGTTAAGAAGACCGATGAGTCAAGACTAGCAAAAATCTAGGACGTCATAATTATCAGGAAGTAAGAGTAATGAATAAAACATGCTTAGATTTGTTGTTGTTTTTTTTTCTCAAATATTTTGGAGACAAGACCCAATGAAGAAACACACAAACTTAATACAGTCCCATATTTTGCAGGGGGACCATGAACACTGAGCTGAATGCAATGAGTAAGGACTATAATAGGAATGGGGTGAATATATTCTCTCTGAGGGCAAGACAGCAAAAATAAATGTTTGAGCCAGCTGTGACAGCCACACGCTTTAGTCAGAGCACTTGAGAGGCACAGACAGGCAGATCTGAGCTCAAGGCCAGGCTGATCTACAGAGAGTTACAGGTCAGCCAAGGCTGCATAACAAGACACTGCATGACAAATAAGTAAGTGAAAGGTATGTCTGGTGAACAGACTAGCTCACTACACCCATTAGGTTCTGAGTACACAAGGCTAGAATCCCTCTCTATCTGCACTGAAAGCAAATGACACGAGTTCCAGCAAAAAGAATAGTTAGCTTATTTAAGGACTATACAACAGCTATTGATAAGCATTGATGGAGGAAGGTCATTGGTTAATTATAATAAAGAAACTGCTTGGCCTCACAGGTTAAAATATAGGTGGGAGGAGTAAACAGAACAGAATACTGGGAGGAAGAGGAAGTGAGCTCAGAGACGTCATGCTCCCCTCTCCTGGGTAGACGTGATAGCTCTGCTCTCTGAGTCACTTGCGATGAAGCTCCAACCCAGGATGGACGTAGGCTAGAATCTTTCCCGGTAGGACTGATGCTACACAGATTATTAGAGATGGGTTGATCGGGATATGAGAATTAGCCTGTAAGGGCTAAAGCTAATGGGCCAAGCAGTGTTTAAAAGAATATAGTTTGTGTGTTGTTATTTCGGGGCATAAGCTAGCCGGCAGCCGGGGTGCTGGGGACGCAGCCCGCCGTTCCTATTACAACAAAGCATCATCTTCATTATCTTTTCCTCTTTTGTGGCAATTCTGGAAATCAATGTTGAAGATGATGGCATCATAGGATAAGAGGAATCAAGTTCCTCAATGATTAAGAAGATTCCCCCCATTGAGTCTGTGTACTGAGAGAAGTGTAAGCAATCATGTCATTGTGTTCAATTGAAGAAATGTTCTTAAGAAAAAAGAATAAAGAATGTGTTCATGCTTGGCTAGGCCAGGAAAAGCAATATTTAGATTCAACTTGTCCTGTGCAATGGCCTAGAAGAGCAATGAAGGCAGCAAGTTATGTAACCCAATCTAAGGACCTAAAAACTGAAACCCATGGGAACAAAGTCCGTTTCTGTGCATGTTCAGAAAACAACTATGTTGATTAGAAAGTGGCATCAAGGGAGGCTGGAGAGAAGGCTTAGCAATTAAGAGCACTGTCTACTGTTCCATGGAACCAGGATTCAATTCCCAGCACCCAAATGGCAGCTCACAACTGTCTATAATTCAGTTCCATGGAACCTGACACCCTCACATAGACATACATGCAGGAAAAATACCAATGTGCATAGGATAAATAAACAACTTTAAAAATGTGGCATCGAGTAATATCTGGCATGGTGGCTTCCATCTGTAATCTCAACACCTGGTAGGCTGAGGCAGAAGGACCCTCATGAATTTGAGGCTACAGTGTGACCCTGTCTTAAAACGGATGAGAACAACAAGGATTCCTAAGAACATGGCTCAGTGCTTGCCCCACAAGTATTCAGATCTGAATTTGGATCTCTGTGCCAACAGGTTCAGTGGTACATGCTTGCAATCCTAGCAATGGTGAGATGGGAAATGGAGACAGATACCTGGAGCTACTGGCCAACTAGCCTAGCTTGTTTGGCAAAGTTCAAGCTAATCAAAAGCCATACTGTTTTTTAATTTTATTTATTATTATAGTGTGTGAGGGCATGAGTGTCAGAGTACACACGCAGAGAATCAAAGGTAAATTCTGTGGAGTTGGTTCTCTCCTTTAATCTTTATCTGAGCTCTAGGAATAGAATTCAGGGCATCAGAAAAATCCCTTTACTAGCTGGCCATCTTGCCAGCTCCAAAAAACACGTTTAGGGCCTGGAGAGATGGCTCAGTGGTTAAGAACTCTAACTGTTCTTCCAGAGGACCTGGGTTCAATTCCCAGCAACCACACGGCAGCTTACAACTGTCTGAAAATCCAGTTCCAGGGGATCTGACACCTTCACACTGATTCACATAAAAGAAAGTTAAATAAATCATAAAATTTATTTAAAAAAAAACAAGTTTAAACAAAAAGTAGAAGGTACATTAAAAACAAAATTCAAGGTTGTCTTCTGACCTCCACACGTGAACACGCACATACCCACAAAGGTGTCCTCTAAACATACATACTCATTCACACATAATTTTTAAATAAATGGTTCGATCACCATTATCTAATATCTAGCATGAAACCTTCTATATCATTGTAATATTTCACCTTTGAACCTGATTTGTAATTTGCATACAATTATGGAATAATCAAATCACCATCAAATAACCACAAAAATCCTGTCACTAGACATAGTGGTGTATTTCCAACATCAGGAGTGTAGCAGGCAGAAAAATAGCCAATTAAAAGACCAGTCTTTTAATTAAAAGGCAGTGGTGGTGCACACCTTGAATCCCAGCACTCTGGAGGAAGAGGCAGGTGGATCTTAGTGAGTTTGAGGCCAGCCTGGTCTACAAAGTGAGTTCCAGGGCAGTCAGGGCTACACTGAGAAACCCTGCCTCAAACAAACAAACAAACAAAAATCTGTAGCAGGAACAGAAAACCAAAAGCTCATCTATAGACTGAACTGGGAATTCCCACTGATTGCCTCAACTTCCCCAGCTGATTTCTGCTGGATGTGTGCAAACCTTTGATGATGGTATCCTTGTTTGTTCTCTTAATCAGGTTACTCCCATGGTTTGCTGGATGTTGCAAACTGATTTGAAAATATTTTGCTGTCTGTCTGGTGCTTCTATCTACTTGTTATTTACTCTTTTACTTTTCCAGCTTACTTAATAAACTCACTCATAACTGAAAGTACAGCTGCCACAGATCACTCTCTCAACCACACAGAATGAATACACTGTAAATTAACAAACTGGTGCTGGGATTTAGCAAATAAGAAAGAATATGGCCTAACTAATTACTATAGAAATGAAAGAAGACACTCAGCTGGGTAGGATGGTACACATCTATAATCCCAGCGCTGAAGAGGTGAAGGCAGGAGGAGATTGCAGTAAGCTCAAGGCTAACCTGGGGGATAGTAAAATGAGACTGTCTCAAAAAGGGGCCAGCAAGATGGCTCAGCAAAGGTACTTGCCACTAAGTTTGAGTTTGAGGCACAAAACACAAAGCGTGGCACATACTGAGATGAAAAAATAACAAACCCCTTTGACCCTAGGCCTAAAAAAGACTGTAGATAACGTACAAAAGGTTAGAGATGACAGAATAGTATAGTACACATCCAACACCTCATATGATTTGCACTCGTTCACTGGCATGAAAGTAACAAAAATATGAAACTTACACCCCACTCCATCTGGCCCTGTCACTCCCACGCCTCCCCAGCCGTCTGTGCTCTAGCACTCTGACCTCGGGTGCTGGTGTAGCCCAATGAGCTGCTGACTTCATACTGGTGCAGGTGGGGGTTAGGGATCATCAGGATGTTGGTGCTCTTGCCCAGGGAGCTGTCATCAGAAGCCTGGCTCCTCACTTCCTCAGTGGGCAGTGCACGGCTTGGTAGGGAAGGGCTGGATGAGACATCACAGGAGCTGGCACTTTTGCGACTATGATTCTCCTGCTCCCTCACAGACCTAATATGCAGGAGACAAATTACTACCATGAAAACGACACTTCAACTTTGAGTTAAAATATCAGTGATGATCAACAGCTACATATACTCGAGAAACCAATATTAAAACTCTCAATATGGGAAATAACGCTGGCCTGAACAACGAAGATTTCATCTCAAGAGCAGGGGGGGAAGAAAAGGGCATGGTGATTTACATTTAGTCCTGGCAGTTGAGAGGCTGAAGCTGGAGGATCACTAGGAGTTCAAGGCCATTCTAGGCTACGGTGAATCCCTGAGCTATAGAATGAGACCCTGTATCAAAACAAGATTTTTTTTTTTTTTCTGAGACAGGGTTTCTCTGTGTAACAGTTCTGGCTGTCCTGGAACTCTCTTTGTAGATGAGGCTGGCCTCAAACTCACAGAGATCTGCCTGCCTCTGCTCCTGAATGCTGGGATTACAGGAGTGCACCACCACTGCCCAGCAAAAAAAAAAAAATAAGAAAACCACATTAGATCCAAAGGTGGTTAAATGTATCACAATTAGAAACTTATTTGGCCAAAACAACACAGAGCAAATTTATTTATTTATTTTTTTTATTTTCAAGACAGGGTTTCTCTGTAGTTTTTGCCTCTGCCTCCCGAGTGTTGGGATTAAAGGCGTGTGCCACCACTGCCCTGCTCACAGAGCAAATTTAAATAGTGAGAGTTAAAGAAAGAAAAATTCTGTCCTTGGAATAGTAAACCTAAAAGATCAGTATTAGTGCCAGCCAAGGAAGAGCCTGTGCTTTGTGAATTGCATTTCTTGGCTGCAATGTCTGAGAACCTTCCTGTATCTTGAGACAATACTTCACGACAAACAAAATAGGTAGACCCAAGAGTCTGAGAATGGAATCACCAACAATCTCTACAACATAGCTTTCCTGAGGGTAATTTTAATTTAAAACTCCTTTAAATTTTTTATAATTTTTTTTATGTAAGTAAATATTCTGCCTGCATGTACGTAGGTGCATGCAGTGTACCCCTAGTGCCCAAGGACATCAGAAGAAAGCTTTGGAGCTCCTAGAACCTGGAATTCTAAATGGATGTATACCACCATATATGCTAAGAACTGAATTGAACCTGGGCCCTCTGAAAGAGTAACAAGTGCTCTTAACCACTGAGCTATCCCTTCAGCCCCAATTTAAATATTTTTAAGGTTGCTCTCATAAAGGTCCCTCAGGTTTTCTTTTGCTTTCTAATACTCTGTTTTAATATAAACAAATGCTGTAATTAAAAAAATATATATGGAAGCCTTCATGAATTTGTGTGTTACCCCTGCACAGAGGCTATGCTAACCTCTGTGCTGTTCCAATGCAGTGAATGTGCTGAAGCATGCACCTCTCAGGTTTTCTGAACTGCTCTTTCTTCCTAAAATATAGCCTCACTATATAGTTGAGGCTGGCTTTGAATTTGGAATCCCTCCATCTTTGCCTCCTGAGTGTCAGGTTATTGACTTGTGGCACAGGCCTTGGGTCCCTAAATCATTTTATATGCACCCCCAGAGGAATATGACAGAAAACCTGCAGGTGGCAAGGCGCTGAGCCCGGGATGGACCAGGCAGCCTGAATACTTGAGCATCGTAGGCATCATAATCTACTTGGATGGGCAGGGTGTTCTCAGATTCCTTTGGAGTCCCAAGAGCTGTAAAACACAAATAATACAATTAAAACACAGTTCTAACAGAGACACCTATAGAGGATCATCAAAATCTGCAAGGCATTTGGGCTATCTACCAAGGATAAGATGGAATAACCCAACCATCAGGTTAAGACTGAATGACATAAATGTCAAAGTGACACTAAAATAGTACAGCAGTAGCCGGGCAGCGTTCAGCGCTAGTCTTACTGGTCCTGCTTGAAAGACTACCTGAGCATCCCCAGTTCTTTCCACCTGACCCATGCACTGCAGCTGACAAGGCACAGCTGCAAGGTGGCTAAGCACCCTTCCTAGGGTGACACAGGAATGTGGGTTACTGACTTTAATATGAACCTTCTTACAATACTTCCCATTATTTTGTGACCACGAATTACCTATTCCTAAAAGTGATGAGAAAGCATCTCAAAAATACTCACATGTGGCCAGACGGTGGTGGCACATGCCTTTGATCCCATCACTCAGGAGGCAGAGGCAGGGGGATCTCTGTGAGTTCAAGGGTAGCCTGATCTACAGAGCAAGTTCCAGGACAGCCAGGGCTACACTGAGAAACCCTGTCTTAAAAAACAAATGAAAAAAACAAAAAACTCACATGTATCTCGGCCATTTTTGGTTTTCTCAGAAGCAGGCTGAAAAATTAAATAGATACTTTATCACTCCTCTGACAGAAGCAAATGGAACACAGTATGTTATGTACTACTCCTTAGGGCAAAGACCGCGTCCTGGCTATCTAGTAACTGGGTGTTAACACTTGACACCGGCCTACTGCAGTGGCAAGCTCTGCTAAGTCTTTAGTTTCCACTTTACATCTTTTTCTCAGAAGCTTATCCAGTGGGGCATGGACCCCAGTTCCTGCCGGGGACTGAATCCCAGGCGTGAATCCCAGGCATGCGTATGCTCTACACTGGGCTACAGCCCCAGCTTCTCCATGAAGTTTCAACACAAAAATGTTGAAACCCTATTATGACCCTAGAGATGGGAGAAGGGAGCTGACAGTACACACAGCTGTGTGCAGCCCCTGAACGCTGTTCAGACTGGGGAAACATACCTTCTTTCCTGCCAGTTTGATCCGTGGGGTGAAACTGTTGCAAAACAGCTGGCTTTTGGATGTGTAGAAACTATTAAAAAAAAAGTTATTAATCTATAATTTACTTTTTTATTTTTATGTACATTTGGTGTTTGGCCTACATATATGTCGGTGTGAGGGTATCAGATCCCCTAGAACTGGAGTTACAAAAAGTTGGACAGTTATAAACTGCCACGTGGGTGCTAAGAATTGAACCCAGGTCCTCTGGAAGAACAACCAATATTTGGTTTTTTGAGAAAGGGTTTCTCTGTAGCTTTGGAGCCTGTCCTGGAACTAGCGTATAGACCAGGCTGGCCTTGAACTCACAGAGATCCACCTGCCTCTGCCTGCTAGTACTGGGATTAAAGGCACGTGCCACCACTGCCCAGCTACAATCAATATTCTTAACTGCTGAGGCATCTCTCCAGTAACAATTTTTTTGTTTTTGTTTTTTTGTTTTTCAAGACAGGGTTTCTCTGTATAATCCTAGTTGTTCTTAAACTCAGATTCGCCTACCTCTTCCTCCAAAGTGCTGGAATAAAAGGTGAGCTCGACTAAGCCCAGATTCTTTAATCTAAACCTTAAAACAAACTGCAGGTGCTGGAGAGATGGCTCAGAGGTTAAGAGCACAGGCTGTTCTTCCAGAGGTCCTGAGTTCATTCCCAGCAACCACGTCTTTACAAGTCTTTAATCCTAGCACTTGAGAGACAGGGGCAGGCGGATATCTGTGAGTTCAAGGCCAGCCTGGCCTACTAGAGCTAGCTCCAAGACAGGCCCCAAAGAGAAATCCTGTCTTAAAAAAAAAAAAAAACGAAAGAGGGGCTGGAGAGATGGCTCAGAGGTTAAGAGCATTGCCTGCTCTTCCAAAGGTCCTGAGTTCAATTCCTAGCAACCACATGGTGGCTTACAACCCTCTGTAATGAGGTCTGGTGCCCTCTTCTGGCCTGCAGGCATACATACAGAGAGATATTATATACATAATAAATAAATATTTTAAAAAAAAAACGAAAGGAAGGAAGGAAGGAAGGAAGGAAGGAAGGAAGGAAGGAAGGAAGGAAGGAAGGAAAATTCCCCCAAAATATCATGATGGAGAAGGAAAGGCTGCCAGTGTGGGACTTGTCCCCTGGGAAGAAATTTCTAACAGTTCTAACAATCCATCAAACCACCTGACAGGATGAGACTAAACCCCAGATGGTGATGGGTCACTGGTGGGCAGGACCACACCTTGACTAGCATAGCTTAGGTGTGGACATCCTTGATCCTCTATTTAAATTTTGATCTTGCTTTAGGAACTGGAAAAGAGTGGAGGGGTTTGCTGGATCTCTTTATCCATCTTGCCAATGCTGCTACACCGAATCAATCTTTTTCTGCTTTCTACTGTTTTGCCCCTCAGAGCTACAGATCAAAATGGGGGCTGGACAGATGGCTCCAGGATTAAGAGTACTGGCTACTTTTCCAGAGGACCAGGTTTGATTCCTAGCTCCCACACGATGGCTCACAATCTCTAACTCCAGTTTCAGGGGACCCAATGCCGTCTTCTGACCTCTGGGGACACATGGCAAGCATGTAGTGCACATACAGGCAAAAGACCCAGGTAAATAAAGCTTTTTTTTAAGTATGATATCTGTGCTAAATGTGATAGCTTATAGTTTTAATATTAGCCTTGCTGAGGCAGAACAACCAACAGTTTTTAGCTTGGCTACATAACAAGACCTCAAAAAAAAGTACAAATTTTCTTTTCTTTCTTTCTTTTTTTTTTTTTCTTTCTCTTTTCTTTCTTAAGGCTGGGTTTCTCTGTGTAGCCTTGGCTGTCTTGGAACTCACTCTGTAGACCAGGCTGGCCTTGAACCCAAAGAGATCTGCCTGTCTCTGCTTCCCAAGTATGGGCATTAAAGGCATGTACCACCATTGCCTATCTCCCAGCTTACAATTTTTCATAAAAAACCATCCATACAAAATTTTATGGGTTCTGAGAGAAGTAAGGGACATTCACTGAACAGAATAATTGTAATGGGACCATAATATCCTTACAGGTGGCTAAACAAGTAATCCTTGCTCACTTCTGGTTCTTCATCTATGAATATAGGTGACCAGCAACAATCACTGCACCAATAGGAACACAGCTTGTGACAAAGATAAAGGACACATACACAAGGCTAACATCTGTATTTGTTGTGAGTTTCCAAGCTGGTCTCTAGTATATATTTGAAACTTAAATACTGTAGAAGCCAGACCAGCAAGACTGCTCTGTAAAATTGCTTGCGATGATCTGAGTTGGCTCCCCAGGAACTACATGGAGGAAGGAAGGAAAAAGCAAACCTTACAAATGGTCCTCTGACCTACACAAGTGTGCCATGGCATGAGCAGGCATATGAGCATGCACACAGACACATAAATAAATAAGGATAATATTACTTTTTTAAAAAAAATATGCTTGAGCTAGAGGTATAAGCCAAGTAGTCTGCCCCTCATGGAGCCCAGCCCATGACAAACAACACAAAGAACAGAAAGCACCAAAGGAAAAGCATCTACTGCCACTGGGGAGGAGTCACAGGGGAGAAGAGTTGGAGCTGGGTCTTGAAGAAAAGCACCTGCAAGAAAATAACTGGCAAAGGCCCTCTATGTCAACAACAAAAACAACAAAAAAGCGCAGACCTGAGGTAAGTTGAGAGTGTCTGCCACCCATAGCAAGAAAAAGAAATAGTAGCAGGAGAGGAGGCTGCAGGAGTCAGCCACGTTAGCCCTTATTAAGCTCTTTTGAAGAGCTGGACCAAACACACAGAGCAGTATTTTAAAGACCACTGTCTCCAGATCCCAAGGATTCTGACATATCATACCTGCCCTGTGAGGGCAGAGAAGAACACTAATACTTTTTTACTTCTTGAGAGTCAAACTAAGACTAAAAAAACCATCTTGTTACTCAGGAATAAAATGAAAAATGAAAGAAAGAAGAAAATAATTGAGAGCTGTGCTGAGCAATTGCGTACTATGTATAAAGCCCTGGGTGTGGACTGGAGAGACTGTTCAATGCTTGAGAGAACTTGAGCTTGGTTCCCAGCACCCACATCAGGCAGCTCTGTAACTCCAGCTCCAGATGATCCAACACTTTCACCTGGTCTTTGTGTGCATCCATATACAGATGACATGTGCATACATAGAAATAAAAGTAAATATTAAAACAATAACAACCAAATAGAACCAAGCCCTTGGTACAACTCCCAGTACAACCAACTAGCCAAGAAATAAATAAGCAAGTAAATAAGACAGGTTTGGATGGCTCACAATATGATCCCAGCATTCAGGAAGCTGAGGCAGGTCTGCCAGGAATCTGTGCCCAGGCCACACAGAGAAACCATCTCAAAAAAAAAAAAAAAAAATAAAGAGCCAATACCAAGGAAACTATTTAAAACATTCATCTTCCACTCGTGATGACACCCACCTGTGGTTTATCCAGTGAGGGATATTATAATCATCACCCAGCCGAGAGTCCCTCGGAACACTCCGGTTATGCAGCTGCAAGGAAAAAGCCGGAGCACAAATAAGCTAGAAACTTCCAATCTTTCTATTTTTAATTATTGTTCAACTGGTCTTTCAGAAGGAAGCCGAAATTCTATTACCTTGAATAATGGCACAGCATGTAAAGGCTGCTCTCCCATACATACTAGGTCCACCCCGATTCCTAAAAAGGGAAGGACAAAAAAGGCAGGTCAAGAGGACAACAGCAGAGGTGAGTATTCTAATCTGTTAGTATTACTGAACATTGTACGAGGTAAAACTGACTTGCTGTGCTGCAGTTTATAAACTCATCATTGCTACCTACACTGAAAGGAAATACATGCATTTTCTTTTTTCTCTAATGTGCTTTAGGTTAGACATTAACCCAGATCTGTAAAAAGAGAAACAAGACCTCCACAATTCAATTCTAGTGACACTCCTGATCACCATGTAAAGCCCTTTATCATTGTAAAGAGACAATGAGAGCACCACACTTACAGGACAAGGGAGGGTATTAACACAGGGAGACAGGAGAAACCAAGGACTGTTACCATTATCAATCATGCGCTGCTTGGTCAGTATCATGAGTAGGCGGTCCACTTCAAAGACACCCACCCCGGGTGTGATCACCACAGACATCTGTCCAGTTCGGTCAAAGTTGCGGTTGATGTAGTGTTTGTCAAACACTTTAGAGAAAACAAAAATCCCCCAGAGACGATGTCACAGCTTTTCAGAAACCAGACACAGGCAAACAACACAGCTTTTGGTGCACTTTGCACTCATTCCAGTCATACCAAGTGACTCGTTCTGACCTGAATTTTACCATGTCATACACACATGTACCTTTCCCTTTTACTTTAGCACTGTCTTAAAAACATTCACTTTACCCTTTAGAAATCATGCTCACTGGTGCCCAATAGTGGCCCACAGTTTAATTTTTATGAGATAATCTTACATCATCCATCAATGAGTCTATACTTAAAGTTCCAAGAATCAAATAAGATACATATGCCATACTTATTTATGTATTGTGTACACTCAAGTGCCACAGTGCACACGTAAAAGTCAGAGAACAACTTGCAGGAGTTTTCTCCTTCTAAGATCTCAGGGATCAAACCCAGGTCCTCAACTTGGTATCAGGTGCCTTTACCCACTAAGTCATTTCATTGCCGTGTGTTTGTGTTTGTGCTTTGATGGACAGAGTCTCTAATAGCTCACTTTCTCTATATCCCTCATGCTTCTTATTCTCCTATCTCAGGCTCTACACTCAAGAATATATGTATTTTCTTTTAAAAAGCAGAATGGAGCCAGGTGGTGGCAAACACCTTTAATCCCAGCACTCAGGAGGCAGAGGCAGGTGGATCTCTGTGAGTTGTGGCCAGCCTGGTCTACTGAGTGAGTTTCAAGACAAGCTCCAAAGTTACACAGAGAAACCATGTCTCAACCCCCTGCTCCCCCCAAAAAAAAGAAAGAAAGAAAGAAAAAAGTAGAATCTAAAATTTAAAAAATTAGCTAAAATCAGCTGAGGGATGAAATGAGAAATAAACAGTCTACCAGGCAGGAGCCCTGTCAGCTCCTTACCACAGGAGGCTGATTGCCAACAGAAGGCCCACGGGCCAAAGAACAGTCATTATGACCATTCAATTAGAATGGACTACTTTGAGTTAATTTGAAGTGTAGATGGGAAGAAGGCCTCCAAGTCTGGGGCTTTGGGCATCAGCATCGAGCTGTCTATGGCCACATGGGAAGCAAGAGGTCGGCTTACTGCGGTCTTACTCACCGTTGAAGGACAAATTGATGGCCTCTAGGTAGTTTCCTTGTGCTGAGGTAGAATTGTCTCCTTGAGGAAAGCCCCCTAAAGCAAAAATACAAAACAAGGAAAAACATTTCATGAAAAACGAACTCTTAAAAACTAACAGGAAGGTGCCAGGTGGTGGTGGTGGTGGCACATGCCTTTAATCCCAGGACTCAGGAGGCAGAGGTGGGTGGATAGCTGAGTTTCAGGCCTCTTGGTCTACAGAGCGAACTCCAGGACAGCCAGGCTTACACAGAGAAACTCTGTCTAGAGACATATCCCACCCCTCAAGAAAACTCCAAAAAAACAAAATCAAACCAGGAAGGCATCTGGCTCACACTGTGTTAGTTGGGAACATTGTAGGAGCTGGTAGCATATATAACAAACAACTGGCTCCAACTGACCAGACCTGACCAGAAGCAGAAACTATCTACAGCAACACAAGGGAATGGAGCATGAGCTGCTTCTCTGTCTCCAGCCTCCATTCTACATGCCATTTCCCCACTGCACCTCTGACACATGGATGCAGTACCTGCCTGTTCCAGTCGCACCAACACTGGATACTGGATGAAGAGTTTTTTAATGGTCACAAGGAGCGATGTCCACTCTTCCCTCCTCTCATTCTGAGCCACCACTCTGAAAGGAATATGATCATGAAAGAGAAATCGAGCACCTATTGTAGTAGGAGCTATGGGCTGCATTCCCACCCAGCTCCTGCACGGCTAGCTTAGCCCCGGAAATAACAACACACAAACTGTATTCTTTTAAACACTGCCTGGTCCATTAGTTTCAGCCTCTTATTGGCTAATTATTACATCTTGCTTTAACCCATACTTAATAATGTGTGTAGCACCACGAGATGGTGGCTTATCAGGAAGGATCTTAACCTGCGTCCATCTTGGAGAGGAGAGCTATATCGTCTCACTCACGTCCCTTCTTCCCAGCATTCTGTTCTGTCTACTCCGCCTATCTAAATTCTGCCCTATCAGGCCAAGCAGTTTTCTTTATTAATTAACCAATGAAAGTAACAGATAGATAGAAAACACTCCCGCATCAACCGAATATCCCATTCATTACAAAGTTTCAAGGAGGGAGGAAAACGTGGCTCGTAGTAGTAATAAGCAGGGGATAAAAGATAAAGGGATAAACATGCCTACAATTCAAGGACTGAAGACTAAGGTAGGTAGACCCACAAGTTCAAGGCTAGGCTAGGAACATGGTAAGGTTCAGAAAAGCCAGGGTCAAAACAACAAGCGAGTTGTGGTGTCGCAAGACTTTGATTCCAGCATTCTTGAGGCAGAGGCAGAAGGATCTCTGTGAGTTATGGGCCAACCTGGTCTATAGAGGGAATTCTAGGCCAGCCTAGGCTACAGAGAAAGACCCTGTCTCAAAACAAAAAAACAAATGAACAAAGATGGCTCATCAGATAAAGGCATCAGCCACAGACCCTGATACATTGTTCATATTAGGGATCCACAAGGTACAAAGAGGGAACAGACACTCACAAGCTGTCCTCCAACCGCCACAAATAGTGTTCCCCTGAGTACATCATATGCCATAAATAAATAAGTAAATCAGGGCTAGAGAGATGGTTCAGTGGTCAAGAGCACTGGCTAATTTCCAAGAGGACCCAGGTTCAATTCTAAACACCCACATGGCAGCTCACAGCTCTCTGTAACTCCAGTTCCAGGGGATTTGACATACTCACACAGACAAAACGGTTTACTGAAACACCTGCATGGTTATGCGGTGGCCTTTAATAACGGACAAACTGGAGGCTTTTAGAAGAGCTGGTACAGGAGCAACTAGATGCTCAGCATATTGAAGAATCACCCATCCCTTGGAATTCTCCTGTATTTGTTGTTAAAAAGAAATCTAGAAAATGGAGAATGGTAACAGATCTAAGAGTTATAATAAGGTGATTCAGCCAATGGGCTCTCTACAGTCTCACATTCCTTTGCCTTCCCTATTACCTAAAGGATGGCCTCCTATAGTTATTGGTTTAAAAGACTGTCTCTTCACTGTACCTTTACAAGAAAAAGACAGAGAAAAATTTGTTTTCATACATGGTTGTGAGCCACCACGTGATTACTGGAAATTGAACTCAGGACCTCTGGAAGAGCAGCCAATGCTCTTAATTGCTGAGCCATCTCTCCAGTTCCCGCCCACAGGAATTTTAATGTAGAAGGATTATCTTAGAATGAATCTTTTCACCACATAAACTGAGTAAAAAATGAAAAACTTATGTGGAAAAGGTTTCTGAGTTAATTCTAAAAGGAAAATTGAGACTTTGTCAATAAGCAGAAATAGACCCAGCAAAAATTATAGTACCTTTAAATAATGACGAAATTGAAAAATTGTGGGTGAACCCTGGCAAAGAGCTTGTGGCAAATTTTTGGGAGAGATTAATAACTACCTCATAAGCAAGATAATTCAACTGGATTCTTCTTCACATTGTACGGGGGAGCCCTTACATTCTTTTTTATTTTTTTAAGCCAGTGGCTGGCTGCTTTGCTTTAGGAATCTTCAGGCTGAACCCCAATTTCTCTCTCTGAATTTTGTTAATTGTTCTTCAGGCATCAGATCCCATTACAGATGGTTGTGAACCATCATATGGGCGCTGGGAATTGAACTCGGGACTTCTGGAAAAGCAGTCAGTGCTCTTAACCACTGAGCCATCACTCCAGCCCCAAACCCTTACATTCTACTCTGATGCAAAAAAATTCAAGGAAGGCAGGTTACAAATCAGAAAATTTAAGTAAAGTAGAAATTAAAGCCCTTATGATTCTGTCCAAAAGTCAGAATTATATGCTTTTCTTGTGGGACTAAGGGATTCCAAAGAACCCCTAGTTACGAATTCACAATATGCAGAAAGGGTTGTTCTGCATAATGAAACAAATTACTTTATACCAGATGGTACAGAATTGACTTTATTATTTATTCAGTTACAAGATACAACCAGGAAAAGGCATCATCCCATATGCATAACACATCTGACCCCATACGAGTCTGCCAAGCCCTCTGGCACAAGATAATGCAGAAATCAATCAATTATTGTGAGGCAATTTCATTAAAAAGAATCATGTCAATAGCAAAGGATTCAAAAGAGACTTTTCTAATACATGGCAACAAGCCAAGGAAATTATAAGGAAATGTCCTACTTGTTCTTTATACAACCAAACACCACTACCTACAGGAAGTAACCCAAAGGGTACTCAAAGGGATGAAATCTGGCAGACAGACGTATTTCATTTTGTAGAATTTGGAAATTCTAAAATATATAAACCACACCACTGATAACTACTCAGGTTTTCAAGGGGCAACTGCTTGGAGTTCAAAAAAGGCTCACTGGGTAACCACACATTTGCTAAAGGTTATGGCCATCATGGGTATACCTGTACACATGAAGACAGGCAATGCTCCAGCACAATCCTACAGGCCAGGCAGTTATAGAAACAGCAATCAAACTCTAAAGGATATGTTAAATAAACAGAAAGGAATGAAGATAAAGGCTCCCAGAAATAGACTGCATAATGCCTTATTAACTTTGAATTTTCAAAATATTAATGAGATAGGAACAACAGCAGTGTAGAGACATTGGATAGCAGGAAAAACTTCGAAACTGAATCAGTGAATATACTTTAAAGATGCACTGACCTCAGAATGGAAACCAGGACATGTGTTACACTGGGGAAGGGGTTTTGCTTTTGTTTCCATAGGAGAAGAAAAGCTATGAATGCCATCAAAACTGATAAAGACTAATTTGAACAAGAGACACCTCTTAATGGGAAGAGGTGATAATTCATTAAGCACCAATGCCATTTAATTTAAACTAACCTATAAAACTAACTAATGCTTTTCATTTGATCAGATACAACTTGCCAAAAAGAGAATCTCCCCAAAATTAGGTTTTGTTTCTGTCTTTTCAGGAGAATAAAGGTATCCAGCTTAAGAATCTGAAGGCCACTGGACAAATGAGACATCTGAAGGAAAAGACCAGTCTTTCAGAAAGAAAAATATCTCAAGAAAAAAAGTAAGTTGGCCAATATTATATCACATTTCCAACAGGATAAAATTTCATAATTTTTCATATAATGCAAATGGTCTTTTTGTAATTCCAGTCCAATTAAAGATTAATGCTGAGCCGGGTGATGGTGGCGCATGCCTTTAATCCCAGCACTCGGGAAGCAGAGGCAGGCGGATCTCTGTGATCTCTGTGAGTTCGAGACCAGCCTGGTCTACAGAGCTAGTGCCAGTACAGGCCTTAAAGCCACAGAGAAACCCTGTCTCGAAAAACAAAACAAAAAAAAAAAAGGGCTGGAGAGATGGCTCAGAGGTTAAGAGCATTGCCTGCTCTTCCAAAGGTCCTGAGTTCAATTCCCAGCAACCACATGGTGGCTCACAACCATCTGTAATGGGATCTGGTGCCCTCTTCTGGCCTGCAGTCATACACACAGAATATTGTATACATAATAAATAAATAAATATTAAAAAAAAAAGATTAAAGCTGGTTTTGGAGTTGGAGTATGGTTCTCTTCTTCTCTAAACCCACGCATGCTAGTTAAAGTAAAATCCAAAATCTCTGTCTCATGTCAGAAGAGACACCTGATATGACACAGAAGAAAAACAAATATTTAAAGACTACTTTATTGCTACTAATCTAATAACCCTTTGGTTTTATATTGACTCTTTAACAGCTTTCCTTAAGGTTTAAGATTTATAAGATTTATATATTTTTCTTAAGCTTTTTGTAAGATATTAATGGTCATATAGAGTATTAACTAATTTTTTAAAAAGTTTCATCTACCTTTCTGAACATAATTTCAGGTTTGAGTTTCTATCAGTTTTCTGCAGTGAATCATGAACACACCTAACAGCAACCTTTAAGGTCTCCAAAAGTAGGAGGGGTCCCACAACGCGATTCCTCCAGGACTATGATAACACCACCAAGCTGAAAAACACCACCTAAACATTGGCTCTGGACTACACACTGCTCACAACAATTTTGAGGTGGCTAGCTGAGATGATCTAGCCTAACTGACTACTCTAGCCAGGGCTTCTAAAGCCCTACACTTTCTCATTACAGAGACTGGACAACAGCTACCTCTCCCAGGACTTGACAATTAACCCAAATTTTTCTTTCCAGGATACCCTAAAGGTAGGTGGGTTGTTGTAGGAGGCCGCTTGTTTGTTCCTGGGTGCTCAGCCCTGAAATAACTACACAGAAACTATTAATTAAATCACTGCTTGGCCTATTAGCTCTAGCTTCTTATTGACTAGCTCTTACATCTTAATTTAACCCATTTTTATTAATCTGTGTATTGTCATGAGACTGGCTTACTGACAAGGTTCCATCCAGCATCTGTCTCTGGTGCAGCTACATGGCTTCTCCTTGACTCCACCTTCTTTCTCCCAGCATTCAGTTTAGTTTTCCCCGCCTAGCTCTGTTCTGCCCTGCTATGCTCAAAGCAATTTCTTTATTCATTAACTAATAAAAGCAAAACATAGACAGAAGGACTTCCCATATTAGTTATTGGTTTTTCAATAGGTTTATGGATATTTGTCATTGTTTAAGGTGGCTGGTTACAAGTTGTTATTGGTTATGGTCAGGAGAAAAGTTGGACAAAGGAATTTAGATTCAGGGTTCTTGTTTTGAAAAGAAAAAAGGGGATGTAGATATGGTAGGATAAAAGGGTAGATTATTGAACCTACTCTGATCAGAAAAAAGGGAGGATATGGATATAAAATAAAAAGATAGATCATCGGGGGCTGGAGAGATAGCTCAGTGGTTAAGAGCATTGCCTGCTCTTCCAAAGGTCCTGAGTTCAATTCCCGGCAACCACATGGTGGCTCACAACCATCTGTAAAGAGGTCTGGTGCCCTCTTCCGGCCTGCAGGCATACACACAGACAGAATATTGTATACATAATAAATAAATAAAAAAAATATTAAAAAAAAAAGATAGATCATTGACTTTGAAAAAGCAGCTACTAGCTTTAAATTGAATTGGATAAAACTTTTATATATTGTATACAAATTTTATATATCGATACAAATTTGAGATTGATTTTGTTAGAACATACTGTACATATATTTCTACTCTTGTTCAAGTATCTATACAATTCACTCAAAAATGTAATGCAAATTTCTAGTCCTTAAAAATTATTATTACCAACTGTTTAGGATAATAAGGAAATTCGGATTAGCAGTTAATCACCTATTATAAACTTGTCACATTAAGTATGTTTTCAAGGTCAAACAAAGATATGTTTTAGATAGACAGATCATCTTCAAACACTTCAGAAATCTACAGAATATAGTATTTAGGATGTTTTAATAACATAGGTTCTTTTTTTTGTTTTTATGACAATGAGACATGTCTGCTCCTGGCAGCACCATTCTACTTCAGAGAAGATAATGGGCATCAAAGAAACTCCACATGGAACTTACTTTCTTTGTGACAAAAGTAAGAGTTTGGGAACTCCTTTAGCCAAAAGCTTTCTAGATACTAGTCCATTTTGGGCATGGTCTAAGGTACTATAAGCTCAGACAAAAAGCATACACAGCCCTGTTTATGTTGGATTTATGTATATATATGTAGCTATTATACTTATTGCATATAGTTTTCTTATATTAGTTATAGCATTTTTTAATTTTAGACAAAAAAAGGGTATATAGTGGTATATTGTTTGTGTTTTAATAAATAAAGTTTGCCTGAAGATCAGTGCAAAGCAGTCACACTAGTCAGCCATAAAGGCCAGGCAGTGGGGGACACACCTTTAATCCCAGCAGCCACACTATTCAGTCGTAGAGGCAAGGTAGGTTGGTAGTGCACACCTTTAATCCAAGCACTAGAGAGGAATATAAAATAGGAAGATACCGGGTGGTGGCGCACGCCTTTAATCCCAGCACTGGGAGGCAGAGGCAGGCGGATCTCTGTGAGTTCAAGGCCAACCTGGTCTACAAGAGCTAGTTCCAGGACAGGCTCCAAAGCTACAGAGAAACCCCGTCTAGAAAAAACTAAAAAAATAAAATAAAATAAAATGGGAGAAGATGGGTCTCACTCTCAGTCTCAATCTGAGGATTCTTGGAGGCAGAATCTCCCATTTTTGGTCTGAGGTAGAGGTAAGAGCCAGTGGCCGGCTGCTTAGCTTTTCTGATCTTCAGGTTGAATCCCAATATCTGTCTCTGGGTTTTTGCTTTGTTTTGATTTGGTGGTTTGGTTTTTTTGAGATAGGGTTTCTCTATAGTGGTAAGACTGTCCTGGAACTAGCTCTTGTAGATCAGGCTGGCCTCGAACTCAGAGATCCACCTGCCTCTGCCTTCCAAGTGCTAGGATTAAAGGCATGTGCCACCATCACCCAGCTGTCTCTGGATTTTTATTATACATGATACACACTGTTAATTTTATTAAATGACATTATGGTTTTATATAAAATGATCTTATTATGCATAGGAATAAAATATTGTAAGAGGTATAATTTAAGCTAAAATCTAGTCAAAGGCAGAGAAAACAAATATGGCAAGATATTACCTGCAAATTCAGACAGTGGACAGCCAGGGTTTTTAGTTACCTACTCACTTAGTATTACCTTTGAACACTAAAATACTTTACAATTAAAAAAATAATAATAATTTGGAAGCTGTGATGGTTCGCAACAACAACCCCAGCACCTTGTAGGCAGAAACAAGGAATGTTACAAGTTCAAAACTAGTATGGTCTATATAGTGAGTTCCAGACTAACCAAAGCTGAATAGCAAGACTCTGTTCAAAACAGCAAAAACAAATAAAAATTCTAAACACAATATGGTATCCTCTATCACAGAATTTGAAAAATACAAGAATAAAAACTGATGAAATCTAAAAAAAGTTTTTTAAGTTAAGAAGAAACAACCAATAAAGACACAGCAAAGCACCAAAACATACTTGTAAAAGTCCTCATAGAATCTCCCTTTGTGATCCTGTTGAATTGATGCTCGGTTTACTTCAGGAAATTCATCTGAAATACAGAAAATTCAAATCATATTGAAAATTGAATTGTACAGTGTTGCTGGATTCCTCTTTTGGGTTGAAGATCTATATCATCAAAATGTAAGCCAGGAGTGGTGGTGCACGCCTTTAATCCCAGCACTTGGGAGGCAGAGGCAGGTGGATCTCTCTGGGTCTGAGGCCAGCCTGGTCTACACAAAGTGTTCTAGGAAGGCCAGAGCTACACAATAAGACCCTGTCTCAAAAAAAACAGAAAGAAGGAAGTAAGTAAATAAACAAGTAAATGAAGATAATTGTATATCTGTTATGTGGGTTTTAGGTGGTCACAATCCAGCTATCTTATATAAATTAAGATGTATTATTATTTTCCATTTTACTTGGGATCCCTCCTAGCAAAGATGGGAAAGACAAAAAGTACAAAAGCAAAGAAGATGAAAATTAATTGTTTGAGAAGAAGGTGAGGGACCCAACAGAAAATAACTGGAAGAAACTAGTTGTAGGGGTGTGTACTGGCAGTCTGGCTATTCAGGAGCCGCAGGCAGGAGGTTTGTTTTAAACCAGAAGTTCATGGCCAGCCTGAAAAATATAACAATATCCTGTCTATTAAGAAATGAAAAATTTAGCTGTCTTAATGGCACACACCTCCCAGCACGTGGAAGGCACAGGCAGAAGATCTCTGTGAGCTTGAGGCTAGCCTGGTTATATAGTGAGTCCCAGAACAGCCAGAATATAATAAGTCATCAAAATGTAAGCCAGGAGTGGTGGCACATGCCTTTAATTCCAGCACTTGGGGAAAAACAAAACAGAAGAAATAACAAACAAATAAATAAATACAAATAAAATTTAAAAGTATAATCAAAATATAGTGCATTAAAAAAGTCTACCAAAATTGTTTAAATTCTCAAACAAATATATATAATATATATGAGAAAAATTTACTCACCAATAGATTTTGCATCATAAAAAGTTCTAGAAAACAGGACCACAGTCACTTCGTGACTACAGTTCTTCTCCTAGGCATGAACACAGAAAAAGGAGGTACAAGTTTATTCTATTTCCTTCACTGTAAAGCAACCCATGCACACTAATATCCGCAATCCTAAGAGGCTCAATGGCTGAGCACTGTGAAGGGGACAGAACACTTGCTGCCAAAAGATTTGTTCTCGCCAGGCTGTGGTCCTTTAATCCCAGCACTCAGAGGCAGAGACACGCTGAGTTCGAGGCCAGCCTGATCTACAGAGCAGGTTCCAGGATAGGTTCCAAGGCTACACAGAGAAACCCTATCTCAAAAAAACAAACAACAACAGTAAAAGACTTGTTCTCAATTCTGGCTCTTAAGCTTACCACCCTGTAACTTCAGGTAGGTTACTTTAAGTTCTAAGGATGTGCAAAAATGCTTGGAAAGCTACAAAAAGAAAGGGTCCTGTCACCCAATTCTTGATTTGACATAAACCTGACCAACTGAATGTTAGAGCTTGATTATATCCCTATCCACTTTTAATTCATTAGAACTGCAAGTTTAAGGAAAAATAACAGTGCCTATAGTGGTGGTTTAAAGAACCAAAGATGTTCCTACACATCACAGGATGAGGCCCAGAAGCTTTGGGGAGAGGAAGGAATGCAAGCCAAAATCACAAATTACCTTTTGGATGCAGATGGGAGCTAGTAAGAATAAACATTTCCATGAAGTCTTGAGATCAAAATCCTGGGAACAGGGTAATAACTGGTGGACATGACATGTAGCTTGTTTACTGAGCCAACGAACTTGTTTCAGTTCCTGCCAGACTCAACCTCATCTCTCCCAACCACACTAACACAATTCAGCACTTGACATAAAAGAATACAACTTAATGTACCATATGCCACCTTTCATTTTTCCTTGGATATATTGCAAGTGGATAGAAATTCCTGAGTACAAGTCAAAGTACAAGAAGTACACTGCTGGGGAAAAGCAGACCTGAGGCACCAACTGGGGACTGGACTTCACATCCCCCAAATCAAGCATCCTTATCCAACTTTGATGGATAGAAAAAGTGTCACAGAGACACTTTTTACAGAGAGCAGAGAGTCTCTCAACTCCTGTGGAAAGGAGATAGAGACTATTATCATCTCCACTTTGCAGAAAAGAAAACCAAGGCTATCCATGACCAAAAAGCTAATTGGAAGGGACCCCTAATTTTAAACTAATTTTGTTTTACTCCAAACTCTGTGACGTTAAATACTGTATATGTGAGGATGATGTTTTCATTGATAGAAAGGTCAAGTGAGCTATAGCCCTAGTTTCCTAAGACTTTAATTATAAAAAGTTCAATTTATTTTCTTTATTTTGCTTTGTTTTTTGAGACAAGATTTCTTGGTATAACAGCTCTGGCTGTCCTGAAACTAGCTCTGTAGACCAGGCTGGCCTCAAACTCAGAGATCTGCCTGCCTCTGCCTCCCGAGTGCTGGGATTAAAAGCATGCGTCACCACCACCCGGCCCACATTCATTCTTTTGCATATAAATATTCAGTTGTCCCAAAATGCATAGAGTATTTTTCCCCTCAAATGGACTTCATTGTCCTTGTCTAAAAGCACCAGACTGCAGATGTATGAGTAGTACATGGACTTTTATTCAATTGTATTGATCTATGTCTATTCTAATGCCAGTATCACACTAGCACTATTTTGCTGTCTCCAAGGAGAAATCAAATTCTTTATTCTTTTACAAGGCTGTTTATTCCCAATTTCTTACAATTACATAGAAACTTGAGGATCAGATTTTTATTTCTATAAAAAATGTGTAAAGGAATTTGACACAGACACACTGTGTTGCAAACTGCTCTGTACATATTTTATTTTGGTCTTATCATTTTGAGACTTCTGCCTCCCAAATCCTGAGATTACAAGCATGTAATCTCATTGTCTGCATTGTCATTTTAATCCTATTAAGACTAGACATGGTGGGCCGTGCCTGTGATTCCAACTATTTGAGAAGCCAGGGCAAAAGCATTTGTAGTTCCAATATAGCTTTACCAAGATCCCAATCAAAAAACATCAGGAATTTTATCTGTCTGTCTGTCTGTCTAGTGTGTATGAGTGTTTTGCCTGGCTGAATGTTGAGTTTTCTAAATGCATATGTACCATACATGTGGGTCCTGAGAACCAAAGCCAGTTCCTATGCAAACACAAGAAGTGCTCGTAAGCACTGAGACAGCTCTCTCTCCAGCCACTGATTTGTTTTTTTTTGGGGGGGGGTTGTTTTTTTTTCCTTTATTTTTATTTTTATAGGTATAGGTATTTTGTCAGTATGTATGTCTGTGCACCACATGTGTGCTGAGTCTTTGCCAAAATACTGCATCAGATCCCCCAGGACTGGAATCACAGACAGTTGTAGGCGATCCCCATAGGTGCTGAGACTCAAATGCAGGGCTTCTGGAAGAGCAGCCAGTACTTTTAAACACTTAACCATGTCCCTAGCCTCCTACCCTATTTTTTTTTTTAAGATTTACTTCTATTTATATGTGGGTGCCTAGAGTAACAAAGAAAGCATCCATAATACTGATCTTAGGAAAAAGTTTTCAGTCTTTCACCACTGAGGGCGATCTGTAAAGTCAGCTCTGTTGTTTTTCATAAATACTGTTTATTATGTTGAGGTGGTTAGCATAACTTAAATCTCAAGTCCACATTTCAGCTAAAGTAGCTCAAGATAAGGCAAACAGAAAAAACTGCATTCAGAAAACTCAACAATCAGCCAGGTGGTAGCACACGCCTTTAATTCCACCAATTGGGAGGCAGAGGCAGGTAGATCTCTATGAGATCAAGGCCAGCCTGGTCTACAGAGATAGTTCCAGGACAGTTAGGGCTATTTCTTGAGAAATCCTGTCTCAAGAAATTAAAAATCTAAAAACAAAAACCAAAAAAAGAAAGAGAGAGAGAGAGAGAGAGAGAGAGAGAGAGAGAGAGGGAGGGAGGGAGGGAGGGAGGGGAGGAAGGAAGGAAGGAAGGAAGGAAGGAAAGAAAGAAAGAAAGAAAGAAAGAAAGAAAGAAAGAAAGAAAGAAAGAAAGAAAGAAAAAACTCACATTCAGGAGCTAAGGAGAAAACTCAGTTTGTAAAGTGCTTGCCACATAAGCATGAGGACCTGAATTCAATCTACACTAAAAGGTCACAGTGGCACACGCATTTAATCCCAGCACTCAGTAGGTAGAAGGCAGATCTCTGTGAGTTTGAAGCCAGCCTGGTCTACAGAGCAAGTTCCAGGCCATCAAGAGGTACACAGAGAAATCCCGTCACAAGAAATAAAAATAAAAAAATACAAAATAAAGAAAAACTGAAAAATTAAAAATCTAATGAGTGCTATCTACTTAGATTATAATGTAGAAAAATACATACCTTCCACTTAGTAAACAGGTCAGCAAGGAAACCATTCACAGCTTTCTCAAAGTACAAATCCCCTGAAACAAACGGGGAGAAAAGGGTGAGGATGTCATATTTTTCCTATTCTTTTTTGGCTTGAACTATCTCTTCTAAATACAGTGAAGGAATCAGACCAAATAGAAAACAATGGATCAGCTATATAAATATATATGTAAATATATACATAAATATATATACTTATTTATATCTATATTTATATGTGTATATGTTCATATGTATATATAAAGATAGTAAAAGTAGAGTATAAAAACTAGAGTACAGATGTGGTGGTGAACACCTTTAATCCCAGCACTGGAGGCAGAGGCAGGCGGACCTCTGAGAGTTCAAGGCCAGCCTGGTCTACAAAGCAAGTTCTAGCCAGCCAGGGTTACATATTGAGACCCAGTCTCAAAAAAGGGGCTGGGGGGGGGGGAGCAAAAGGACAAAGTGAAAAATAAATGAAGGAGGGGGCTGCTTGCATACACTAGACAAACTAGACAAAACCCTACCATTGGGTTACATCCTCAATTCTATCAAATTAAATTTAATTATGGAGGTTCAGTGCTTCATTCATTAGCACAGAAAGTACAGTCAAATCTCATAATTAGAGTCTCAGCTTCAAGGTGAACTCCAAATGTTTAAAAAGGAAGATGACTGGTTAATATGATGTGTATTTCTAAACTCCAAATATGATGATTTTTATAGCCATGCTTAAAGTGTCTTAGAAGATAATTGGGGGAGGGGGGGTGCCAAACCTAATGACCTGTGTTTGATTCCCCAGACCCTCCACAGGAGAAAGAAAACTGATGGGGTGGAGAGATGGCTCAGCGGGTAAGAGCATTGCCTGTTCTTCCAAAGGTCCTGAGTTCAATTCCCAGCAACCACATGGTGGCTCACAACCATCTGTAATGGGGTCTGGTGCCCTCTTCTGGCCTGCAGGCACACACACAGACAGAATGTTGTATACATAATAAACAAATAAATATTAAAAAAAAAAACTGATTCCTGAAAGATGTAGGTACACATGCTCTCTCTCTCTCTCTCTCTCTCTCTCTCTCTCTCTCTCTCTCTCTCTCTCTTTCCCTCTCTCGCTCCAAGTAATGGAAGTTCAACAACAAAATGATTTAGTAAACCCTAGGCATTCATTGTAGTTCCTCCTAGCCATAATTTCCTCACTGATGCACAGCAAGCACTAATTTGCAATAAAAATTTGAACTGTGCAAATCATGAAACTGGTGGGGTAGTCACAGCACCGGTACCTCATAGTAGTTTTAGCATTCTCTGCTCATTATGTCATAATTCAAAGACAATGAAGCTGAAGCAAACTTGTTTTTCTGTGATTGATAGAGAACTAAGTGAAAGACACCAAGTTGAGGGTAGTTAGTAAATGCCTGCTCATAGGAGGCTGGGTAGAAAGATTGTGAATTTGAAGACAGTCTGGGTTATAGATCAAGATCCTATGAAAGCATAGAAAGTAGAAAAAGAAATTGGTGGTACCTAATCATACTAGAAGTGAAGCTCTGAGAATTCAGGATTTTCATTAATACTTTACGGCACTTCCTGGAATTCATATTCTGCTTCTGCATCTGTCTCTCCAGATATCTACGCAGTTTATATAAATAAAATAGAGGAACTAGTAAGATGGCTCCGTGGATAAAAGCATTTGTTCCCTAGAATCTATGCATGAAATCAAGAAAGAACAGACCCTCTACAAAGCTGTCCTCTGACCTTCATCTGGGAATGTGGGCATACATGAACACACAAAATATTAATAAAAGAAAAATGTCTAAAAATAAATAAAATAGCGAAGAAGTGTGCACGGCAGTACATTCTTGAAATCACAGCACTTTGGAGGTAGAAGGAGAATCAGTTCAAGGTTATTCTTGGCTATAGGGTCTCACTATCTAGCTCTGACAGGAATTTGCTGTGTAGACCAGGCTGCTCGTGAACTCACAGAAATCAACAAGCCTCTGTCTCCTGAGTGCTGGGATTAAGCATGCACCTCCACCCCTAAGCTGTATCTCTGTTAGGTAAAGGGCTTGTTTAGCATACACTGACTCCAGGTTTGGTCTCCACAGCACAGCATAAACTGGGCAGAGACATGAACACCTTTAATCATAGCACTTGGGGGACAGAAGCAGGAGAATGGGAAGTTCAAGGCCATCCTCACCTATATGAGACCTTTTCCCAAAAAACAAACAGTAATAAAAAGAACATTGAAAAATGATAGTAAAAGAGAACTAAAGAGGTTTGTCAAGAAAGCAGGACACATCTTTAGAGAACATCAAATGCTTACTATAAAATGATACAGACTTGGGGGAAACCAAAAAATTCTCTCCAGTGGCAGTTACAATCAGTACTTAGGGAACAGTACCATAAATATCAAAATCCCACATTTCACAGCTCATCTGAATAAATATGTAAACCATAGCCGACGTAGAACGGAACACCACCTGTAACAAATAAAAACATAATTGCATTAAAAAGCAAATGATTCATATACAATTTCAGTTCTACAGAATGAATAGGGTGTCAAAGTCTGCCACAACAGTAATACACTCAACATATCTGCCTATATTTAGTCGTTACTATTTAGAGAGAGAATGTGTGGTATGTATGTATGTATCCATGTCTGTGAACACACGTGGAGGTCAGAGAACAACTTGCAGAGTCAGTCCTCCCCTTCCACTATGTAGGACCCAGGAACTCAGACTCGAGTTATCAGGGTTGGTGGTAAGCACCTTTACTCACTAAGCCATCTCACTAAGTAGGTTATTTATGCAATAACTTACTTAGTGAGTTAATTATGCAATTAAAAATAGTGTACATGCCAGGACATGGTGCACACCTTTAATCCCAGCACTTGGGAGGCAGAGGCAAGCAGATCTCCAAGTTTGAAGCCAGCCTGGTCTACAAAACAAGTTCCAGGACAACCAGAGCTGTTATTCAAAGAAACCCTGTCTTGAAAAACAACAACAACAACAAAACAGCAAAAAAAGTGCACACATATTGAAAGCTTAAAAGCTAACATCTACAAGTCCTATAACCTATAACAGCAACCTGCATACAAAATATTCTAGTCAATAGTGGGACAATGTTATAGGAAGAACCAACTACCACGGGGAGGGGGGCTTTTTGTTTTGTTTAAGGACCACTACATGAGATAGAACCCATACCTGACATCACTAAAGTGGCCAGGATCCTGCAACTAGATATGTCATGGGCCTATGGAAAAAACTATTATTATTCCACTAATGGAACACGGGAATAAAATGACTCTTGATGATACACTGCTATATCCACAGTTAACAAGCTCACCAATCCTCATCAGAGATGCTTCTTGCAGTAGATAGGCATTAACAGAGACCTACAACTAGACAATGTGCAAAGAGTGAGAGACTGGAGCAGTCTTAAATGGGATGCCCTTTCCCTTAGAGCTCAGGGCCTATTCGGAAGAAGTGGAAAGATTGTAAGAGCCAGAGGTGGTGGATGATTCCAAGGAAATCATGTCTTTCAGATACAACAGCGCCGATACACACATGAGCTCACAGAGATTGCAGTAGCACACAAAAGACCTGTAAAAGTCTGTACATGCTCAAGCAAGATCCCAGCAATGAAAGGTCCCACCCCCAACCAACAAGTTATTTGCAATTGATATCTACTCGCAATGGGAAAATCAGTTTCCTCCAATGAAGTTTAACAGTTATATCAACCATATTCCAAGGGAGGATCCATGCCCAGTAGTAGTGGACCATGGACCAACACAAAACAAATTATATGTTTTGTGTGAGTGCTTTTTGTTTAGTTTTGTTTGGGCTTTTTTTTTTTTTGTCTTATTGATTTTTTCATCATTTTGATTTTCATTTTTGTTTTTGAGAGAGAGAAAGAATATAAAGTTGGCAGATAGGGAGGTGAGATGGTTTGGAAAGACTTGAGGGAGGCAGAGAAACCTGATCAAAATATAGTACATAATCTGTCTTGAAGCAAAACAAAATACATTACACAAAATTTTTTTTAAATAAATTATTTTTACTTGCATTGCTGTTTTGTCTGCATGTTTGTCTGTGTGAAGATGTCAGATCTTGGAGTTACATACAGTTGCTAGCTGCCATGTGGGTGCTGGGAATGAACCCAGGTTCCCTAGAAGAACAGTCAGGGTGCTCTTAATCACTGGGCCATCTTTCCAGCCCCATTATACAAAGTTTTAACAAAAATAACAATAAATAGAGCAAACTCTGATATGGTGGCTAATGCCTGTAATCCTGTAACTCAGGAAAGTGAGGCAGGAATACAGTCAGTTCAAAGACAACATAGGCTAAATAGCAAAATCCTGTGTAAAAAATCAAACAAAACATTACTACTTGGAGTAAATCTTGGGGTTGGGGTTTTTATTAAAAGAATTCTCTTAACTATGAAGTGGTACTTGGTCCTTTTTTTTTCCTTTTGGTTTTTTGAGACAGGGTTTCTCTGTGTAGCAGTCCTAGCTGTCCTAGACCTCGCTGTGTAAACCAGAGATCTGCCTGCCTCTGCGTCCCTAGTGCTGGGATTAAAAGTGTGCGCCCGGCAAAGTGGTACTTCTAATTACCCATGCATTCTTTCACTTAGCTGACAGAATGCCCAGTGGTGAACTACCTGTCCAGTATTCAAGAAGCTCTGATACCCAATACTATACAAGACTGAGTGTGGGGAGGGGAGGCATGTGTTTACAATCCCAGCACATGGAATGTGGGGACAGGACTGTTGGGAATTAAAGGTGATCCTTGGATACATAACCAGCATGGACTACATGAAACCCTATTCAAAAAACCAGAAGCAGGGGCTGGAGAAATGAAGCAGTAGTTAAAGCACTTGATGCTCTTGCAGATGACCCAGGTCAAGTTCTCAGCACCCACATCAAGGCTCACAACTGTCTTTAACTCCAGTTCTAGGAGATCCAACGACCTCTTCTGGTCTCCGTGGGCATGTACATGGTACACACATACGTATGTGACAGGCAAAACACTCATACACACAGAAATATGGCATAAGGAAATAAAACCAAAAAGGTCACTTTGTAATCTTACCCTGGTCTCTTCACTGATGTAACCACACATGACCTTCTCATTCTTGACCCAGAGCTCACCAGCCTGCGCTCTGAAAGGAGATACACATACAAGTTATTGTTACCACTCTCTTCAGGTGGCTCACTCGCTGTCTTCTAAGTGGTACGAGCTAGCCTCCTGTGTCTGTCATCTAGGTTCACATGCACTCAAACGTCTGATCAGTTATATCTCTCCAAAGAGAGTTCCATGAGCAACTTATCTACTATAAGCAGCTGTTGTGTGTGAACACACACAACAGGAGTCCACAGAAAACATACAGGTCTAGAAACTGGGCCTTTAGAGCACAGAGACCCTCAGAAATAATACACAAATTATCCAGGTACAGATTTTATAGTTTTGACCAATCCTCAAAAAACAAGTGTCAATAACAACTGGCTTTTTTTTTCTTCTTGTTTTTGGGGTTTTTCAAGACAAGATTTTTTAATGTAGCCCTGGCTGGCCTGTAACTCACTCTGTAGACCAGGGTGTCCTGGAATTCACAGACATCCACCTGCCTCTGACTCTCAAGTGCTGTGATTAAAGGCGTGCGCCACCCTGCCCAGCAGTTCCTTTCTTCTGCTTTCATGGTTCCCCTTCCTAGTTTCATGATTTACAAATACACACTGAAACAGTTTCTGTGACTGAGACACTTTATTTGTCCAAGTCTAGCTTGTTTTGCTTTACATAAAGTTATCTGAGTTCATGCATTTCCTGCAAAATGTCATGATTTTATCTCATTATTTTGTTTGTTTGGTTTGGTTTTTAGAAACAGGGTTTCTTTGTGTAGCCTTGGTTATCCTAGAAGTCACACTGTAGACCAGGCTGGCCTTGATCTCACAGAAATCCACATGCTTCTGCCTACCAAGTGCTGAGATTACGGCATGTGCCACCATCACTTGGCAATTTTATTTTTAGTGGTTTCATCAAAATCCCATTAGGCATGTATGCTATTTTCTTTAGCCATTCATCTGTAGATGGACATATAAGATGACTCCATTTCTTAGCTACTGTGACTACAGCAACAATACAATTGGATATGCAAGTATGTATGAGTAGGGATTAAGAGTCCTTCAGATAGCAGGGTGACTGGTGGCACACCTTTAATCCCAGCGCTTGGAAGGCAGAGACAAGCAGATCTCTCTGAGTTCAAAGAGAGTCTGGTCTACAGAGAAAGTTCCAGAACAGCTCTGTTAAACAGAGAAACCCTGTCTTGCAAAACAGAAAAAAAAAAAANAAAAAAAAAAAAAAAAAGGAAACTGAGGTTGGAAAGAAAACTCAGCAGTTAAGAGCACTTGTTGCTCTTACAGAGGACCTGGGCTCAAGTCCCAGTACCCACGTGGTGGCTCACAACTATCCATATCTCCAGTTCCCAGAAATCTTTTGGCTTCTGGGAGCACCAGTGTGCATATGGTACACATACACAAATGCAGGGAAAACACACAGACAGACTAAACTTAAAAAACAATTTAAAAAATAGCCAACTAATTAAAATAAACTGGTATATCCGTACAGCAGAATATCATGGAATCATTACAATATTGCTTACACTGAGCTGTAAATGCACAAGAACTATATATAGCCAGCATAGACTACATGGTGAGTTCCAAGCTAATCTAGGCTAATGTGATACTCTGTATCCAAAAAATAAAAATAAAAATAAATTAAAAATGGGAATGAAGATTTGTGGCAGAGTACTTTCCCAGCATGTGTGCGGCCATTCCCACCACAAAACAAATAAGACAGTAAAGAAATGGCAACAGTAGGCAGGGAGTGTTTCAGGGCTGGAGCTGTTGCGAGGGGGGAGATGGGGGAGACGTGATTGACTAGTATACATGAGGCCCTGGATTCCAACTCTAGTACTGAAAAAAAAAAACATGGGGGAGAGATTTGAAAAGTCTCTTTTACTAAGATACAGAAATCATTTTAAATACAGTGATAGTGAAGCAGTCCAGGTAGAAGAGCAACACATGACAATACTGTGCTGGTTGTTCTATACCTGTAAACAAGTATCCTAATCTGTAAGACATGTTAATATAAAACAGTTCCACTTCTAAATTATGTAATTCGCACCTCGTGTTACAGCAGTAATTCTGAAAGCAGCCAGGTGTGGGGCCAGCGCCTGTCTCCTAGCACTAGAGAAGTCGGAGCAGAAGGCTCAGGGGCTAAAAGCCAGTGCTGACAACACTGAAACTGAGGCCAGCCTGGCTACATGAAACCAGGTCCCAACATTACAAAAAGCAAACTCGCAAAGCAATCCTAAAACTGCCATCATGCACTTTGGTTCTTCTTCGCTTGTATCGTGCAAGTTAGCATGTGCAACACTTGTGCCCTTTACTGCAGAGACCCACGGGCCTTAGGTGTCTTATTCAGCTGACTTCCTGCACTAAAGCCCACTTCTGTTTACCATCCAGTAAGCCGAGAATGCCACGATACTTACCTGATGCCAGCAAATTCCACTTTCTGAGTGATATAGGCACAGGTGCTCACCTAAGGGAAGGAGAAAACAAAAGGACTCAACCCATCAGGCCACAGAAAGTCACACACAAGAGCTCCTCTTGGCTTTAAAATCTCCTCCAACAACAAAATGCTGGGCATGGTGGTGCACACCCTTATCCCAGCACTCGGGAGGTAGAGACAGGTGGATCTCAGTGAGTTTGAGGCCAGCTTGGTTCCAGGACAGACTCCAAAGCTACACAGAGAAACTTTGTCTTGCAAAAAAAAAAAAATACTAAAGAGTTTTCAGTACAGGGTTACAATTCTGATGAACTAGGCATTTTAAATGAAAAAGGTTCAATAAAAATAAGTAAGTGGGTCTGATGGTACATGTCTTTGGTTCCAACACTCAGAAGGCAGAGGCAGAATTGTCAGTTCCAGGGTAACAAGGATTACACAGCATGTTCTAGGCCAGCTAAGTCCACATACTGAGACCCTTCTCAAAAGCGGGAAGAGGAGTGGGGATGGGGTTGAAAGAGTGTTCTTAAAGAGGAACCAGGTTTGGTTCCCAGCACTCACAGGGAAGCTCAGTCTGTAACTCCCGTTCTAGAGGATCCACTATGCTCTTCTGACTGGTGAAAGCACTAGGCATGCATAGAGCCATACACACAAAAATAAAAAAGAAAAAAGAAAAGGATATAGCCAAATATGTACAGTAAGTACCTGTGGATGCTACAATCAGAAGGTATTTGGACGGCTCTAAATTTATATGATAAACAAGGACAATCCGTGTCATAGAAAAGACAATATGCTGGTTTTTAAAAGACCATATCTTACCAAACTCTTCTTTAGTCGCCACATATCCCCACGGCCAATGTACTGATCCTTAAAAGTCAATTCCACTAGGTCAAGAGTCACATCCTAAAAGAGGATAATCACACTTTTGTATTCCTTTGTCACACTTTATAGTCAAAATATGATATCCACACACTGTGAAAAAAAGTGCAAAAAAAAGAAAACCTTTGGACAATCACTCAACAGCAGAACTCACTCTCTGCAGCAAAGGCAACTCAACCACGCCCTTGGCATTTGTACAGCACATACTATGGCAGCAGCCCATGAAAAGGAGCCCCCGAGGACCACTTGTGTGCCTCAATCCTGCTGCTGCTGCTGCTGTTTGACAAAGGGTGTTACTGCTTTGCTGCGAGGCTGCCTCACATTGATGAGCTCCAGCAGGCCTCTCTGCCTGGAACTACAGATGCATGCACCCATGTCCTTTTGTTTTAGTCTTGAAAGATACCATTGGTCTGTCCGCTTTATTTCACTATAGAATGCACATCATACCCTATGGATAATTATTTTGCCTATCAAGTATCAATTAATAAAGAAAAATGCAAATCTGGATGTGGTGCTGCACGCCTTTAATCCCAGCACTGTGGAGGCAGAGGCAGGCAGATCTATCTCTGTGAGTTCGTGGAGTAGGAAGGTCTTTTGTCTATGTGTTACTTTAATTGGTTAAATAAAGAGACTGCCTTGGCCTTTTGATAGGACAGCAGCTTAGATAGGCGGAGTAAACAGAACAGAACTCTGGGAGGAAGAAGGCAGTGTGGCAAATGCCATGGCTCTCTTCTCTGAGATGGATATTGGTTAGACTCATGTCGGTAAGCCACAGTCAAGTGGTGATACACATTAATGGAGATGGGTTAAACAAATATGTAAGAGTTAGCCAATAAGGGCTGGAGAGGTGGCTCAGCGGTTAAGAGCATTGCCTGCTATTCCAAAGGTCCTGAGTTCAATTCCCAGCAACCACATGATGGCTCACAACCATCTGTAATGAGGTCTGGTGCCCTCTTCTGGCTTTCAGCCGTACACACAGAAAGAATATTGTATACATAATAAATAAAAAAAAAAAAAAAGAGTTAGCCAATAAGAGGTTAAAACTAATGGGCCAGGCAGTAATTTAATTAATACTGTTTGGTGTGGTTATTTTGGGTATAAACTAGCCACATGGCGGGGAAGCAGACCACCGCTCCTATTACTACAGAGTGCTATTCTGCAGACCAGTCTGGTCTACATTGTTAGTTCCAGGACAGCCAGGGTTACAAAGTGAGACCCTGACTCAAACAAACAAAAGAAAAAAACTCAGAGCCAGATACAGTGATGCATCTTACACTCCCAGGAAGCTGAGGGAGGAGTGCTAGCAGGTCTAGGCATGCCTGGGCTATATATCAAGTTCTATGTCAGCTGAGCTAAACAACAGACTCTGCCTAAAAAAAGAAAATAAGCATGAAGGGCTGAAAAGATGGCTCAGAGATAAGAGCACTGACTGCTCTTCCAGAAGACCCAGGTTCAACTCCCAGTACCCATATGGTGACTCACAACTATCTAATTCCAGCTTCAGGGGAATCCAACATCCTTTTATGGCCTCTCTGGCCATCAGGCATACATGCAAGCAAACACTCAAATAGATAATAAACTAAGACAAGCTTTTTGGGAGGGGGGTTGGTTTTTTGTTTGTTTTTTTGAGACATGGTTTTTCTGTAGCTTCGGCGCCTGTCCTGGAACTATCTCTTGTAGACCAGGCTGGCCTTGAACTCACAGAGATCCACCTGTCTCTGTCATCCAAGTGTTGGGATTAAAGGCAGGTACCACCATCGCCCAGCAAGACAAGCTTTAAAAAGTGAGGACTTAAATGCAGCCTACATACCAATAATATTTAAATGACCTATATCTGACCACTTAACAATATAGCACTACACTTAACAACCTCATTTCCATCGTCACCTAACCTTTGAGGATAGGTGTTAATCACTATAAAAAGAAATTTCCAAACCAAAAAAAAAAAAAAAAAAAAAAAAAAAAAAAAAAAAAAAAAAAAAAAAAAAAAAAAAAAAATTAAAGTCCAAAACAAAAACTTACTTTGGGGTCTACAACATTCACATAGACATCTTGGTAAGGTCTTAGCCGGAATACTTGAGTCACAGTCTGGTCCACACTGATAGTTTCTAAAACAGAAAAAAAAAAATTGGTTCAGTTAACACATTTTGATCATTTGCTTTGGCCTCTGCCTTTCAGGACATGAAATTTTAAACAGTTCTCTACAGGTGATACAAGCCCAAGCAGTAACACTTGATTTAAAATAATGAAAAGCACCCGGTGTCAGGGCCCTTTGTAATTCCAGCATTTGGAGGCTGAGGCAGGAGGACTGAAAAGCCTGACCGGGCTACTTCAGCAGTTCTTGCATCAAAAAAGAGCTGGAGCTGGAGAGATGGCTCAGTGGTTAAGAGAAGCTGTTGCTCTTGCAGTGGACCTGAGCTGGGTCCACTCCCAGCACCTACATGGTGGCTCACAACCATCTGTAACCCCAGTTTCAGGGGATCCAGCAGCAATGAGCATGGTACACATATATGCATACAGGTAGAACATCCATACACAAAGCAAGATAAATCAATCAAAAAATTAGAAGAGAAAGGTGTAACTTGGTGGTTGCAAACATGCTCAGCACACGAGTCCCTGAGTTTGCTGGTGGAGGGAAGAAGGAAGAAAATGAGAGAAAAAGGAGTGGAGAAACCAGAAGAGACAGGAGAGAAAGAGACGAACACAGATCTTGCATGTGGGGGACTAGAGAGGTGGCTGTCAATAAACTGCTTGCTCCATGAGCAGGAGAACCCGGATCCTGATCTTAAGCACGCATGTAAGATCCGAGCATGGCGGCACACACCTGAACTTTAGCAATGGGTTCAGAAACAAGTGGATCCCTGGACTTGTGGCCAGTTAGCCTAGCCAAGACAGAGCACTTTGGGCTCATCAAAAGACTGTCTTGCCAACATGGTGGTGTATGGCTGCAATCCCAGCACTTAGGAGGCAAAGGCAGATGGATCTCTGTGAATTCAAAGCCAGTCTCTTCTACATAGTGTGTTCCATGTTAGCAAATGTCACAAGGTGAGACCCTGTCTCAAAAATAAACCAAACAAAAAGACCATTGCAGAAAAATTGAGATGGCGATAGAAGACACCTGACATCCACCTCCGCCTTTACATATTCAGGCATGAGTAGCACATGTGCATGTACACACACACGAGAAAAATTTTAGTACTTAGGACACTGAGACATGGGAATTGTCCTGAACTGGAAACCAACAGGGATTACACAGTGAGTTTAAGGTCAGGCAGGGCACAGGAAAAAATGAGAAGTAGTAAGTGCCTTTGATTCCAGCACTCTGGAGGTAGAGGGCGGAGGATCAGAAATTCAAAGTCATCCTCGCTACACAGCAAGTTCAGCCTGGACCATGAGACCTTTATCACCAAAAAACAAAAACATTTAAAAATGAAAAGTATTTTTTAAAAAAAATCCGAGCCAGGTATGATGGTACATGTCTTTAATCCCAGCACTTGGGAGGCAGACAAGTAGACCTCAGCCTGGTCTACATAAAGAAATCAAATCAACCAGGGCTTCTGTCTCAAAAAAAAAAAAAAAAAAAGGATCTGGCGGCTGGGCTGGGAAATGTAACTCAGCAGCACGGAACTTGTTTTAGTACACACCAGGCCCTGGGTGGAGGTGGGAGGAGCAACCTAAGAAAAGTTCAAATCCCAGTGGCAGAAGTAAGCTACTCCATAGATTCTCAAAACAATACAAGCAATTGCCACCACTGTTGGTTGTTCCCCAAAACGAGACAATAATAAACTGACCTTATTTCGGAAAGCACTGCTGGCCTGGGGCAATGAGCAGAAACAAACCCAGCTGGAACGGAGCTGAAAGCTTTCTCCTGGCTGACTAGCCGTCATGGTGGTGAAGGATCACCAACTGTCTTACTCAGCTACGGAGTCTATATGCAACAACACAAACCAGCCAGGCAGGATGAATCCAATGGAGCAATAGTAAAAGTCTGTTATAGAGTCAATCTGACACAATACAGTAAGAGGGAATTCATTTCTGATACTGTAAACCTTGGCAAAAACCTGTGGTTGCAGTTTTACTAAATGAATACAATGTGCCTTTCAAAACTGGCTTCTTCCAAGTAATAACTGGGCCTAATACTGCTTAGCTTCTAAGATCTGAAGAAACTGAGAACATCTGCAGATGTTCAGCCATAGACTGTACCATCAGCCACAGACTGTACCATCAGCCATAGACTCAGATTGCTTTCTAAATTACTATATTTTTATTTTATTCTATTTATTATTATCTTGATTTTGGAGACAGAGTCTCACTATGTAGTCATAAACTGCCTTAGAACCTTACTCTGCAGCACAGGCTGGTTTTAACTCACAAGGATCTACATGCCTCCATTGGAATTAAAAGTATACAGTACTGAAACTGGCTGAATAACTATGTGTATGCCCATAGATTCGCGTTTCTACTAGCTTTGACCAGAGAAGCTTCTTTCTGCATTGGCCAGCAATGACTGCAGAGATTCATAACTGGCCAGAATAAATGATTGCTGCATGCCCAAGCCACAGGCTCAGGGAAGATGCAACACAGGAGCCAGAGAAGTGGGAAGAACAGTGTGGGATGCTAACTTCTGGATATGACATGACAATTTCACTGTATAACTCACAGTAGCTATGATTACCTGCAGAAGATCGGGCCTGTCAACATTCCTTGATGAAAGGAGGAGAGGCTCATGAGGCCCCAGTCATCTCTGCAGATTTAAACAGTCAATGGTTGAAGAGGGAAGAAAACACATTTTCCCAGTGGAGTAGCCATGGGTAAGGTGCCTATGCTCCTGTACATACATCCTCCCCATGCTCATGTAAACAACCCTAATAAAACTCACTGGGTCACACACAGAGTCCTGAAAGCAGGGGAGCTACACTGGAAGAGGACAAGATTATCAGATGTGAGAGACAAGAGAGGGTACTAAGGAATATATAATAGAAATACGCGTGTGTGCGTGTGTGTGTGTATGCATACGTGCACATACACACACATATAAAATGTCATATGACCCATTATTTGGGCTGGCAAAGTGATTTGGTGGTAAAGTCACTTGCCACCAAGCCTGACAACCTGAGTTCAATCCTTGGGACCCACATGGTGAAATGAGAGAAGTGACTCCCTGAAGTTGTCCACACATTCATCCTGCCCAATGTGTGTGTTCACACGCATACTTACATAAGTAAATTTAGGAAGAACTTTTTCTTTGAGACAGGGTCTCACATACAGAAACCCACAACTGGTCAAAATGCAGAGAACAAGAGGCTGGGTGGTGCCCAGTCACAACTGATACATCTACATCACAATTCCTGCACGTAAGGCTCTGAGATCACTGTGGAAGAGTGATCAGAAAGATTTTAAGAGCCAGGAGAACAGGAAGTTAGTTGTTAGATTGTGTGTCCTAGAAATAAATGTCAGAAAGGCTCCCCATATGAAGCTCCATCAACATGGATGCAAACAAGACCTGAACAATGATACACCAAAGAATATGCTAATATGGAAGGGGAAAGTTTGAGGGACCTCAACCATAGACCATAAACAGCAGGCCACTATGGAATGCTAAGAGCAAGAGAACTGGTCTTCCACAGGGAAGAGCCCTCCATTTGCTTATCCAATACCAGTGCTCATCCCTGAAATCATGTTCATACAGGTAACATTCTATGGACTGAGCGGGTTGAACTTAAGAATTTAGGAATGTGTATGTATGTATAACAACAATAAAGATTCAGGAAGAAGAAAACTGCATGCTCTTTCTCAAGCGGAATCTAGCCAATAATATATGTATATATGTAAACAAATGTACACGTGGCTACAGTAAAGCAGGAAGAGAATAAGAAAGGTTGAATATCAGGGGTGAGGAAGGACTGGATGCAGGTGACAAACAATTACAAAACAGAATAGGAAGTTACTTGGTTTTCTAAGTTTAATTTGGCCACAGACCTTTTTGTTTTGTTTTAATGATGGCAAAGTACATAAAATATATTTAGTAATAAACGTGAAAAATTTAATGTGACATTTCCCAGTTTCCCTCCCAAATTCCTATTTTAACAGTAAAGTTCATTGAGTACAGATTTTGGATCTGGTTAATTCTGGTGTGTGATCATTTTTATTTATTTGCAAATGGTTTTTGTTTGTTTGTTTATTTGGTTGGTTGGTTGGTTGGTTTGGTTTTATTGAGACAGGGTTTCTCTGTGTAACAGTCCTCGTTGTCCTGGAAAAAACTTTGTACACCATGATGGTCTTGAACTAACAGAGATCCACCTGCCTCTCTGCCTCCAGAGTACTGGGAGTAAAGGCCTTTGATACTACACATGGCTTTTCTTTCTTTCTTATTAAAACAGAGAGAGATTCAAGGCCAGCACCATCACATCAGTTTTTTTTAAAATATTTATTGATTGATTTGTTATGTATTCAATAGTCTATCTGTGTGTATGCCTGCAGGCCAGAAGAGGGCACCAGACCTTATTCCAGATGGTTGTGAGCCACCATGTGGTTGCTGGGAATTGAACTCAGGACCTTTGGAAGAGCAGGCAATGCTCTTAACCACTGAGCCATCTCTCCAGCCCCATCACATCTGTTTTATACAGTTCCAGAGATGGATGGAAGCCAGGGCTCAGTGTATTCTGGGCAGGCTGACTAACTGAGCTACATCTCTTGGCCCCTCCCCTTTCTTGAGGTCCCTAAAGTGCAGGAACAGTAAGCAAACTGTTTTAGGAGGAAACATTTAGAGAAAAGAGCCTATTTATCACCTCATGCCTATGTACAAGTAGGTACACATATGATCAAAGTCAGATGCATTATACAAGAAGACAGGAGCAGTTACACAACCTAAGCCTAACACTCAAGACAGAAAGCTACCCTTTCTTGACAGACTCTTCCCTTGGACCCACAAAAGCAAACCCTGGTTAGTAACCAGGTACTTGCAGTCCCATGCTTGCTCAGGCTTTTGCAATTGACTTATCTACTCTCCACCTTCACTTTCTCTTTGAATAAAATCCCTTGCTACTTTTTGATTTGCATGCAACTCTCTTATTCTTTGAAAAATGACAGGAAGAATCTAGAAACACAAAGACCAGAGAACACTGGCAACACACTCATCCCAGAAAATACTTAAATATTACTTAGAAAATATACCATCAATTTTTTAAGAGCTAAATATAAAACTTCCCATGTTCAAATTACCTTTTCCTCTGGCTCTAAATGTAGTTTCTTCAATGCCTGCAACATGCTAACAAAAATGAGATTCTTTGGCAATTTTCATCTGACTCGGTGTCTGGACGAGATTAAAGCTTAGTCAGCTGTAAAGGTAAATGAAGACAGCAAACGTACCAACTCTTGCTCCTGGGGTAGTGTCTGAATATGCAGTCACTGACCCCCAAAAGCTTGATTTGTCTTCTTTTTTGCTAGAGGAAACTCAATATGCTAGGCACTTATTCCCTGAGATTTCCAAGAGAAGTTTCAAAGGTTTTGCAGGCAGTAACTATAAAAGTCTCAGAGAGAGATAATATTTACCTTTCTGTAAATCTTCCTTAAGAGACTTGACTTGCAAAAGCAGAGGACTGGAAAAGAAAGCAACAAAGATGAGCGAGACTACAGGAGATAAGCTTGCCCTACCTACAACCAAAATGTGAACTAATAATGTAGTATATATTGTATCTTGGCCGGGCGGTAGTGGGCCACACCTTTAATCCCAGCACTTGGGAAGCAGAGGCAGATGGATCTCTGTAAGTTCGAGGCCAGGCTGGTCTACAAGAGCTACGTCCAAGACAGGCACCAAAGCTACAGAGAAACCTTGTCTCAAAAAAAAAAAAAAAAAAAAAAAAAAAAAAAAAAAAAAAAAAAAAAAAAAAAAAAANCAAAAAAAAAAAAAAAAAAAAAAAAAAAAAAAAAAAAAAAAAAAAACACCCAAAATACATTGTAACTTGTGCCACAACCAGAGAAAACTTCCTTAGAAACAAAGATACTAGTACACTTGACCTGAAAGGAAATGAAGGAAAGCAACAAAAGACTTTCCAGAGTTGTTATAGCAACGCTATAAACAAAAATGGGCCACTTTAAAAAAAAAAAAAAACCTGTTGTTGGGACTGAACACGTGGTTTAAGAGCACCAGTCTTCCAGAAGATTCAAGTTTGGTTTCCAGCTACCACTTCAAGTGGCTCCCAACTGTCTATAACTACAGAGCCAGGGGCTCTTCATCTGAGGGCACTTGTACTCATATGCACAGACATACAATTAATTGTTTTTAAAAATTGCTTTTTTTTTTTCTTTCTTACTTGTTTTTGTTTTTTGAGACTGGGTTTCTCTGTGTAGCTTTGGAGCTTGTGCTGGAACTCACTCTGTAGACCAGGCTCATAGAGATCTGCCTACCTCTGCCTCCCAAGTGCTGGGATTGAAGGTATGCACCGCCACCACCACTCAGCTAAAATTTTATTTTTTCGAGACAGTTTCTCTCTGTAGCCGTGGCTATCCTGGAACTCACTCTGTAGACCAGGCTAGCCATGAACTCAAGAGATCCACCTGGTTCTATCTCCCAGCTGCTGGAATTAAAGCGGGTACCACCACACCTAACCATAATTTAAAAAAAAAAAATCTTTAAATATATATATATATATTTTTTAAAATTGTCTATGTATATGAGTGTTTTACCCTGCACATAAGTCTGTGCACCACATGCATGCCTGGTGCCCTAGAAGGCCAGAAGAAGGTATCAGATGCCCTGGGACTACAATTACAGATGGTTGTGGCATGCCACATGCTAGAAATCAAACTCAGGTCCTCTAGAAGAGCAGTCAGTGCTCTTAACCACTGAGCCACTTCTTCAGCCTAGACATGAGCTTTTTTCTGTTCATTTGTTTTCAAGGCAGGGTTTCTCTGTGTGACAGTTCTTACTCTCTCCGACTCTCTTTGAACTCACAGAGATCCGCCTGCCTCCGCTTCTGAGTTCTGGAATTAAAAGTGTACGCCACCACATCAGGCACATGAGCATTTTTTGTTTTGTTCTGAGATAGGATCTTACAATGTAGCCCTGACCAGACTGAAATAGTATTTGAAAACAACAGGGTGCCTAGTTCCCTTAATCCTTGAATTGCTCACCTGTATTCATCATTGGGGTGAGCAATCTCCACAATATCTCCAAGCTTGATGTGAGGAAACACTTTAGGGTTCACGACTAACTCATCATCTGAAAGACAATTCAGTGACTTTAAAAGCAAATGGGCTTAGTAGTTGACCACAGGCTTAGCACGTATGAGGTGTGGGGGTGAATCTCTACCACATACCTCTAAAAAAATAAAAGCAACAGAGAAAAAACACAGAGCATCCCCATCATGTTGGTGTTACTACTAGGACTCACATTTGAACTCTGGCACTATTTTTACTTTTTTTACTGACATAAGTGTCTTAGGATAGCATCAAACTCATCCTATAAGGTAGTTTTGAATCCTTTCACCTTCCTCTCTTGGTGGTCCCAGACTGGCGAGACCACAGGGCAGGCTATACTACGCTCAATGTTTATTTTTATTTTTGTTGTTATATTGAGGTTCCATTTGGATTTTTGTTTTCTGGGTTGTTGGACCTTTTTTTTTGGGGGGGGGGAGGTTAAGTGTGTGTGTGGAGGCCAGAGGACAACTTGCAAATATTGGTTCATTCCCTTCACCATTTGGGGCCCAGGGATTGAACTCAGGTCAGGTTTGGCAGCAAGTGCCCTTACCCACTGAGCCGTCTCACCAGCCCCCATTTGTCCTGTTTGTTTTCCTATTTTATAAGGTCCTAACTTAACCTAGGGGCTCATGCATAGGTAAGCAAGTGTTCTGCCTTTTCTCTGAGGGTCCATTTTAAATCTAGTTTTAGAACAAATAAAGGATTTGCATAGGGCAGCAGACGTAACTCAAGAGATAAAGTACTTATCTAGCATGCTTGAGAGCCTGGTTTCCATCCTCAGTTCAGAAGAAAAAAATAAGTGAAAAAGATTTTTGCAAAGGTATCTAGAGCCATGACAGTAAAGGGCTGCAGTGGACAGAGATCAGAGGCCTGTCTCCAAGCACATGCTCTTTCTACTATCTTACTGGACAGAGCTCAGAGGCCTGTCTCCAAGCACATGTTTCTTAATGTTTCTATGGAAAAAGCAGCCCACGGTTCGGGGAATTACATCTCTGGCATATCACTACACTCTCTAAAATACTTGTGAATCTGTCATACACATGATGGAAACAGCCTAGGTCCCGCTTATATTTATGTAATATGCAATGAATTCCCTTAAAAACACTGTCTTAAACCCTCACAATAAATCTTTTGGAGCTATTGTTAGAGCAAGGAAAAACCTGGAAGACAAACTGGCTTATCTAAAGGTAGACAGCCAGTAAAATCTCATTACTGGCAATGAGTTCCTTCTGTCTAAATTAGGCTCACCACCTCTTATATGTTATAAAACGCAGGCCATATAGTCTAGACTTCAAGTGTTAGTTCACATGGGGGTTCAAAACAACCTTTAAACTATAGGGGTTGGGGTAAGGGCATAGAGTAAATGCTTAGCATGAGAACTTGGCTGCAATCCCAATCCTCAGTACAAATAAATAAATAAACCCACCCGCCCCAAAATAAGGGTAGACTACAAGTATACTTGATAAAATACTTGATAAAATTCAGCCTAGTAAAGGACTGATTTATTTAGAATGTTCCATTGTCAATTTTAGGTCCAATCTCTGTGAAGTACCCATGACAAACTTCCATTGTTTAAGCTCCCTGAGTACACGGTTTGTTTGGCTTTTTAGGGTTTTTTTGTTGGGTTTTTTTTTTTTTTTCCGAGACAGGGTTTCTCTGTAGCTTTGGAGCCTGTCCTGAACTAGCTCTTGTAAACCAGGCTGGCCTCGAACTCACAGAGATCCACCTGCCTCTGCCTCTCGAGTGCTGGGATTAAAGGTGTGTGCCACCACTGCCCGGTAAGTATACGGTTTTTATTTCTTTCATTTCTTTTCTCCTTCTTCTTTCTCTCCATCTTTACTTACTGCTTTTTCTTCTTTTTTTGTTTGCATTTTTGTTTGTTTTCAGACAGAGTCTAGAGCTGTTTTCGGACATGGTGAACTGGCCTAGAGCTCACCATGTAAACCAGGGTGGCCGTAAACTCAGAGATCTGCCTGCCTCTGCCTCCCGTGTGCTGGGATTTAAAGCACACACCACCACATCTAGATCCTTACTGTTTCCTCTGAAACAGTTTCATTCTGCAGCAGGGTGGCTTCAAACTTTAAGCAATCCTCCTGTCTCAACCTTGGAAAGTTCTGTGTCAAAGTCACAAGTCACTACAGCTAGCTAATCATTTCATAAAGTTAAGAACTCCTTTGGGACAAGAGATTTTGCCATATTCACAACCTTTATATTTGATAGGTATACTGGTTAGAATTTTATTTGTATTCCTAGGTATATCACCAAGCTACCTCTGTCTTGTATACACACACCAAAATAAAAATAAATCACAGACCTATATACCTACACAGTACAGTATATATATATATAATGTAAACATATATTATATATATATACCATATACACTGTATTCTTGTTATTTCCTCTGCTGAAGGAGGGGAAAAAAAAGGGAAAACTAAGTCAGGTGTGGTAGAACATTTCCACACAGACACGCAGACAGGAAGATAATGGGTTCAAGGCCAGCCTGGGCTACAAGAGGAGTTCCAGATGAGCCTGGGACACCCAGTAAGACCAAGATTCAAAATAAAACCAAACAAAACCTGAATGTGAATGCTTTTCAGAGTTCTTGTCGACTCCGGTGCAACCAATTCTCCTGATAGCTGTTATGGCTTCACTCATTTACCTGCCCACCTCAATTTGTGATATTCGTAATTGTTAAGGCATTGATTGTATTGTACTGGGCACATCATAACTTTGGCCAATTTACACAATCCCCAAAGACCAATCAATACTGACCACTGCCCCCAAAGCCCTTCTTGTGGATGACAAGTTTGTAGACCTTTGTAGTTCTCATTTTGTCTTGTGGTTTCTTCAGCTGTTCCAATCTTGGAGCAGGGAAGTCATCTTGCCTTCCTGCCATTGAAACACAAACAAAACAGCCAGATGTCAGGCTTCCTAAAATTGCTCTTTAATTTTAGTCCTTGAAGATACTGGTTATTGTTCAGCCGAGAGGCCTGCCAACCCTTAAACTAAATCAGTCCTCCAATTACCAAGGAAGAAAAACAAACAGAAGTGTGCTTTAGGAATTAAAGTGATTTGGGGCTGAGATCCAGTCAATCCTCTGAAAAAATACTCTCTCTGCCGCATACCTAGCAGACACTTGTAGTGACAGGGACATTGCCTAGTTTCTGTCTGCATTAGTAACACCAGAATAGTACAGGGATATTAGGTTAGTCCATCACATCTGTAAAGAAACGTCAAAACAGGGGACTGGCCCAAGGTCACTCAAACTCTTAAGCACTCCCGTGATTCACGTTTCACTAACAATGTCCTGGGGAAGAGAGCAGAGAGAAGGCTGGGGTTTCTTTGCCGAACCTTTCTATGTGTACCAACTCTCAGCGGACCCATTTCGTCGTCGTGGTAGCAGAAGCTCGGGGAGGGTAAGACTTATCCAAGGTCACACGGGGGCTGAGGGAAGAGTCGGGCCTCGAACCTGGCTCAGAGCCCCCTCCTTCAAACCCCTCAAGTCTCAGCCCGGGGCGGGCGCTCGACTCGCCCCCAGTTCCACAGCCCCTCCCCTCCTCGGGCCCGGCCCGAGGCCAGATCCTCGCCAGAGATTCCGGACCTCCTCAGGATAGCCCACCTGAGCCCCCACAGCTCGCGCAGCTTCCGCACCAGAGCTCTAGGCGCCCTCCAGCCAGCACCGCCGAGGAGCGCTCACCTGAGCCCGCGCCGCTCCGGAGGCTCCGCCCCGAGTCCCCGCCCCTTGCCGCTCCCCGCTCCGCCGGGCCTGGCCGCTCTAGCCCAGCCGCCGCCTCGTCTCGGTGTCCTCGCCACTTCCTCCTCCGGGGCTTGGGAGGGGGGGCGTGGCGTCGAGTCTGACTTCATTCTCTGAGTCCTGCTGGAGTTTCCCGCCTCGAGCTACCGTATTGTATGCTTTGCAAAGAAATTTTGAAAACAGAGCCAGGACCTTCGTTTCAGACAGTGATCTCGTAATACGGGAAACTCATGAGAGTCGACTCCTATCTCGTTGAGCTGTTTTTCCGTCTGTTTGACAGTGTAAATAACTCATCCTGGGTTCAGAGGGCTATTGAAAGACACAACAGTCTCAGGCAGAAGCTGAATGTGGTGATGCACCCTGGTAACTCAGGTACTCTGGAGACAGAGATAGGTCCCTGTAGTTCAAGGCTAGATTGGGCTATGCAGCAAGAAAACGGGGCTGTGTATAACTTATGAGAGAGTTAACTGATTTATTGTAAACTGTTAAGTATGATTGAGAAATACAAGTTAATAGTAAATCATGCAAAGTACAAATGTCACATTTACAGAAACAAGCTTGGAGGAAGAGACCAATCTGTATTTCTTATTATATAGTCTTCTGTTGTCAAAATTAAGCCTAATGCAAGTAACTCAAAACAAGTTTAAAGTAAACTTAGTTTGACTAATATAAAATAATAGTCAAAATCAGATTTATAGAAAAGCTGATTATAAAATATTGAATGCTTGAGTAAAATGAATTAAGTTTACAATAAGCTTGATTGGCAGGAAGTCCCCAGGCCCAAGTAGTTCCCTTGTTTGGGGCACAGATATCCAACCAGAGTATGTGGCATCTTAGCCTCATTATGGAACAAGGATGCATGGGGAATAAGACCTGTCAGAAGCCGGCTGCTTCTGCCTCCAGCTGCATATGGCTATGCAGGCCTGGCCAAACCAGAAAAAAAAAAAAAAACTTTCTTATCCAAAGATTAATTACTCCTTATGTCTCACGTGACAGGGGGATGGTTTCTCTTGCCCACTGGAGGACCTCAGAGCCTCCACCCACATCCTAAATGTCCCAGACTTCAGAGAGGCAAGTAGCAATTACACTCTGCCCTTAATGTCTCCCAAATGGACATGTGAGGACGCTGTGAGGAGGGGAACCTTGTGACACAGGTTTGAGACCTGCATATTGGTTTAATTGGCCATACCCTCTACCCTGGCATTGTTCTTCCTCTTAGTAAAAGCTGATTCCAGGGCCCTCACTCTAACCACCCATGTTCTCTCACTAAAGGAAGATGTCAGATACTTTGTCATCAAACTCACAGCTTTGCATAGTTAGTAGATAGAACAAGCCATGTCTTTGACAGTTGGTTTTATATCTGTAGAGTCAACAAATGATTCTATTTGATGACGCCCCACACCTGAAGGAGATTATCTCTGACCTGGGCTGACCTGTAGTGCTTTGGGACTATAGGATTGAACGCTCCAGGGCCGGTGCCTGTAAGGAGTATACAGGCTTTGGAAGTGGTATTTGTGGATGTTTTCACAGAAATCCCAAAACTTGTTTAATATAATTATCTTGCTTTACAAATTATGCCTCTAAACCAATCTATTTTTAAATAAAAAGTTAAAAAATTTCTTCTACCAGACAGTGGTGGCGCACATCTTTAATCCCAGCACTTGGGAGACAGAGGCAGATAGACTTCTGTGAGTTCAAGACCAGCCTGGTCACAGAGTGAGATCCAATACAGCCAGGACTAAACAACAAAATAAAACCCTGTCCCAAAAACCAAACGACCAGGTGGTGGTGGTGCACAGCTTTAATCCTAGCACTTGGGAGGCAGAAGCAGGCAGCTCTCCATGATTTTTGAGTCCCACTTGGTCTACAAAGCAAGTTCCAGGACAGTCAGAACTGCAGAACTGTTACACAAAGAAACCCTGTCTCTAAATAAATAAATATTTTAAAAAAAAAGGAAAGAAAGATACTTCTGCTTAGCACAAGACACAAGATGAAAATTCCTTTGAAAGACCCTACAGACCCCCCCCCCCAAAAAAAAAAACCTGCAGCTGCTAGCCGGCTCTCATGAGAACATCCTGTTTGCTTGAGACCCTCAGGACCCTCTCAGGACCTGCAGCTAGCCACTCTCATGAGAACATCCCGTGTTTGCCTAGGGAAACAGGATACATGTGCCAAACCTAAAATATCAGCAGTTTACAAAAGAAATAATTCCCCCTATATAGGACCCCAGCTTAACTGCTATAACATCATTTTACAAGGCTCTTGACAAACAAATGTAAGTGCAGAATGAGGTCAAGGCCTCTGGCTGCAAAGCAGGATATTTATGAGGTCAGGGTCTCTGGCTACAAGCAGGATACATCTGTATGGGAAAAGGAAAAACCACTTATGCCCCCTGCCCCATTCTAATCAGACCGATAACCACGCATCTGCTTCTTCTGCTTCTGTAATTTGCTTCTTGGCCATCCCCCAGTCTGCAGGCGCGCAAGTCCTCCAAAAGACTTTGTCGCCGCAGGTACCTGTGTTTACCCAATAAACCTCTTGCTATTTGCATCCGTGTGGTCTTGGCCTGTTCCTTGGCTTCGGGGGAGTGTCCTCTCGAGGGAAGTCCTCTCCGAGGGTCTTTCACCTTTTGGTTCCTTCTCACTCTGGCTCCTTCCCTTGGTCACATCAGCCCTCCTTATTATACTCATGTGTGATGTATTACCCTGTCTTTTACATGTTTTACTGACTTTCACCCTATACCCAAGCAAAATGTTCCATGTAGGCTCTCCCGGCGACTTTCACCCGACAACAGCTCCATTTGTTCCGGACATAGCTACAAAAAGACCTTTCACACGACGTGGAGAAACTGGCTGAGAAGGAACTTCATCCCTTTCATCCCGCTCCAAGTAATATTATTCTTGACATTAGTCCTCTTCCCTTCCTTTGACGCTCTCTAGTTCCCTGCTACGTCTGCTAGCTCATTGGGCGCAGGAGTCCTGGCATGGGACCAATCCCTGTCACCCTGAATCAAGTCCGTGCCCACTTAGTCTCACTGACCCACTCTGTCTCCCTTGCCTTGGCTCCTTCTCCTCCCTCAACCTTCCTTCCAGGGAAATCTCTCCGTTTTATTCGGTAACCAAATCAACTGTTTACAGCCCTTTAACAATTCTGTTTCAAAAGTCTCATTAGGAGTGCAGGACGACAATCGTCGCATAATCCATCACAGCTGATCAAGTTAAACTCTCCTGCTAAGAGACAGGAGGACTGACCCTTCAATGCACCTATAAGTAACCCCCCTCCAACAACAGGCTCCATCACAGACGATCAAGTAGAACTCTTCTCCTGCTAAGTGACCAGGGGACCCCTCCCCCACTTCAGTGTGCCCATAACTACCTCATCTGACAAAGACCCTCTTCAGCAAACAGCTTCTCTTTTCTCTATATATTGGAGCTTTGAACGATAGTTTCCTGCTGAAAGACTACACCTCCCAAGTGCCATTGCGGCAGGGAACTACGGAACTGAGAAACCACAGGAGGGAACTTTTAGTAGGTGAGGTAGTCATTTATGGCCCTATAAAAGTCGTAGCCTTCTTCTTCCTGGGGTATCCTCTCATGTGTCTGCATGAACTGGGCCATTTTATTATTTTATTCTCTTATACTATGAGGCGTTCTCTCATTCCCCCCCATAGCGTGGGATTTATGGCTCATCCCCTCACGTGGGTGAGATTGTATTCCCTAGCAGTGTGTCCTTCAATAAACACCGTCCTGCCTAAACAGACTTTCCTCTCTCTGCCTTTCCGTCTCCTTTAAGCCACTATCAGATATCTACCAGTGTGTGTGTGTGTGTGTGTGTGTGTGTGTGTGTTATTATAAACTTAAGTCGATGCAATAGCTCTTGCTTGGAAGTGTCCACTGTGCAAGTCTCTACAAACTCAAATCCTAAAACATTCCTAGGCTTCTACGATCCTTTGGATGTTGATAGTCAATTCTGAGGATTGAACCCAGGGACTTTGTCATGCAAGGCCAGCTTTTGTTCCATAGAGCTAGGGACTGAAAACTAAATCAGCGATGCTAATCAAATACCATTGAAACTATTCCAATAACTAGTGATAATAGCCATGGTTTTATGCTAATTTAATTTTTTATTTTTTATTGTTTTTATTGAGCTATACATTTTTCTCTGCTCCCCTTCCTTCCTGCTCCCCTCTGCTTCTACCCTCTCCCATGACCCCGTGCTCCCAGTTTACTCAGGAGATCTTATCTTTTTATCCTTCCTATGCAGATGCATGTATGTCCCTATTAGAGTCTTTTTTGTTGTCTAGGTTGTCTGGGATTGTAGACTGTAGGTTGTTTTGTTTTGTTTTAGATTTATGTCTAGAAGCCCCTTATAAGTGAGTACTTATATTTGTCTTTCTGTGTCTGGGTTACCTCTCTCAATATAGCTTTTCCTAGATCCATTTATTTGCATTCAAATGTCCCTCAACCGAAGAATGGATAAAGAAAATGTGGTACATTTACACAGTGGAGTACTACACAGCAGTTAAAATTTTATTTTATTTTATTTTTTTGATTTTTCGAGACAGGGTTTCTCTGTGGTTTGGAGCCTGTCCTGGAACTAGCTCTGTAGACCAGGCTGGTCTCGAACTCACCTGCCTCTGCCTCCCGAGTGCTGGGATTAAAGGCATGCACCACCACTGCCAGGCAAACTTTATTTTTCTTGACCAAAAATAAATCCAAAGGCTCTCATTTCTTGTGGAAACAAAAGCAAAACTTCTTCTCCAAAGTAACATACCTTTTGACTTAAAATTTTGAAGTCAAGGCATTTTCAAAATATATAGATTGGATTAATCCAGCAGCATTTATAATCAAATATCTTTTAGCAGCTGTTGCTCCTTCCTTTGCAGTCAAACAATTGAAAGACAATACAGTAACATACAGTATCTAGACTGTCTATATATTTTCCATCTTTACGTGGCTTTTTTAAAACTCTATTTCTATTTTATTTTTAATTTTTTTTTTTGAGACAAGGTTTCTCTGTGTATCTTAGACTATCCTGGAACTCACTCTGTAGACCAGGATGGCTTCAAACTCACTGACATTCGCCTTCCTCTGCCTCCCAAGTG